ATCGAGAAGCCACCCGCCCGCCATGAACTCAGCCGGAAGAAGAAGAACACCCTGAAGAAGCCGCGGGAAGGCAGCTGAGCAGGGGGGGGACAGCACCCTGCGGAGAATCTACCGTGGCAGGCTCTCGAAGATCGCAGTTCGAAATAGGACAAATGTGAGCGAGCATGGCGGTCATGGCGGCCGCCCAGCTGCACGGCGCTCCCACCAACAACGTCTTAAACCGGCGCAAATCCTGTCCAGCCTCCGGAACCCATCCGCGGCCTCCCCGGGATGGCCGGTTTAACAGACCGGGCTCATTCGCGCACAGCGGCAACGAAGGTGGCAGAGCGACCAATGCAGAGTGACTCTGCCAGAGTCACGGCTGAACTTCTCCTGGGGACGCCTGGCGCCCTGCGAGATGGTCGACTTGAGACCAGGCTTGGGGCCTGTGGGCGCGCAGGCGCACCCGGGGCAGGGCGCAGGTGGGGCGCTGTGCCCCGAGGGCCTGGAGGCGGTCCTGATGCAATCCGGGTGGCCCGGACACGGCGAGGCGGCCAGGTGCGTGGCACGCGCAGTCCACCGGCTTCCACGGCCGGCGGCTCGTGAATTGTCTGCTGGGTTTGATCAAACTCCGTGAAGTTGGCGAGGTGAGTGAAAAAAGGCAAGGCGGCGGATGAGCCGGTGTTTTTCAGCTCTAGGAGCCTTCCTGTGCAGCGCGGTGCCATGGGCGTGGGCATGATAGAAGAATCGGACGCCCTGGTTGACCGCAAAGGTCGCCGATCTGCGACGCCGTGTTGCCACACGGCCTCAGCCGGCTAACAGGAAGCGCTTCGAGATCAAGGGCGATCTTGGGAGGCCCTATGGGGTGCCTTCCGCGAGGCGGCGGACCTTGGAAAACCGTTGTAAAGGGTGGCGGCTGACTTCGTCGTGTGACGCGGATTTTCGGCTGCCTTGCGCCGGCGCCGGCCGAACGTGGGTTGCACGACAAGCCCTCCGCGACGCCCATCGGACCGTGCATGGACCATGTCCATCGCAGTCTTTCTTTAACGAGATGAACCTTTGCAACCATGCACGGCCACAACTTGTGGGTGTGTGGGTGCGTGGGGGGAGCTCCGCTGAGGCCTCGCTGGTGATGCAGCTCTGCGGTCTCTGGCTTGATCGCCGCGAGTTGTCATTGAGTCGACAGGAGCGCGGAGGGCGGGATTCGCACGTCGCCCGTTTTCAGGGTGGCCAACGCCTCCAGATTTTGAAGCGAGTGGCAAGCGCGCCGGTGGCTTTAAAGCGAATTTGCGCCCCTGTCGATGACTGTCTGGTGGCGGCGATCCGCTGACGAGTTATCCCGCTCAAGTTTCGTGGGGAGGAGCGCGGGCCCGCACACGAGCATGGGGATGGGATGGGATGGGATGGGATGGGATGGGATGGGGATGAAGGACTTAAAGGAGGCTTTAGAGGATGCTTTGAAACCTGACGCGCCGCACGGGCACCGGATCAGGCCGGCCGCTTTCAGACTCCGAGGCCGATCGACAAACCTGTCGAAATCTACTTTCCCTCCCAGCCTGTCGCCGGCAGGCGGCTTCACGCTTTCCAGGACGGCATCGTGCTTGCCGCGATCGGCTCGTTGGCCGCGGACCGCGGCGGGGTCTCCCAGCGCAAAGGGGCCGGATTCCTCCACACGGCGGCGCGATGCGCGCTCAAGGATCGCCGCCCGCGGCTCTGCGCGCTTGTCCGCACGCGGGGGGGCATTTCAGGCGGTCACTCCAGGCGGACCGGTCGCCCCGTCCTGTGGGCGACGGTCGCGTTCGCGGAAGCTCCCGCCGGGCCAAACTCCTGACGCGTGCCCCGCCAGCCCGTGCGGCACGGCACACACACGGCACGAATAGGGCGAGAATTTTGCCGTCAAGTTGCCCCTGGAAACTGCCGGGCCGTGCACATGACTAACCCTGCCTTGCATTTAACCCCAGAGATTCCCTGCCGGGCACAATTCCCGGCGCACGTGACACGGGGCCTGACGTGAATGGGAGAGCTCCGTGGGGCCGCGGGGGGCTGAAAACGAATTGGCAAAATCCTCAGGGGCAGCTTCTCCGGCCTCCGTGCGTTGGATTGTTCCCGCCCAGCGGCAGTGACCGCAAGGCTGCAGCGCCGGTGCCCGTCAGGCCACCGCCATCCCTCCGGCTTCAGCCACAGCGCGCCTACTGCCGGCCGAAGGCGCAGGGCGCGAGGCAGGGCCGCCGAGGTGGAGGGCGGCGAGGCGGGCCGCCGTGCTGTGCCGCCCCAGCACCGCCGCGCGGTACGTCGGATGGGATGTCGTGGCGCGGTGTAGCCTGTGGGTTTGTTCCCTGCTGGAATGTTCTCGCCACCAAGGCGATGTCCGATGGGGACGGGGCCTTTCTCTGTGGAGATTGGGGGTGGGTGGGTGGGTTGGTGGTGGGCCCCTGTGTTGGTGATGCTGGTTCTTGCCGCAGCGCGGATGCTCTGTTTGGCCCCGAGGGGTGCGACGCGCTGTCCTGGGCTGCCCGGGCTGCCCCCCTGGCGTCGCCGCTCGCTTGAGCGCGGAAGGATTTGACCGAGCCGGATTCGTTGATGCCGTCCGTCCGGCATCCTCGGCGCGTCCCGGGCGCCTCTGGAGAGCGCCCGCGCTCCGACGGCCCGTTGGGCGGGTTGATGCCCCGCCCCGAAGGCCGAGCCCCTGCCGATAATTTCCGCGTGCTTGACGGGGGGGGGGGGGGGGGGGGGGGGTCGGGAGCCATAGAGGGGGGGCGGCGTGGCCATCTGGTTCTGCGGTGCGAGGGCGATGGGCGGCTGCGCTGGCGCACGGCCAGGGGTGGGCAATCGAGGTCCCTTCATGTATGAGTGGTCCTCGAGCGTCCCGATACCCCGCCGTGAGTCCGCGATCCCCTTGCAGGCGGTCGTTAGGGTGGGAACAGCGCGCGGTTTGCGATCCCCGCACCGCGTCTGGTAGCTTCTGTAGCGCCTCCCGCCCCGATCTCCTTCTCACACCCTCCCCAGAGACTTCCGCCGCGATTCCAGCACAGAGTTTTCGGCGATTTCGCCTCCCGGCCAGATTTTGCACTTTTCCCTAAGTCCGCATCCCCCCCACTTGCCCTCGACAGCCCCCTTCCCCCCTCGCCCTCCCAGCCCTGCGCCCGCGCCGTCGCTTCCCAGGCGCGCCCCTCTTTCGGCCCCGCGCACGGCATGACCGCCCAGGCACGCCCAGCCTTTGGCACCATCACGTAATCCGCCCGTCCGAGTCCAAGAAACGCGATGGCCCTTTCGCCTCCGACAGCTCAGCAGCTTCAGTCCCATCCAGCCTCCCCTCCCGGCGCCGGACACCAAACATGACTGTGCCGACGCCATGTACCACCGCCCTGGCCGTGTACTGGCGCCATGTACTGCCGCCGGCGTTTTCTGCGGCCTTCCCGGGAAGCAGCCGGACCCGGCGGTTCGCGCCAGAGTCTCCGGCGATCCCTGGGTTGGCGAAGGCTCTCCCTGCCAAGCGCCGCAGGTTCCCACGGCGCGTCCTTTCGCACAGCCCCTTCGACCCACCCGGGTGGCCACCATCTTCCGCGAACCGCTCCCGCCATCCCTCACGCAAGCCCGGTGCCGGGGAGGCCAGATCCTCTTCCCCCTTGCCCTCTCGTGGCGTCCGGCCACCGAGTGTGACCTGTCCACACGACCCAGGTGCGTCCGTCGGCGACTCCCAGGCCGGCATCCCGGGGCCATCCGGCGCTCCACCGACGGGCCCCAGGGCCCAGTTCGCGTCTCGGGACCCTCCATTCCGCCTCCGACAGCCACCGACAAAATCCGCCGCGAAACTTCGCCGCACCTCCTCCCTGGCTTGCCCCCCTACTTTGGCCAATTTCCGGCCAATCCCCCTCCCACCCGTGCCTTTTCTGGGTTCTTCCCTCATAGGCAGCGCCCCTTGGCCGCACCTTGGGCGCCGTCCCCCTCTCCCCCGCCATGCGCCAGGTGTCGGTAGCGGGTCTGCGTGTCTGTCCCAGCGCCAAGCCTGGGTCCGGCTGTACATTGGGCCCCACATCCGTCCACCAATCACACCGGCGGCGTGCGGGGGGAAGATACCCAATGTGTGGCACCCGAGGCTCAATTTTAGCAAAGGGTTTGAAATGCTGCGGCCGGTGGCCGGTGGGAAGGTGATATGCCCACGGCCTGACGCCCCGGGGGTGGTATCGGGCTACCCCTTGCAGAGAGACACCTTCGCGACCGATGCCATGCGGCCATGAATAATGTACTGCCAGTGGCCGCGAATAATGAATGTATGTACGGGGAAAGGGGGGTGCCGGCCGGTGGGCGCCTCCGATGCCGGAAGTGGCTGACTGATGGATTGTAGTCCGCCCGCGGTGTGAGCGCCGGTGAGCAAATGGGAGGCGGTTGCGCCTGCAGTGCGTCAGTTGCGCGGAGAGGGGCGTCGGTGCCGCATTGAGCGCCCGGCCAATGTGCCGGCCCCGCACCAACAGAAGGAGTAAGAAATAGTTGCGTGGTTCCGCCAAGTTGCAATTATGGCGCATTGGTCATGTCGCTCGTTCTCCACTGAACTTGTCCGACAACGCCCGTTGTTGCCGGCGTGCTGTGCACTGTGCCAGCGGAAATGACGAGGGCCCTGTGGCACCCAGCGGGATAGCGCAGGGCTGTGTAGAGCCCGAATGGGATGCTCTTGTCTGGACGCTCAGTGTCGAGGAAGGGAGAATTGCCACACTGCGGGCGGGGGGGGCTGCGGTTGGATGCGACAGCGTTTTCTGCTTGTCGTTTTCGTCGATTCTCCCATTTTTACCGATTTTTGTCGGGCGATCCAGTACTTGGTTTGTTTTCTGGCACGCCATTTGTATGCTGCGTTGTGCCTGCACGGATGTCGTGCGTTGTCTCACCATTACTAATGCCTGTTGGGGCGTCCCTGCAGTCGCTGGGCGCGGGACGATCTGCAGCGGCCCGTCGACATGATCGACGTGTTTCACGGCGACGGGGGCTCGCTGCCGCTGGACGGCCCGCCTGAGGCCGTCGCCTGCGTCATGAAGCGTGACGATGGGGAGATGGTCCTGGGGGCCCACAACGAACCATGTCAACGACTCGTCCAGGTTGGCCTCCGCCTCCGCATTCTATGTCACTGGATGATGATCGCATGTCAATGCGTTGTCTCTGTACAATTATCGCATTGTAGTGCATTGTCACTGTACGATGATTGCATCGTAGTGTTTTGTTGTCATTATCTAATGGCCATTGTGATTATCGTCATCGTTGTTATGATTGTGTAAAATGGTGTTGTGCATTGTATCATCATGTCATCACTATGGGGAGAACCACGCTCCACACACCACAGTCGCTCCCAATTATGAGCAATAAAGCCGTACCAAATGGATTATAGGATGAGTATACTGATCAAGTTGCCATTCTGGAAGAATACTCTGTTTGCGCTCACCAGCATAGCGTTTATGTTCATCGGGATATATGTTGCAGCCGCTTGTGTTCCCGAGTGCTGTCTTGCCCAATGCTGAAGCCAGCTGGAAGCATGGGCCCAGAACTGAATCGCTTATCCACAGTGCATAGTGTTGGAAAAGAAAGTGGTACAAGCAAGGAATACAACACTCTAGACCATGTCCGACGTATCCACACCAGACAGTTCTTGGTTCAGGGGCGTTGGCCCGTCGGATTAACACCAGTCTTGTCCCTTGGAAGGAAGAGCAAGGAAGGAGCAGGGCCACCTCTCCTCATTGCTTCGTGCAGTGGGCATCGCAGTTGGGCTCGTAAGAAAGCCTGCCAGCAGATTGGTGGGCAGGCGGTCTGCATAGCCTTGAGCTCCGATGACAACCTACCAGATGCATCTCCCGAATTGTACTCAATCTAATCGCACATCAGGGACCCTGCTGCTGTCAATTGTTGTTGATCATGGTTGTACAGCAGATTTCGCAATTTTTTCCATCCTGGCTTGTCCTTTTGGCACCTTTCCCAGGGCATGTTCAGTCCCCCTTCAGCAACGCCTGTAAGGGCTGCTGGTGACGTGAAGCAACCGCTGCCGCTGATGTGACGTCGGCCAGTGCCCGTCCCAACTCTCAGAAGCGTGCAACAAAATGCACTGCTTGATTGTTGCTCACCTTCCCCTACCAACAACCCATACTCATTCTTACTATGGTGAGTTGACAGGCCGGTGGTGGCTCGAATCCACCCTTCCTTGTCGTGCTACCTCCGATTCTGACGAGCAAAGCAGGGCAACCCACTGTGCATCTGTCCTCAGCCGCGCTGATATAAGCGGCGCTCCGGTCACAGCCCAGCGACACGGATGTGTCCCTCTCGTGACGGGAACATGCCCGGCGTTTGCGGCTTTGAATGCCCCCTCGCCTTCCTGTGCAGTGCTCGCTCCTGACGGACAATAACAGGGGAACTCACCGTGGATCTTGCCTCCCTTGCCTGGCCGTGCAGCTCTCGATTCCGGCGGCCAGCTCAGGGCAATGACCTTCCCTTGCCCCCGCCGACGTCAGCGCCGCACCGAAACGTGTTCTCACGATTGGGCGGAAGTTTGCAAACCCGCCCCACAACTGTCGCTGACGTACTTAGTACGGTCGCGCGTAATGTCCATTAACGTGATGATGATGGCACCCCATTTGTGCCCCCGGTCTTGCCGCCCCGGCCCAGCACACAGCACCCCGTTTCTACCCTTCTTCGCTCGTCTCATTGTTGCGCCAATACCTAACATGACTAATTTACGTGAGGCGGCCCGCCCGCCTGCATTGCCAGTCCCGCCCGCCGGCGGTGCTCATTGTCACACCCCCGTGCGTCCGAGTGAGAACGTTGCCCCAAGTGCTTTTGGGGCGCGCTGCTCCCGCACACGCGCATGTTCGTCGCTGCGCTTTACGTCCTCACAGCTGCGCGGCGCGCCTTCCCCACTGGCGGCGTCAGCTCCGCGCTGCGCGGCGATGGTCTTCAACCCCGAACACATGCCGGTAGCCCCCCCCCCCCCTCCTCCCCCCGCTCTTCTCGAGTGACTGACGGTTGAGTGATCGCGTCGACCGGCTGGCCCGGCGCCTGCCTTTGGGCCGCTGCTCCCGTCCGCGCATAATTCCGGCGTCTTGCGCTCTCGCTCACCCGTTTGTGTGCATCTTTTTAAAGCACTATGTGCTGTGGGCGCGCTGTGCGTCGACGCGCCGAGTGCCGGCGCAGAGCAGCCCCAGGGTGGGAGAAGCTTTCCCGCCGGAACGGGGCAAGCACCACGGGAGGGCGATATCTCTCGCCCCGGCCCGAGCTGTCGTTCATGTCTGCCGTTCGTAAGGGCAGCCGTTTCCACGCACCTTCGCGTCGACGCGCGCCCATCTCTGGCTGGCTCGGCGCGCCTCGACCCTAGCGGAGCTCTGTCTCCGAAAGGGGGAGGGCGCCGGGGCGGGGCGGGGGATCTCCTGCGGCCTCGAGCTGCTGTTGGCGACCGCCGTTCGAAGACGGGGCTTGTGTATCGCGCACTTTGTGTCGACGCGACCCTTGCTGGCTCTGACCACCTTAACGTTAGAGAATCTTTGTCAAGGGAATGGGAGGGCACCGCGGTGGCGCGAGGTCCTCCCGTGCGGGGGGCGGGGAGAAGAAAGGACTCTCGAGGGCGGCCCGCTTGGCGCGGATCTCCCTTTGTGGAGAAAAGTGACGTCGCTGTCGTTGCGGGGTCATGTGGGGCGGGGTTGACGTGGGCAATTCACGGCTCCTACCCCGAGCCCACCTGAAGTGCGCCTTCGGAGGGGCGTCGCCGATGCTGCCTGCCGCCGACACGCGCCGGCGGACCCCGTCGTGGCGCCCGAACGCTTTCGGCGGCCTTTCCGATGTCCCACGTTTCCTCGTCTTTGCCCATCACGTCATCAGATCGCTTGTGCGCGCGCGGGGCGCTGCGCAGCCGGAAAAAACGCGCTCCCCCGCCTCGCTCGCCGCGGCGTGGCTGGGGCGGACCCACATTCGCTCGCGCACGCCGGAGACACCGGAGGATGACATCTGTTCCAATCAATGGGCACACGCGACTATGACGTTAGCTTCAGAACTCAAAGCGGCGCCCGTGCGGGCCCTCTTCTTGTTTCCTTCTTCTCCCTCCCGCCGCCTCTGCGTCAATGGATTCACTCCCCCCCCCCGCTCTCTATTTCCAGGGTGACCGATGCGTAGAGATGCGCAGCCCGAACTCCGACACGGCGCTCGCCGATCCCCTCGTTCTCTTCGTTCTCCCCGTCCCCGTGTCAGCAGCCCTAGCCTGCGGTGCCCTTCCCCCTCCGTGCGTTCGTGCGTTCTTATTCGTGCGTTTGCCCGCGGCTGGCTCCAGTTGGGTGGGTGGTCGGGGGGGGCGGGGGGCAACTTGCGCGTGCTGCGCAAGGTGGTCAGCGGCCAGAGCCGGAGCGGGTGGCTGGCAGCGCCCGGCCAGGATCCGGTCAACGGGGCCGCGGGTTCCATTGGTGTGACGTGCGTGTGCCCTGCGTCGCGGACTCAGGACGCGCCGGAGCCCGATGTGTGATCCGGCGGGCTGGGGGCACGAATCAGCCGGCTTCGGTGTGGCTATCGGGCATCGCGCGGCCAGGCGTGCGCGCCAGGCGGCATCACGTGCAACCGGGTGGAGGGTGGATTATGTAAGGACACTGTAGGATGCATTTGAGGCATGTGCTGGACTATGCCGGGAGATTTGAGTGCGGGAGGGGGATCCGTGGATTAGGTAACGACTCGTTTGAGGTGTTTGTTGTCATGTGTCGCCTCATTTGGTGGTTTGGGGTGCGCTGGCGGGCATCACGTGCTGCCCTAAACGCATCAAACGAGTCCTCACATAACCACCAGATCGCCTCAAGCGCACAGCCGGTTGCGTGTTGACTCGTATTGGGGTGTGGGGGTGGTGTCGGCAAAGAGGCTCAGCAGCCTTTACTTGCAGAGCGGGCCGAACCAAATATTAGACAGATATACAGATAGGTACATATGACATAAATGATGACATGAATTACATAAATGACACCTTGATGACATAAATGACTGTACATGGATGAACCTTTGTTGCATGCACTTCTGCTACTTATTATTGAAAGGACGTCCACGGTCTGTCCGATTCACTGGACTGATTATCGAACTGTGTGATCCTGACTGGATTTTTTCGTGCTTCGACCCCCTCAGGGCCACGCTTACACATTTGGCAAGCATGTTACGCCGCTGTTCATTGACGAGGTGGCCGGGAGGGTGGCCGACCTTGAGCGCAGCGAGCATGGAAAGATCGTGCAGCAGCTGGGGCTTGTGGAGATGTTCCGGGATGCCTGCGAATCTGTGCTGTCGCGGCTGGGAGCGGCTCCTGAGGAGCCCTATCCTCATCAAGTACACCCGCAGTACCAGCTAGTGTTCGACCACACATGCCAGTGAGTGCCTTGCTCATTCATGTTCAGAAGAATTTCAGCATCAGCTTTGGAGATCAATGGCACAACTGTTCATCAGATTGTGCAGATTGTTCTTCAGCTGCAGAATTGCACTATGTGATAAGCTGCAGTCCATAAGCTGATGCAGACCATGCCAGATGCCATGTTTGATGTTCCCAACACCTTGGCCATTGACAGAAGTGTGCAGGCTGTTTGCATGACAGCAAATATTCAGAAAATGCAGCATTCTGTGCTGTCTGTTTTGCTGGGGTTTTGCACAGTACAGGCTCAACAGACTTGATTTTCAACCAGCGTCTCGATTGGCTGTCCTTCTATTTGTTTGGTATCTCCTATTCTTTTGTCACTATTGACAAAGCGTCGATCTCATGCTGTTGCAGAATAGCATGCGCAGCATGAGTTCCAGAATGTGTGCCCACCTCCATTCGGTCAGAACATATCCCGAAATACAGGGTATTCTGAGATATTTCTGAGATGCTCTGAGCCACATGTTGGCTGTCGTTCTTCTGCAGGGCCCTTGGTTGCACAGAGCCGAATTGCTTCCTATGCGAAGCAAACCCTAGGCGGCGCTGTAGTGGCGTCTTTGATCGCAAATACTTCAAGGGGGACATCCTCAAGGGCAAGTGTGGGGCACCCATCGTCGTGGAGCTGAGGGATATGGAGGGCAAGCGGGTGGCCTACGACGGCGGCATGATGGGTGTAATCGTGGAGATGTGCATATTGGACGGGAACAAATACGATCAGCTCTACCCTGAGGGGCCAGCCCATTGTGACGTGGATGGCCTCAACGACTGCTGCCTGCTAATGGGCAATGAGGTGAGCATCGCTTTTCGGACATTATCCAACACCTGGGGAGCCTCACGATTGCCCAATCCTGAGATCCGGAATTCCAAGTCACAATCAGATGCTGCTCTTGTTGGAAACCCATAGAGGAAGCTGAAGATGAAGGCGCAGCGAGAGCAGCCATTTGTTCTCACCTGAGACAAACCGAGCGCATCCTCCACAGCAGCATGAAAACGACACACCAGTCACAGCATACGTCCTCAGTGAGTTCAGATCTACGTGCAGTAGCAGTGTTTGCAGCTCTTCACAAACATCTCACAGTCCTTGGCAGGAACCAGAACGTGTCTGCCCTGACTGCGTCTTAGTGCTTGGTTATGTTACAAGAGCTCTCAGAGCAGTACTGCCCTAAAAAGCGGATGTGCTGCTTTTTCTCTGCTCGAATCTCTTAGCTTCCAATCCAGAACTGACCCTTGTTCCTCACGTGGCTGTGTTGCCTGTTGGTGCAGGGCCGCCCACTACTGGCTTCCTACGACCGCACCGCCAACCGAACTGACGGCAAAGTGGTGGTCCAGCTACAGGTGTGACAACATTCCACATGTCCCTTGTTTGAAACAATTTTGTTCCAGAGTACTGGATCAAGCAATCTGCCAACTGACATCTTGCTTGTCCGTTGCCACCCACTATCTACCAGTCCTTGACGACCATTTATCCGTGCCAGTCGCTGTTGGCTTAATTTTCGCTATCGTTGGCCCCCTGCTAACAGTTTGTTGCGCAACACTGCTCTTCCATAACCCCTCGCACACCCAAACCCAAACTCCCCACGCCCATCCTGTAGCCGAACCTGCCATCGCAGTTGATGCCGTTGTGTCCACATTACGTTTGTTTTCTTGACGTTAACTTTGCTCACCTTAACACATTTTTTGCTTTGTATTATGCTCATTTCATGTCCTTTTCTATTATTGTCCATTTTGTTTTTCGTTGATGTCCATGTTCCCCATTGTGTCAACTGACCCCTCGGTCCCTTCCCCAGGGCGGCACCGCCCTCCTCCCCGACCTCAACGTCACCTACAGCAGCGAGGCCCTGCTGTCCGGCCGGCGCCCGCCCTTTCGCCTGATGGTCAAGATCTCCTCCCCGGGCGCCCTGCCGGGCCACCTGGTCCTCCCCGCCGTCTCAGAGGGCTTCGTGGTGGCCTCCGGCAGGTCCCGCCTGGCCCAGAAAAAGTGCATCCCATCCGTGGACGACCCTGTTGGTCGACTCGAGCACATGGGCAAGGAGCGGGTCAAAAAGTTGCGTGATTTGGTGTCAACCGCGAGGATGATGGGCGTCGATCTGCCGGTGAACATGCCCCACGAGGTGAGCAAGGTGGGCCACTTCAGGGGGTTGGCGCTGGAGGCGGATAAGGACGGCCAGCTGCGGCAGAAGATGCTCCACATCCTGAAGATGTCCGAGAAGGCCTGGGATGAGACCAGGGACCATGCGCTGCTGGCGGTGACGAACGACACGCGGATGCGGGCCTGGTACCAGGAGGAGTCCGGCGAGGGGCTGGTGTACACGTGCTACCTGGGAGACACGGACCTCGAGCGCCCCGTGGCGCTCATTCAAGGCGGGAAGGTGATACTCAAGGAGCGCCAGGCACCGCATCAGCGCGAGCTGGTGCGCGAGCTGCAGCAGAAGGCGCGCAAGGCCTGGTGGGATCCGGGGCACCCCGGGTGGATGTTCTACCCCTACGACTCTGAGGACTTCTCCGAAAATCCCCAGCACCTGCCCCCGCCCTCCGCCCCCCGTCCCTTGCGGCCCGGGCAGGGCCGGGCGCTGGAACTTGGCGGCTGTGACCTGGGGCCCCCTAGGGTGCCATCCTCCAAGGGGGTGGCGGACACCGCGTCGTTGGGCCTGGGCTCGATGAACGGCTCCCTGGGGGGGTACCTGCCCTCAATCCCGTCGCTGGGCACCAGCCCGGAAAACCTGTCGATCAGCGAGTCGCTGGCGTACGACGACGGCGGAATGGCGCGCGGCAAGAAGCGCCGGCTGGACGACGACTCTGCCAAAAAATTCGAATGGGGGGGACACGAGGCCAAGGCGCAGGTCCTGGCGGCCGGCGGCTCCAGAGACGGCCGCTCCGTGTCCCTGAGGGACGCAAATTCCGGCGGGTCTGGCCCCAGGATCATATCTCCTTTCGAGAATCCGGGCCAGCAGAGGGTGATCTTTTCCATGTGCCACCAGCCCCCGCCGCAGCCCATCCAGCCCGAGCCTCCACTTGAGTCCCCCTTCAGCGACATCAGCCTGCCCAAGCCGGAGATCGTGAAGGTGCAGGCGGAGGACTGCAGGGGCCGGCGCAATCAGCACGTGCCGGTGCCTGAGGAAGGGTCTGTCCCCTCCGCCAATGTGGCCAAGCAGATGGAAGAATTCATACAAAAGAATTCGACATTCATGGGCCGTGGGCCGAAGTCCGAGAGGCGGCACCCCATGGCCAGGGGGGGTTCCTTCACGTTCAGCGCCCCGCGGAGCAACCCAGTGCGGGGATCGGCTGACTTGGCAAGCATTGGCCTAAGGGCACGGACGGCAGAGGAGGGGGGCAAGAAGGCGCGGAGCAGCGTGGGGGCTGGGCTGGGTCCCAGCGGCAGGCAGTGGCCCCAGCACTTGAGCCTCGGCAGTATAGAGACCCTGGACGCCAATGCCAAGTCGGCCATCCGGCACATTGAGCTTGCGAGGAGGCTGGAGGACGGGACAGTGTCCATCCTGCCTATGCCATCTTCCAACGGGGGCGAGGAGGGGGAGGGGGGCAGGCTGGTGGTCCCACACGTGGATGGGGTGAGCAACGAGGCGGTAATGAGGATGGCAAGGGTAGCGCAGGGGGGGGGCAGGAGCGAGAGGGTGCTGGAGGGCAGGCAGGTGTTTGAGGAACAAGGGAGGGTTGTAGGGGACGTGGAGGGTGCAGGGGATGGGGCCCAGGACATGGGTGAGTATGTATCCACGAGCAACTCCCAGGGACAGATCATCGTGCTGGGGAACACCAGCCCAGGGGGCCAGCATGGTGGGGTGTTTCCTTATGGGAGTGTAGTGCTGCTGCCCATCAACATGACGCAGCAGATCAGCAGCACCAACAACAACAACTCGGCGGGGGACGAGGCCATGGTGGAGGCGGATAAGGCAAACTAGTGGCCTAGGCTTGCTAGGTCCGGATGAGCACGGTTGGCCTAGGGACTTATTGGGGTCGGGGAATGGTCGTAGGGTGGCCTGTGGCACGCCCCGGCTTAGAGGCTTCCTGATTTTTCACTGTGCGCCTTCGGCTGGACTGAAAGTAGAGCAGCATTGTTTTGTCCTTTTGAATGTGCTTGGGCTCGATATCACAGGGCATAAAGAAACAGTAGCAAGAGTACCTTGCGTGGGGCAGTGGATAGGGGGCTAAAACCAAGTTTTGCAGTGGGGAATAGGTTTCTTGTACCACCACGTGTGATAGATTTCTCTTTGTGTGACGACTGAGTTGACACGTCCTGCCACAGCCCAAGGGCCTGCTTGGGCTGGTGGAAGGGACCCAAGGGAGCCTGAGCAGTGAGCACCGGCATCGGGCAGCAGACCTCACACTGCGCCAGATTGCCCTCACCACTTGCAGCTGCCATGGTGATTTCTCCGGAGGAGGAGCTGTGTTGTGCCTGGCTGCGCTCTGCTCAGGGTGCAGCTGGCATTCACTGGCCTGAAACTCCCCAGCTTGTGTGTGCCTGTGCGCAAATTCCAATAGGACAGTTAATTCATGATATGGCAGCAGTGGCGCAAGGAGGGAGGCAAGCAGCCACCGACGCTGCAACGTGCCTCTCCTGGCAGAAGGCAGCAAGGGCAGTGAGAGGGATGCTTATGCGTCCGGATGAGCTGATCAAATATGATCCAGATGCGAATAATTGCCAGGTTGTGCTGCTGGCACCGGCTCTTGAGCCCTGTACCAGGGGACAAGTTCCCTGGTTCCCATGTGATAGACAAGCAGGCGAAGCTGCCACTTGACGAGGGAAGGAAGCAGGCTTGCGGCCGCCTTGGGCTATTTAAAGTTCTGTGAGTCTTTTGTGGCACGAGAAGACGAGGGCCCTGCCGGGGGGGCGATCGGGTACTGATGGGGTGATGACAACTTGATTTGTATTTCCGCTGTTTTTCATTCTAGCTCACATCATTCCTGTGTGGGGCGCCTCAAGTCAGCTAACTTGGCTCATGCTTACCTTGCTTGCACGTGCCTACAATGGGGAGACGGGCACTTGCACTTGCAGGCAGTGATGGTGCACATGCATCCCAACCATCATTCTGTGACTGTGAGCCGTGTGCTTTCGTTTCACTGCTCGCTTGCCGTTGGCCACGCATGCAAACAGTGCCCGAGGGAAAGGAACAGAATGAACCGACATCCCCTCGTGGGTCCCACCCACTTCCAGGAAATCAGCCATTGGCCACTGGCGCGCTTTGACAAGTCTGGTGCCATGTCATTTGGCTGAAGCACCTGCGGTTCCGCCTGACGTGTCGTGCATTGGCAAACTTTCCATGAGAATAGACGGCGCTCATGGGCACCGTCTATTCTCATTGAAATTTGGAACAGAACCGATCAGTGAACTGACCAGGCGCTGATCAGCGTCTGTCAACGTCATCGAAATGTGGTTCAAAGCGAATTGTGTGCGCCGCGCCGTGCAACCTTGTTTGCACCGGGACACTGAAATGTGATGCAGTACTATGAAATCCAAAAACGAAACTTGTTAGCGGGAAGGGCGTGGCCTGAGGACCGGCCATCGATGCACGCCCTGGGTGGCACGCGCCGCCAATCGTCGGCTGCATGCGCCCAAAATGGAGTGCTGCGATTGAGGCCGGCTGGGGTCATCGCAAAAATCGTTGCTTCGAGGATTGTCCGACATTTGTCATTACAGGATGTGAAGGTCATCAAGGGGTCATGAAGTTCGTGAAGATTACAAGGCACCTATAGGCACCTTAAAGCCCTGGAAAAGTAAAAGGAACCAAACACTCTGACATATCCTGAACCTCAAAATGATCCTCAAAACCTTCGTGACCTTCATGACCTGATGGCGTTATGTCCGGAAATGAAGGGTGTCGAGCATGTGTGTCGTTTTCTTGGGCGACTGGTTGGCTTCATTCACAAACTGACTCCTAAGCGAGCGGGAAGGGGGATTGTCGAATTTGCAGCGGGTCCCGAAGCTTGGAGACGTTCGTCGATGGAGCTTGCCGCATCACATCTGACTGGGAGCGAAAGATGTTCCCCTGGCCACTTAAGTACTTGTACTTTATTTTGCCAGGAGGATCTCTTTGCTCTATTTTTATATTTGTAAATATCGAAATAGTGCAGCCAGCAGTACTGATTGGGAATTTCTACGCACGTGCTGAGAATCGACGACGGTTCTTCGGGGCTTTTTCGAGATGTTGGGATGGGCTTTGGGCCTGAGTCTGCGCCGCGTGTTCTTTGGGTGTGAAGTTGCTTCGATCGTCAAACCTTTAAATCGACCCGCCTGGACGCCCTGAGCGATGGGCCGTTGTGGCTACGAAGGGGTGGCGTCGTGTAACGATGATATTGCGACACATGTACGGAATGGACGGTCTGACCGTAAGGGGGCATCACGGCTCGGATCGGTCACTACATTCCCTGCCTCAAGCCCATTTCCAGACCGCCTCCGCCGGACGGGCTCCCCAGAGGCGAGCTAGGCAGCAACCTGACAACATTGCAGACGATCCATAGGTCAATGCAGCCACTGCAATGGTGGCAATTCGGCACCGCGGCATCTGACTTGGTCCGTTACTACCTGAGGCTGGATCCAGCAGGTGCCACTGCGAAAACTCACTCCCCATTCATTACCTCATGCTCTATTGGATAGGCGCGCTTCCGCACACGAGTCACCCAGTCCTTCACCTAAGGCTCGATCTGGCAGGTGGCCTAGCGGCATCCCACTCGACTCATGCTCACCTGAGGCTCGACGAGGCTGGCGCCCCTGTGACAGCTGACTCCTCCCATTGTTCCCTCACGCTCGATACGACAGGGACCCATGGTATCTGTCTCATATCATTCTTCAGCTGAGGCTGGAGGCGTTATGTTCGCATCGACACCTGTGCCATCCCATTTTGTACTTAGCTGTTGATCAGGCAGGTGCGCTGGTGGCATCCCACTCACCCCATGCTCACCTGCGGCTCGATCAGGCCTGCGCCTCGATCAGGCCTGTGAAACACTGACTCCTCCCATTCTTCAACAGAGGCTTGGCATCTGCCTCATCCCATTCTGTGCGTAACGCTTGATACAACAGGCGCCCTGGCGGCATCCGACTCATATCAACGTTACCTGAGGCTCGATCAGGAGGCGCCCCTGCGAAGACTGACCATCCCATTCTCTGCCGAAGGCTCCATGTGACAGGTGCGCTGGAGGCAGCTGACTCGCCCCGCTATTACCTGAGGCTTGGCCTGCAGGTGCCCTGGTGGCGCCTGACTCCTCCCATTGTTACCTCATGCTCAACACGACAGCTGCCCATCGGCACCTCAGTCATCCCATTCTTCTCCTAAGGCTCGATGTGGCAGGTGCCCCAGCGGCACCCCACTCATCTCATTCTCGCCCGTGGCTAGATCAGGCAGGTGCCCTGCGGAAACCCACCCATCTTGTTCTTCAGCTGAGGCTGCGTCTGGCAGGCGCCCTGGCGCAGACCCGATCATCCCAATATTACCTGAGGTTCTGTCCGACGGGCCCCAGCGGCGTCTGACTCATCCTGGCCTTACTTAAGCTGCTACCAGTGCGTCACCGTCAAATGTGGCCCTGCGGAGCCTCGCCCGCCCCAGCGACAAGACCCGTCCACGTCTCGGTGCAGCGGCCCGTTGCACGAGCACAAGTCACTGTGCCCCAGCCGCGAGCCCCGGCGGTGTGGCATCCACCGCGATTGCCACCGCAGCGATTGGACTGTTATGGGACAGGAGACCAGCCACTGGAAATGGCGCCTCGCGAGGCGCATGCCTGATCGGACACGCGCTTGCGGACACACCTGTGAATCTCCCGAGGGGATGGAAGGAACTGCATTCGGCCCAGGTGCCTTGCCTGCAGATAGAAGGTGCCGGTCCGAAAATGAGCCAAGGTTTTGTGTCCACTGGGGACTGTGATGCCCAACGCAGTCTCGGACGGCCTTGCAAGGCGCAGCAGCGTCGGCAATTGCGGACCAAGCCAGCCATCCACCAGCAAAACGCGGAGCCCAAAGCGGATGTTGGCCGGTGCCATAAATGAACGGTTACAGGGCTTGCCGGTGAGGGTCCATGGAGAGATCGACAGGGGCGTGCGGCATGCAATCAGGCACTGGACGGATCTTGCGAAGTCTGATCGTCAACGAGCCTATGACAACCCCAACCCCGACTTGGCAGGCTGATCGAACGCTGGGGCGACACCCCTCTCATTGGCATTCGTTGCCGCTTGGCTTTCTGAAAGAAGGCCCGCGGTGCCTCTGCCGTCGATCGTGCTGCCGCGCGGCCTTCGCAGGCGCGAGGAGCGTGCTGAGCGTCCTGATGCGCTGGGGGCCCACGCCGTGTAACATTGTCCATTCGGCGCTTGCGCAAATTTTAGCACGCGTGGCCAGCGCTGATCCGCGCGCAACTTCTGCTCTCTCCTGATGCCGCCGGTGGCTGCTCAACATCTCGCCAGTTGAGCGGGTCGTGAAGGTGGTCCTTGGATTGCAAACGTGCGCAGGAATCGCCGGATCGCCGACGGGGGCAGAACCATCGCTTATGCATGGAGGCGTCCGCGCCATCGATGGCCATCAAAGGCGCGACGGGAAATCATCCAGGAATCCCTGGATGACCTGCAGCTCAGATGCTGCCGCGGCTACTCTTCTGCCGCTCCAGGATCCCCCGAACACTCATTTCACGCTGTTTCTGTGCAATACAGCGAGATTGGTTTGCCCACTTTCGGCATAGAACCAGAACACACGCTCCAAATCAACGCATTTCGCTGATGGCCCTAGCTACATGGTGGTGGCTAGCTGTTCGTCGGGCGACCAGCAGGGGGCGGAGCCGTGCCAATCTTCATGCACGCGTCGCTTGTGACACTCGACGTACTCGGCCCGACAAAAGAGAGCGCAATTTGTGTCACAAACAAACCAAGAGCAGCCGCTAACAAACCCCAGGCTCTCGTAAAATATCACAAGTGCTGCCGATTTCCAAACCATTGTTCTCACTGTGATTTCCACCAGGAACAGTGAAACGGGTTGGGTTGCGACATCCCACAGCACCACCACCGGCCAGCGCCCAGAAGCTCACATTGGAGTATTCAAAGGTAAGAATTCAACACTCGACGCCACACCCAATTCCAGCCGATCTCCAGCCCATCAATTGGAAAATTCGGCCAGCGACTCTCCGAGCATTACGTGATCGCACAAAAGGACTGCAAAAGATGCGTGGATTGCGATTATTGTCCTGGCACGAGTAACCCGGACGCCGACCCTGTATGGCAAGTTATCCCCCACTCTATTTGCGCAGCTTCCACTACCCTACCCTCACTGATGCAAATTTTGAGGGACCTCCTGTGCCCGTGAAAAGGCACAGGCCTCTCCCACGGACTTTCTTGGCCAGTAGGGGGGACCGCCCCCGGGGACGTGGGATCATGGCAGTATAAGCATATTACTCAGTACTTCTTGAGCATGTGAACAAGCCCAAATCCAGGGTGACCCACTCTCTTGTACACCAGAAAGCTTGTCATTTGCGTCTACGGCATCCAAACTACATTGACCTAATTACAGCAGCATAATATGGCGATTCACGTTGTGTCAACCCTTGTGGCGTTATGGGGATGTCGCGGGGTGGCAATGATGGTGCTGTTTTGTTTGTTGCAATACACTATCGTTAAGTACTGCGGGAAGGCTCAAAATAAGGATTGAAGCTAAGAAGGGGGCGAAGGGGGCCCCTCCCCGGGGGAGGGGGGGGAGGCTGCCTGGGTCGATCTGTGAGCTTAGCTTCCGTTTGACATTATGCGCACAAAAATTCAGTTAGCGTCTTCCCTAATAGCGACCACCTCTTACACGGCATTTCCCGTCACCAACACAGCCCCGTACTGTGCCGCGGCCCCCCACCCACCTCTCCCCCCACCCTCCATCCCCCGCGGAACTCTCCCACATGCCCGCACGTTGATCGAAGATTGAACGGGTCCCAGCCATAATAGACCTATGGAGTTTTGTCAGCGATTCTCCAGTTATATTTGAAAAGTAAAACTTACCATTCACCCCACCGAATGCAAAACTGTGGATTGGAAGAAGCAACTGACCCACCAATAGAACGGCGACTTTCGCTTTGGTCAATAGAGGGTTAGCTACCAAAGAGGCTCCGGCGTCGGCATGTGGACTATCCCGCTCACACCACCCAGCGAAGCAATGAGAGTTTTCCCTCACCACCCTCGAATGAAAAAGCAGCTGATCCACCTCACTTCACGCCGTCATCGAGTGCAAGATGCAAGGAATTTGTTTGCCATAATTTTTGTTGACAAAACAGATCTACAGAACTCACCTGCTGCGTGGTGTTTTCTGATTCACTGAACACAGGACTGGGACCCAGAGGTTTGGGGCCTCGACCAACGAACCAACCAGCACTTGCCCGTAGAGCGCGCAGCGCCCAGTGAAAATCTCCCCAGATTCCTGAACCGTACAAACACTGACCCACCCATCCGCATCGTTTCCCGCGCCAGACCACCACGGTACATTGGCGCTGAAGCCTTTCACCCGAAACCACAGCCTTTTCAGCAGTTTGGTTGCGGGTGTAAGGCCACAGCAAACCAACAAATGTGCAATAATTCTTCAAAAAAACATCGCAAAATTTCCAGAAAATGGCGCTCATTTGACTCCTTGGACACGCCCGGGCACCAACAAGGCGCGGCCTCGCGCGCGTTGCTCCCGTCCCCCGAGACCACAGCGCGAACTGGTTCGCGTCACCCCGGCCGTGACGCCCCCGCGGATCCCCTCCCCGCCTTGGGATGCGGGCATCGGGGCCCGCCGGGCCCCAGCGCCTGCGACGTGGCTGCGCCATCCTGGTGCTGCTCCTGGCCCTGTGCGGGCGCGGCGCGTGCCAGTTGAACCAGCAGTTCGCGGATGAGGGCGAGGAGGAGGAGAACAAGTTTCGGACGAGGGAGGCGGAGCTGGACGTCAGGCGGCGCAGCAGGTGGGCGGGATCTCGAGAAGGGAGGGGGCGGGGGCGTCGGGATTGCGGGGCAGAGAGGAGCATGTCGGGCAATGGGCGACCCCGCCTGAACAAGTATTGATGGGGGAGAGGGGCGGAAGAGGAAGGTTGGAGGAGGGATTGAGCGTTGATTGATATTGAAGATCAGGATGGGAAGGTGAATTCGCCGTTGCAGGGACGAGGTGCTCGTCGCAAAATGGGTACTCCTCCTGTGCAAAAGCTGGTGAACTTCTGTTCAGAAAATGAGGACAACGTGGCGGGGGGATTGCGACAAAGGAGGGGAAGGGTGTGTGTGTAGCAAAGAATCCTTGTTGAAAGCAAGGAGCAATATGCCCTACAATGGGTAGCCGCAGATGAAAAGAAATGGCAAGAGTTTTCTGCATTGTGAGTAATGATCTGGGATCCCCGATTGCAGGGTGGAAACACACACAACACCTTGCAGCATGCATAGCAAGAAAACGCTCTGGGGGTCCATGAGCTGGTGCTGTGGCTGCAATTATCAGTTGTCAAGGATATGTGGAGTACCAGAACTAGTAACCATTGTTTCTCTGTCCCATGCCATCAGATCTCCAACAGGCGCACAAAACTGAAAACGGTCTCCTGAGATAAGATCAACGATGCCTACCTGCACCATAAGTACAGTTGCCAGACCCACACATCTCTGCTATGTGTGCCCTTGAGTGGCACCTTGAACGTGATGTAGTGTCTGAAAAGGAAATAAAGCAATCTGGGTAAAAAACGTTTGTAGAAAGCCAGAGAACCCAGGAGATGGAAGGCGTCAGTGCCATCAGTTTGGTAAGTAGTTCAGTTTGTCTTCAACACCATTTTCAGGCACATGCTGGTCTATAACTTTGCTGTAGTAGTGGCACAGTTGGCCAGTACTTTGTCTTGCCACCTGTAACCAATCTGATCGAATTTCTCACAAGTATCATCAAATTGGACGAACTCCCAGGCAACTGAATAGGGTTCTGAGGACTGCCCTGCAGCCCAATGTGGCCTCTCAACTGGGCTGAGGGGGAATCAAGAATGGAGCTTTGCCAGCGTTCATTTCAAAGCGGTGCTTGGTACGATCCGATGGCAGAATCTTGGCGATGTGCTGCTTTTGCATGGACAAAGCACTGTCTGGCAGTCAGCTGTACGTTGGGAATGGCTGTGTGTGTTGTGGATAAGGCAGATCTGGTTTGGATGATGGAGATCCATTTTGAGTATGAGCAGCCCCTTGTGGCAAAGAAATGCCCTTGCAAATCAGGATGCTATTACTGCTGTAGCTCTCTTTGCTGATCTTGTTGTCCTTTGTAGTTAGTTTACCCTAAGCTTCAAGGCCAAAACTGCCAAGAGGACCACATGCTCAGCAAGAAGACCATAGTGGTAAAATATTGTCCTTCATGCCCATAATGCGATCACAAGTGTTGATGCCCATCACATGTGTTTGTCCCAACAGCGCTGAGAATTCAAACTTGTCAACAATCAGGGAATTTATTGTCAATGCATCAAGCAACCATGATTCCTTGAGTGACGCATGAAGAGCAGATGCCATCTGTGGTGCTGTGAGTCTGAAAACCTCTTGTGCAGTCGTGGGCAGTGATTGCTGCCAAATGTGACACCCCAAAGAACACAAAAGTCCACAGAGTTGGGGTGATGGATTCAGTGGGCTTGGGACCTGCAGAAAGTTTGTTGATTCAAAGTATGACTGTGCATTTGGGAGTCCAATGGACACAATGTTTGGGAATCAAGAACGAGTTACAGTGGATTGGGGACCCTGCAGAAAGGCTATAGCATACTCCCATTTTTGTCAGCTCTGTTTGTGGGGTTGTTGATGGTTATCACTTGGTTCTGCTGGAAAGGAAACGATGCTGCACAGTCACATGATCTCTATGATCATGCGATATATGTAATGTCTATATGCAATGATATGTGCATGATATGATATCATAATATGATATATGTAATCTCTATATGCATATGATATATGTGATCATGTAATCTCTATTTTGCATCACTGGCGTACTTCAAGACGTATTCCCCTTTTGTACTGCACTACTTTCTGCTGATCTCCACCGAGCAGCACTTATTGGAGAAGTTCGAGGTGGGGAAAATAGTTCTCAGCGTGTTGGGATAACAATGTGTACATGCTCACAAAAAACATTTGTTTAGCATCTTGAAAGCAGGTGATAACACAAACAGCGTAAACTCCTCTTTCCAAGCACAGTGGCACTGAACCTTGCCATCTCATTCATGTTCTGCAACGTTTCAGCTGTAATCAGCGATCAGTTCGTTCGCAAAGCGACCTGGACTGTTCTTGTGTCCAAAGAACATATTGCATCCTTTTGCTGCTGAACAGAAGCGTGCACCAATGTGACAGGTTTGCTTGAAGCTACCACAAGGAAGACAGCAGCAAGTCAGACCACCCATGCTGCTTCTCCAGCCCTGTCTTGGGAGTCTCGTTGACTGGGGAAACACCATGGAAACCTGATGTGGCCCATTTGGCTGTCATAAGTGTGTTCACCTGTCAATAGTATTTGCAAGAAATGCGCATGTTGTCTCTTTGCAACAAAGCTCTGGAGGGGATGGCACAGAAAGGCGTGGTTGTCCCTCAGAAATGAAATGAGAAATGGAAGAAAGAAAGCGACACAAAGACATGCAAGATTTGTTTGGTTGTGAGACTGAGAAATAGAAGAAAAGAAAGCGACACAAAGACATGCAAGATTTGTTTGGTTGTGAGACTGACAGTGAGGGCTTGCTTGGCAGAGCCCCTCCTGAGGATGAGGATGAGGACACCATCAGCCACTGCTCCCACAAAATTCACCTGAGGTGGATGACAGAGGTGTCTTCGAGTGTCTACAGCACCCCGCTGATCACAGACCTTTACAGCGATGGCCACAAGGACATTGTTGTGCCATCCTTTGTCCACTATCTTGAGGTGATTCGCCGTAGTGTGGTCATAGTCTTAGCTTGGTTGTGATCATATTTTAGCCATAATTTGTGACCAGTCGGCATTGCAACCATGTTTCTATGGGGGCCAAACTGTGCGCTCTTGGTGGAGTATTTGGTGCCATTTGCATCCGTCCCATGGCACATATTTATGGTGTCCATCGTACCCGATGCTGTAGGTGCTGGAGGCTGAGGATGGGGCCAAGGCAGTTGGGTGGCCCGCCTTCCACCAGTCGACAGTGCATACATCACCCTTCCTGTATGACATCGATCGGGATGGCATCCAGGACATTGGCATTGCAACTTATGATGGAGAGATCCTGTTCTACAAGGATACAGTGAGTTGATGGCACTGGTCTCTGCATCCAGCATCTTTGTTTCTGGTTTGCATGAGTACAGGATGCAGCCATGAGCTTTTGCACAAAGGCACTGGCAGTGAAAGCATTGCACACCATGAACACCTGCGCTGTTGGATGGTTCAATCAGTCAATCCATCAGTCATCAATCAATGGGTCAGTCCATCAATCAATGTTACAAGCAAGGGCAGGAGGTAGCCAATGTGGTTCAAAGTGCCATGCACGGAAGTTCATGCGCCTGTCGTTTGGTCGTGACACCTGACTTCGGTTGGCTGTCCAGGGTGCGAAGCTGCCACAGTCGCTCCTCATCCCCAAGCTGCCAGTGAAGAAGGACTGGTACGTGGGCCTGAACGAGGACCCGATGGACCACAGCAATCCCGACGTTGGGGATGGTGTCGACCCCTTCAAAAAGGCAGAGGAGAAGGTAGCCCTGTGACAAATTTGCGCCGTTCTTGTTCTTGCCTAAGCAGCGATGGTTGGCAACTTGGGCGTGCAAAGCTGTGGCTGAGGGCACACATATCGTTTGCAAGAGAATCTGGTTTTCAGAGCCAATCCAGCAAGCGTGCATTGTCCGCGAGTCACATGAACTGTTCTGCTGTTTGGCGATTTATATCCGTGCTTTTAATTAGCCATGCATGTTTGTTAAAGACGTGCTTTTACTCAAGCGTGCATTACGAGTTATGCAGGTGCAAGAGATTGCATATTGTGGATGTGTTTGGGAATGCTCCTTTTGAACTTCTTGTTCTTTTAGCCAAGCTTTTATTCATTTTTGCCATTCTAGTCGAGCTTGTGCCCATGCAGGCGGCTGAAGCTGGTGCCCAAAAGGCGACCCAGGGGTCAGGAACTTCTGACGGCGCCGCTGACTCAGACGCCACCGTCCTGCGGCGCCGCCGCCTGCAGGACGTGGAGCGATCGACCGACATGGCCCTGGAAAACGAACACAAATTGACGCAGGAGGCGGCGGAGTCTTTCAAGTCACTGGAAGAGGATGAGGACTCCGAGGAGGGTGGAGACATTGGCGGCGTCTACGGCGGTCAGTATGAGCACCGAAACTCAACCTCTCATTGATCACGCTGAACGACCGTACATGCATGAGATGTATATATACATGTACATATGCACACATGTACATATACATGTGCGTATACATACGGCTCAATGGCCGCATGTCTTGCCGCATGTTTTCTTATTTTTAGCAGATTCTAGTTTTCTTCCTGTTAGTTCAATTTCAGTCAGTGAAAATGTTGAACCAAAAGCATGTAAATTGAAGACAGTCGTGTAACCATCAGCTCCGCACATGCCAGATCCTTCACGGGACACTATGTATCAAGCGTATATACTTGTTATATAAGTAAAAGGATGCAGCCGCCAGCTACCTGTTTCGCCCAAGGACAGCAGTGTCCACTGTTTGCTCATGGAAATCCAAGGGCAGGGCGCCCAAAGACATGACAGATCCCTTCATGAATTTGACTCAGACTCGAATCAGGCTTGCTATTTACGGCGTAGGCACAGCGTGTATTTGCGTATTTCAACGCAAACAGGCCTGAAAATATGTAAATACAAACTGCATTTACGCCGCAAATATCAGCGATTCGGCGTTGACTACTGCACTTACTATGCCATGCGCACTCTTATAGGTGTGTACGACTACCAAGGCGACGTCGCGGAGCGCTACGCCGACTACATCGACGAGGCCTACAGGGGGATCGGTATGAACAGCGACGACTTCTGGGGAGACGAGGAGTTCGAGGGAAGGCCGCAGGAGAAGAAGGAGTCCAGCCACGTGTACATCGACTCGCACGTCCTAAGCACCCCGGTCGTCGCGGACATAGACCAGGACGGGGTGGAGGAGCTGGTGGTGTCCGTGAGCTACTTCTTCGACCGGGATTACTACGACTCGGCGGAGCACAGGGGGGAGCTGGGAGAGGGCGTGGAGCCGTCGCACTACATTGCGAGTGAGCTGCCATTCCGGTTCTTTCTATTATCCTGCGAGCGAGCGAGCGGAGCGCCGCAGCGCGGAAGCAGAGCGGAGGCGAAAGTGCGTGATGGAGAGCGCGAGCGATGATGGAGTCGATGAAATTAACGATTTGATTTATTTTGACATATTTCCATTTTCAGCTCCATTTTTATTTCCATTTCCATTTTCAGCTCCATTTTCATGTTCATTTTCATTTTCACCTTCACCTTCATTTTTCATGGGCGGCCCAGGACTTGACCACGATACATTCTAGCGGGTAATCATCATCAAAATACATGGGCGATTCTAGTGGGTCATGTATCGCGGGCATAGCACGGACAGCGGCAGGCACATCTTTGTCACGACACCATATGTAGAAACCTTGTTCATTTTCATTTCCACTTTCTTTATTTCTTTTTTGTTTCTCCCTTTTCGTCTTTCATTTTCATTCGTTTCCGGAATCTGCGTCACGCTGGAGTGATGACGTGGCGTGGGGCCTCCAGCAGTGGTCTCCTTTTCGTCATTTTGTTACGAGGCAGTGCCCGTCATGCACTATCGGTCTCCCTCGACTCGACTCCACACAAGTCGACAGCTGCGACAGATGCAGTATGCATCAGTCTCACATGTATCAGGTTTTGTTTTCTGTAACTTATGGTGTCGTTTTATCGCTACCAGTTTATTTTCATGGTCGTTGTATGCCATCATATCATGCTATCACAAACGTGTACTTCTGTTCTTGTTTGTTCTGGTTTATCTATCGCACAGTACTGGTGTGCAGTACATTGTCAACGTTCAGTGTTCAGGCCATGAAGGATCGACATGGATTGGCTGCGACTTGTCAGCGCTCAATGCGGACGCACGCAGGCGGCATAGTCGTGTTCGACCTCTACCACAAGTACGTCAAGTGGACCGCCCACCTGGACCTGTCCTCCGACAAGACCAAGTTCCGCGCCTACCTGTACACCGCGCCCACCGTCGTCGACATCGACGGCGACGGCAACATGGAGGTCGTCGTGGGCACGTCTTACGGATTTCTGTACGTCTTGGACCACTTGGGCAGCTCGAGGCAGGGCTGGCCGAAGCAGATGGCCGGCATCGAGGGCCAGGCGCTCGTGGCGGACCTCAACGGAGACGGAGAGGTGGAGATCTTCGCAGGTGGGGTTCGAATTGTCGGAGTTTGGCAGGTGGGCTGTGAGTTGCCTGAAACGGCGAATAAACCTCATAAAATATATACAAAATATAAACTTAAAATATATAAACTAAACCTCATGGGCGTATATTATGTATTTATGCATGGACAATAAATGAATGGAATGAATGTATGTGAGTAAAACATAATGCGTTGAATTTTGCGAACGAATTGTTGAGGGGATCTTGGTGGGATCTGAACGCTGAGGGGAGCTGGAGATTTTTGCAGGCTCACGTGATGCTCAATAGTTCAACAATTTCCCCTATTCGATCAATTACTTGTGAACTTCTTGGTGCTCTTTTTTCCTCCTTCCTAAGCGAAAATGTATCGTTAGTCGTTGCGTTCGCAAATTTGCCGCTCTCTAATGCTAAAGAACAGCAACAGGTTAATAGCAATAGCAGTAGTTTAATCACTGCTAATTTGTTTATGATCTTGCGATTCTTATTGTTACAATTTTATCAGTCACACCTGCACAACGTTGCCACAATGTGAAGTTTGAAGAATGGTAGCACTTTAACTATGTTTCTTTTGGTTATTATTGTTGTTCTTGTATGATTATGGCAGTAACCAAGGCTCCCGCAGGCGGCCGCTCCCAGGCACGGGAAGCAATGCCGTAACCAGATGCGTTACAGGGCAAGTACACCAATCAAATAGCACTTGCTGATATGTTCCCAGTTGGCAATCACCACATTTCCGTGTTTATTTCACCATATTTTAACACCATGTTCCTGTGTCCAGCAGCAACATAACTACCACCAATTCCTTTCAAAATTACCTATTCAGTTAATTTCCTCGCCTTCGCAATGATTCTCATTGTTGAGAAATCATGCTCTCTCCTCCACCACCGAGTACTCCGAATGCACTGTCCAGGCGACACTCGTGGCTCTGTGGCCATGTTCGACATCAGCGGCAATGAGCTCTGGGAGCGCCACCTGGCCAGCCTCATTTCCGCGGCGCCCACCGCCGGCGACGTCGACGGCGACGGCCGCCTGGAGGTCGTCGTCGGCACCGCCTCGGGACACATTTTCGTCCTTGATGGTGCCACGGGGGAGGACAAATCGCCCTTTCCGTTCCGGACGCACGGGCGGATCATGGAGTCGGTGCTCATAACGCGGCTGCACAGTGGGCCCAGCCAGCAGCTGGTGGTCGTGGCATTCGACGGGTAATTGGGCGTTTATTGTTTGTTTGCGGATTGTTCCATCGAGTGTGGCGTTTTTGAGGGTTTGGTGGGTGTGCATCGTAGTTAAGAGATATTGCAATGAGCGCAATTGTCACGCCTTGCTTTGGTGGATATTTACGCCAAAAAGGCGGTCGACATCGCGTGAAATGGCCTGTTCATGCAATGTGTACATGACAAGCAACAATCAATGGCTTGCACATTTTTTGCCATTTTGAAGGGCAAGTGGCACGGCATGCTGACCATTTATTTCAAAGCAAGGTGTCATTCACCATCTTTTTGATTCACAGTTATCACCAGGTAACAAGATTCTACCTTTCAGTAATTTAGGTGTGGTGCAGACACGGACAATGTGCTGTGTGAACTGGTGAATGGCTGCCATCGCATTCGGGCAAAGTGTGCCACTAGCCCAAGGCAGCTCAGTAAACAAAAGCGTGGTTAAGTGATTGAAAACAAAAAAAATTGCGAAGGAGAGGTCCCACAGCGAACTGGGTCATTGAAACGGTACCTAAGCAGCGCAAGTAGCAGTGCATCTCCATTATATCTCATTGGTAACAAGCTAGCTGCTTTTCGTTTTGAGCCAAGTGCCCAGAAGCTGTTTGTCTGTGGCTAAGTTTCACGGCCTACAAATAAACGTTCCATGACAAATGGCTGTCACCAGTAGAAAACAGCCTGTTTGCGATGACAATTGTGACGCCATTTGACACAAATAACTGCAATCACAGCCACTTTATGCCATCGCAATCACTGTGACAGCATCACTTTGTGTCAAAATGGCATCGCAGTTGGCATCGCAAACACGCTGTTTTCGGCCATTGTGCCTGGGCGGACTAAACGCCCACTGGCGGCCCTTTGTTCTTTGAGCCAAAAAGCCAGCTTTAGATGTCTGTGCTGCGTGCAGGTATATGTATGCCATAGATGGGGAGACGGCCTGCGTCGAGGCGGTGGACGTGGGGGAGACGTCCTACAGCATGGTGCTGGCGGACGACTTGAACGACGATGGCAAGATGGAGCTGGTGGTGGCGACGATGAACGGGAATGTTTACATGTTCGAGACGGGCGGGGACTACCACCCCTTGAAGACGTGGCCAGCTCAGGTGCGACGGAGCCCGCGAGCATGAAATCTGATTCGTCAGGAAGAAATGGTGCAACCGAGCAACATAAAGTGCGAAGCCTTGCGGCACTTTTCTTTCCAAAAGAGCTCTATTTCGCTGGCGTCTTCGCATCGCCTTTGGTGTGTCTCCCATGCCATCGCCGAGAGCCTTCCTCCGCTGATACAAAGTACGTGTCTCACTCAATCAAGAACAGTCCCAAGAATGGCAATGCCCTATGTCCACTAATTTCATTCTCAGATTTAGTGAAACTAATTGTGAAATGACCTTAATTGACGACTGCCAATTTTTCACAAGGTGATTTCTTTCAGAGCCGTGTATCAATAACGTAACATCCGTTGAAGCATCGCCGCATCGTTCTGATGGTGGCCACCAGTTTGGGAATGCTGTGTAAAGAAGCTGTACCAACTACAGCTTGCTAGAGGTACGCCATAGCCCGCAACGCTGCTAGAAAAACGCAATAATTAAACCTTGCACATGTTCTCCTGACAGAGATTTGACCCTTTGGGAGGCTGTTCTTTCCTTTTTTGTTCTGTTTTGGGGGCATTGACACCAGTAGAAAACTGCCTGTTTGCAATGCCAATCGCGATGCCATTTTACACAAACGATGCCCATCACAGCCACTTTTGTGCCATCGCAATCACTGTGACGGCTCCACTTTGTGCCCAAGTGGCATTGCAGGTGGCATTGCAGGTGGCATCGCAGGTGGCATCGCGAAAATGCCGTTTTCTGCCAGTGTCATTTGTTTATGTGCATTCATTCACGCCGCCGTCCACCACCCCTGGTGCGCAGGTCCAGAGTGTGAATGGAATGGTTGCGCGGCACCGGTGGGTGGGCATATACGCGCTGAAGAGCTCGCGGGTCAGGCGGGACGTCCGGGGCGACAAGGTCGAGGTGACCTTCCGGATCGTCGACTACCGGCCTCTCGAGGGAAAGCGAGGGGGCCCGCCACCAAAGGGCCACGGGCCGTACAACGTGACGGTGATGCTGAAGGTGGGGCTGGCTGGACAGCCTGGAGGACTGTCCAATACCTGTCATTGCTGAATATGATGGGGCCATGAAGGCCAAGAAGGGTGGTGGGGACCTAAAATGCTAAAATCTATAAACACCTAAAACGCCACAAATTGTAAACACCGTTAACTCGAAAATGACCTCCATGAACTTCATGACTTCTTGACTTCACACCTTCATGGCCTCCATGACTTCGTGACTTCATACTTTCATGGCCTTCATCACCTTCATGACCTCCATGACTCCACGTCCAGGAATGAAGGGCAGCGGACATTGTGCCTTGAGGGATTGGCTTTTCGATTCCCTATCGATAGCATTTGTATCATCGGCTGCCGTGGTTGTATCGTCACCGGCGGCATGCAAATCTCCACTCACCCGAGTTTTCAAAGTACGGCCGATAACGTTATCTTGTTGCTCCATGCGATGCTGGACTGGCTCACAGGCGTTGCTTTGAGCTCACAGTCCGGATCCCGGCGAAATGGGCACGGCCTTGCACATGGCGCCAGCGCGGTCCATCGCACATTATTTCTTGCCCTCTGTGTACTTTGCTTCATTACACGTTCTGTTTTTTCCGTCACTTATGTTTCTATTTGCGTGCTTCTTTTTATTCTTTGTTCTGCAGTTCGATGCAGCTTGCACACAATTCCGAGTTGTGCTGAGCTAGTTGCTCATGCCGATAGAATGACACAGAGCACCTTGGAATTGTTCCGTTACAAATATCCTGTGTACTTCCCTGTAACTCAATGTACTTCCCTGTAACATTACATAAGAAATGCATAAAATTCTGAAAAGTCCATTGAGTTCATGAAAAGGCGCTCGTGGGCTCCCGCAGGGCGTGGGCGTGAAGGAGATGAATGCTGGGGGCACGCCGGTCATCGGCGTCATGGAGACGTACACCTCAAACGGCACGTACACAGTGGTGGTGCCCTGTCCGCGCAGCAGGGCCACGGCCACCATCTTCATCGAAATGACGGACAGGCACAGGCTGTCGTACACGGATGAGTTCAGCCTGTCCTTCCACATGCACTGGTACAAGCTGGTGAAGGTGGGTGGAAGGGGGTGCCGCGATGCTGCTTGAATTTTTTTTTTCTGATTCATCTATTTTTCGTGCATATTGTGTATGTATTGCCAGGTATATTTGATCCAAGGGAGAATATCATCCAGTTATTGTAGGAGTTTTAGGGCGGGGGGTGAGGAAAGGGCGCCCCGTTTTGTTACTTTGAAATTTGAGTTGCATATATTTCATCCCGTGCTGTTGAAGTCGTTGTAATGTGGAACATACTGTGTGTGCCATGTATTTCATCCCGTGCTGTTGAAGTCGTTGTAATGTGGAACATACTGTGTGTGCCATGTCTGACAGCCAGGAATTTACTAGCCAGCATACTGTGTTCTATTAGGAATATTGGGAGCGCGCTGGCTAGTGCACAAGTATGGACGCAAGTACTAGAAGGGGAGTACTGCGATGAAGTGTAATGTACAATGTCAGTGTAATGATGAGTGTAGTGTAGTGTTATTTATATGTACTGCAGCACATTGCGAGCAATGCTCTAAGGAGACCAAGTCGCGCAAGTTTGAACCTTTTTTTGGTGCCATTTTCACCACTGGGTGTGGATGCCGCAGTGGCTGCTGGCGCTGCCCTTCGCGGCCATGGTCTTCACTCTCATCGCCATTAAAGCGCCGCTGACTTCGGAGCGTTACCTCCCGTCGTAACGCAGGGGACACCTCGGTGGCTGGCTGTGACGGCTGCCGTTCCTGCCTGAAAGCAAACGCAGGGCGTAGGCAGGTTGATGGGTGGTTTGAGTTTGGGGCTAAAATTTTGATTCGTTTCTTTTTAGTGCAGGCCGTTCTTTTAATGCCATTCTTAAAATGCCCATTCATAGGCTGTAGACCGACCCGAAAATTGACCGTCTTGTAACCGTAATTTCACCATGGCGTTACTCGACAGCGGGAGGCGAGCTTCGCGAAGTGCTGAGTGCTGTTGTTTCCTAGCGGGCGCATGACTTTTCCGACGGGGATGCCTTGCAGTACATGGGAAACCTTTCGATTCGCGTGCTGCAGTGAGAGTACGGGACGCCCCATCCATGGGCTAACGGCTACACTGCCCGCAACAAGCGACACCATTGTCAGAGTTTTTCGGGAAATCAAACTTGTAAGTAGCTTGCAGTTACCAGAGAGCTGACAACAAGTCATGACTCCGCCGAGGGTGGATACCGTCTGGCAACATGGCTGGCGATAGTTCTTTTTGCCCACTGCCTAACTTCGCGGTAGTTTGAGTTTGCGATTTAGGCCACGCTGACCACTCAAGAGACCACTGCGACCAACGCAAATGCACCGCAACGCAAACCAAACCTAAAGAGAAGAAAGCTATGGGTGCCCCATCTTGGGCCTCTCGGGCGCTCACGTACAAGCAGACTGCCAATTACATCACCCCCGCGGCCCCTAATCGCTTAAACTGACCCACGGTTCACTGACCCGCCCCCGCAACGAGCAAAAATGAACTGGACTGCTCTGCGTCAATCAGTGTCCGACCAGGCCCAAGGGGCGCACCGAGAGGCGCCCCAGACATGCCCGGCTGCGCCGCTATTCCTGGAGCCGGCGCCCCTTCTTCCGCACGAGCGGTCCTACGGCCAGCCACCGGCAGTGCCAAGCGTCGGCAAAGGGCGGAAGCAGGGAGCGGCAGGCGGTGATCGAGGCGAACAGCGCGATCGACGGGCTTTGGAGTCTTTTGGGATTTTTCGACTGGTGAGTGCGGGGGTTGATTTGCGACTCGTCGTTCCCGCCGGGGCGCTGCGGCGGGGAGGGATGGCTGCTGGGCGCATGGGGATCGTTCCCTGGGCTGTGCTTTGGCGTCTGGCGATCTGATGGGCTGAATTGGTGGCCGTGGGGAGGGGCGGGGATGGGAGGTAGGTGGGGGGTTTGGGCGAGCGACGCATCCTGGAAGATGCAGCGGCCCTGATTCGAATCACGAAGCTGAATGCGGTCCCAGGAGCTGCGCAGGGGGGACCGCCATGCAGCGTAGTGCCGCCGCGGGGGGACGATTTCGAGCCTCAGCGTTTTCGTGTCCATTTTGGCGCCTCTTTTTCCGCTGGCCTCCCCGCGCCCCGGCCCGCCTTCAATCCCCGAGGCTGCGGTGGCCGACCGCGCGCTTTACATCATTCCTGTCGCGGGGCCTCTGCCCGGCATCTAGGACACTGGGTTTGAATGACTAACTGGGCAGTCGTCGCCAGTGGGTGCCCGAGAACGCCGACCGTCCGCCGGCAGCAGACGCCGGCATCGCGCTCCGGGTATTCGACGCCCGTCGTTGAGTCAAAGGTCGTGGCGCCTTGCGCCAGCAGCAAGGACACCGGGGCCAGGAAGATGCACCCCACCCCACGCGGTCCTTCCCATTCGGCCCTGGCTTGCCGCCTTTCCCTTCGCCGCCCCTCCCCACCACTGTCAAGAGAAAACAGGAAGAAAAAACGAACAAAGACAAAAAACAAGAAGAAAGAAAACATGCAATTGAGTGTTTGATGGAAAGAATAGACAGAAAGGGTACTTTTGCGAAGCGTGCCCAGGGCCACGCCACCCACGCCCCAGTTGAAGTCTCTCACCGCTTGGCAACGTCCCAGTTGGCATCCTCAGTTAAGGATAAACCATGGGGTCGAATCTCAAACCTGCCCGCGCTCATGGTGTAGACGGCGAACGCCGAATTTGGCAATCGTGGGATGTTGGGGCATTTCAGGGCGCCGGATGCGGACGCGGCGCGCCAGCGTGGCTCTCCCTGTGGCGCCCGGGGACCGCCGGTTGGGGTTCTTTGCAGGGGCCCGTGTGGCAGTCGATCGCTGACGCCCTGCAAGCTCGGCGGGCTGGAGGCGCAGCCGCGCCCGGGCTCGCGCCGAAAAGCGGACCAATGAAAACAGCGCGGGAAGACAATTTTTATGGCTGTTTCATCTTGCGCTTGGAAGGGTGCAGCCGGGGGAGAGAAAAAACTGGAAAAAAACGGGAGGATGAGTCATCATCGGCTGCATCTGTCAATAGTACACCTTTTGTCTTCGGATCTTTTGTCAACATGTCCTACGTTAGCCTTCCAGAGGACAGTCATGGCCCCCACTGTCAAAATGGCACCACATGCAAGGCCACACGCTTGGCCTCAAGTGTGGGATATCGCCTTCAACCCGCCTGTGCTGTTGAGGGGCATTCAGTAATTTGACTTCAGGGCATTGATTGTGTAAGGTGTCGTCTGATCTGTATGTTTGCTTGTCCACTGCTTGAAATTGTGCAGTACTAAGGTTGGTGTACAGTTATTGGTGTGGTGCACAATGCTTGCACCTGAATTGGGAACTGGTTCTTGCCAGCCAACTGCAAACTGAATGGCCATTACCCAGGTGGCAAGAAGTGGGCTTCCAATGGACCCCCTGCTTCCAACAAAACGTCATCGAAAATCCCTGTTGCAAGGCAGTGCTGCACTTTGCTTGTATGTGTAGCCATCGGCCTGATGTGCTCATGGTTGTGAATCGAAACGGGAATGGAACACAGGAGATTGATAGGCGAAGGGCAGTGCACCTGTGGGTATCCGAGAGGGTACTTCTCTGGCATACTTTTCCCCATTCACAAAATCAGACGCAGCATAGGGTTTCGAAGCACAGCCCACAGCATCATACTTAGGGCCAAACGACTGACCCCTCCCATCTTGCAGAATTGTCACAGAAAGTGTCGGGGATATAGTCAATTTTGCCTATCCCATCAACGGGGAATGTACTCGATGCGTGAGAATGTGCCAACAAGCCTCAGTGATCAGAATCGAGTGCGGTGTTGGACTAACTTTGACTCCAAATGCTGCACACGAAATTGGCTGTACGGTGCTGCATTGGCAACGAAGCCAGATGCGGGTGCCCACAGCTCTTCGCCCAGGACGGGAGCAACACCTGAACTCTAAAACGCGATGCCACAGTCTGGAAACCACCAAACAAAATGGATATGGATGCTGGTTCCACGAATTTCGTTTCCAACTGCTTCCCATGTTCTGTCATCCGCCGGTCTGATGTCCCGTGCCTATTTATGTCCGCCTGTTGGGAGGCGCCCTGAACAAATGCGCCGTGTGGTGCTGTTCTACGGAGTTGTGTTTTGAGATTGTGGGGGTAGTGGGGTGGTGCATGGGCGGCTCTGGACGCGGCCATAATACTCTCTGATGGGTCATGTATTGCGGGTATGGCTCGGACGGCGACATGGACATTTTTTGGTCATAACACCACATGTAGGCAATCTTCTTCTTCCTGCACCTTTTCCCGAAATCCCCAAAGCCAGAAGCAGGCGCTCGTTTGTTGGAGCCCGTTCCCAACAGCTTCCCGCCTTATTATACTGCACCCTGTTGTCCAGAAGTGGGTGCCTTTTCCAAAAAGCTCGTTCCCAACACCTTCCCCCCTCTGTCATCCTGCACCCCGATGTCTTCCCTGGCGGCCACCTATTCCTAAACCTATGCAAACCACCCAAACTAGGATTAGGTTTCCTGCAACCCGCTCCTCAGACCTCCCCCCCTTCCCCCCTCGACTATGGACCCCCCGGGACCCAGCCCCTCGTCTCGGCGCCGCCGCGGCAGCTCTCCGAGACCGACCCCCCCCTTTCGGAACGACAGCTCCCCTTCCGAAGCGGCGGTCCGATTCTCCGTGCGCCGCTTCGACCCCAGAAATCCCCGACGCGGCCAAACTACTGGCGACTTCGACTGGGGGGGTACTTTGAGCCTTTCGGGGGGGTCCAGCGGGAGAGATGGGCAGCAAGGGGCGTTTTCCAGAAGCGGCAGCGGAGGCAGCAGTGCTTGTGGAGGGGCTGGAGGGTCTTCGGAGGGCCGGAGGGGGGTGAGATTTTGTTGCGAAGAGAAAACGAAAAAGGGATGAAGAGAGAAACGGGTCGTTTAGAAAGGGCACCCACTGCCAAGCGAAGGATAAGGCCGCCTCCTCCTGAAAGAGTGTGCGTTGGAATCCTTTCCGCGGTGCGAGAAGGTGATGCGAACTTTCCACTGCGAGAAGGGGCCCGGGGGGAGGGGGGTAGACTCCGTTGCGATGAGGACATCCTGTTCGTAAGGAAATAGGTCATGCAAGGGGCACCCACTGCCGAGCGTGCGTGCGCGAGACCGTTTTCCGTGGTGTGAGAAGACGATGCGGAGTCTTCGGTGCGCAAGCGTGATGCAGTGGGGCAGAGGGGGGTTGAGAGTTGTGCGAACAGGGCTTCCTCTTCGTAAGGAAATAGGGTCGTGCCAGGTGCGCGCCTTCCTGAGCGAATGTGCGTTGGGCTCTACTCCGTGGTTTGGGAAGACGATGTGGAGTCTCAAGTGCAAAGACACTCCGCAGCAGACCCGCTGGGGGGGGGGTGGCTCCTTACATCTTCAAATGAGTCAAGGTTAAAGGAGGAAGATTTCCTGCACCCGGTGTTGCGACGAAGGCGCGCGTGTCGCCGCGGTGGCGCGCCCGAGCATGGGTGGGACAGCCGCAGATGCGTCTGTTGGCCGCGTCCGGGGCCGCGCAAAAAACTCGCACGAGAACTCGGGGATGAGCGAAGGAACGGGTGGGAGATGGAGATTAGGAGGGTTGGGAAGGAGGTCTGTGGGTGTGCGGGTGCAGGGAAGGCTGGATTTCCCCTTCTTTTCTATTTTTGGCGGGGGGGGCGGGGGGCCGGGTGGGTGACAACGGAGGGAGGTGAGTCCCGCCGATGTCTCGCAGCTGTCGAGAGAAGCGACTCGAGGCTACAGGTTCGGGAAGATCGGACAGGGGCCGCCGTGCCGTTCGCGAGGCGGCCTGGCAGCGGAACGCGATGCGAAGGAGCGGCGGAGCGCCCTCGCCTGGCTGCAGAGAACCAGTTGCGCCCCCCGTGTCGCCGCGGCGGTCTGCGAGAGTTGCGGAACGGTTTCGGGGCCCTCACGGAGGGTGTCGTGGTTGTGGTCCGGGACGTGCTGCCCTTGAAAATGGGGCAAGGGCTGTCGCCGCGCCCCGCTCTTTGTTCGGGACCCAGGGTGGACGGCCCTGCTAGCGTAGAGTGAGCGAGGCGACACCGGCAGCAGCTCGTTCTAGTCCGGCAGACCGTCTTCGGCACCCGCCCGCAAGGAGAATAGATTACTTCGTCTTTTCGCGTGTACCTATGTTCTTGTGCTGACGGGGCCAGCACCGGCCAGTCGATCAGCGACGTCATTTTTGATGTCGTGCTTCTTTTGTGGCGATTTTTGGATTTTGTGGCAAATTGTGGGAAAATTCACACGAAGGCGGACCCGTTCCAAGTCCACAAGTGGGCTGTCGTGGCTTTGGTGGACAGGGTGAAAAGATATTAAAGTAAATTTGACTGTTTTTGGCTTTTCTGGCTTTTTTGCCTGTGTAATAGGCGAAAAAACATATTTCGCATGAAAAATCGAAGCATGCACCATTCAAGCCATTTCCCATATCTGGTCCACCCCCTGTGTACCAGCACAGCGAGTACCTGCGACTTTAGCCAAACCACTGCCGTCGAGCTTTCGGCACGACTCTGCACGCTGACTGATCCCCCCCTTCTCCCGTGCGCCAGGCGCCACAGGCCTCCAGATCAGAGATGTCTGCAGAGGGCCCAAGAAGGGCCACCTCCATGCGGAGGAGTCTGTCCCGGCTGTGGTCGATCGGCTCCACTCGAGATGCGATCTACGACACCAGCGACGCCCTGGTGCACGGCAGCTCGAGCAAGAAGCAAGATATCCCGTGGATAGTCTCTCAAATGGAGGAGGAGGACGTGGATCGCCAGGAGCTGGCCGCGGTGCTCTTGGCAGAGTTGGTTGCTGCGGACAAGAGTGTCATCGACGCATTTATTCGCGAGAACGGGCTGGCGCCTCTGATTGACATCCTGGAGGGTGGCACTGATCGTGCCAAGGAGCGCGCCACGAAGGTGGTTGCTGCAATCGCGGGCTCAAGGGAGTGGGGGGATGCTTTTGTGGACGCTGGGGGGGTGGAGGTGCTGGTGGGACGGCCGTTGAGGTCCAAGAATGCAGTCAGGCGGAGATTGGCTCTGGCGGCAACGCTGGAGCTGATGGAGCGGGCCCCCATTGAGGGGGGGAAGGATAAGGGTGTGGTGGGCCAGGTGGCGGCATTTGATGGGATCTTGCCGTTGGTTAATTTGGCGGGCAGCGGGGATAGGGAGGAGAGGAGGAAGGCGGCAAAGGCGATTGGGATTCTGTCCGAGGGAAAGGCGCCCATTCCGGCAATGGTTGCGATCAGTGGTGGCGTGAAGGTGATGCTGAGGCTGTCGGAGGCGAGGGGGGATGCGGAGAGGAAAATGGCAGCAAGAGCCCTGGCGAGATTTAGTGACATGAGGGAGAGCCAGGACGAGCTCGTGGCTCAGGGGGGCGTGCCGCCGCTGCTGAGGCTGCTGGGGGATGCAGAGGAGGAGTGCCGGGCGAAGGCTGCGCTAGCATTGGCCAACTTGAGCATGAGGGGCAGGGGCAGGCGAGCAATGGGCCGCTGCGGCGCTGTGGATGAGTTGGTTGAGGCGCTGGAGGGGTTTGAGAGGTGGCCGGGAGTGGTGGCGATGGCAGGCTGCGCGCTGTGCAATCTGGCACAGGACGAGGGGAACAGGGAGGCGATGGTGGAGAGGGGGGCCGTGTCCCTGTTGCTGCGGATTTTGGACGAGTCGGATGATGGGGCGCAGAAGGTGGCGCTGGCGGCGCTGGGGAACCTGGCCCGCAGCAAGGGCCCCAGGGGGGCGATAGTGGGGGCGGACGGCGGCATCGCTCTGGCCCTGATCGTGGAAAAGTTGGCCGACACGGACCCCGTGAAGGCGCAACGGGCGGCGCGGGCGCTGTCGAACCTGGCGATCAGCAAGACGGCCCACGAGGGGATCGTTGAGGCGGGGGCGATACGACATCTGGCAGGGCTGTTGCAGTCGGGCTGGGGAGAGATGCGGAGGGTGGTGGCGGGGTGCCTGGCCTCCCTAGCAGTCAACCTGGAGTGCAAGAAGGACATCGCCGATTATGGAGTTATACCAGGTTTGTGGGCAGCTGCAAATATCAGAGCCGTTGTGGCACAGCACTTGCCTGTTGCCCTTGCTAAAATGTGAACGCCGAAAAGGAAAGAACAAAAGAAAAAAACAAAGAACATTGTGGGGCACTTGCACCTGCTAGCGACGGCAGGTTTCTGTCCGCTAGCAATTAGTTGTTTGGAGTGCACTCTGCTTCACGAAGTGGACTACCTATTCATTGGAGTGTGCTTGCTTTCAGAGGCAACAGCATGGTATTTCACAGTATTGAAATGAACTGCTGAATCAACGTTATGGGTATCGCCAGCATCCTGCTGGGTGCCAAGGGCTGCCAAGGATTCCATGCGGCCGTTTACCAGTATGCAAGTATGATATGTGACGACAGGCGTTTGGACGTCCAAATCGCTTGTCTGCCCATTTTATGCACTGAAGATGGTTGGTGAAGATGCCAGGCATTCAGATGGGCTGCATGCTCTTCCTTTTATCTTCTGTCAGTGCTTTGCAGTAACCGAATTGTTACTCACTGTATTTTAACCAGGACTAGTGGCAATGCTGACGGGAGAACATGCGGAGCAGGCGGCCTTTGCGATCGCCACACTCCTGGATGGCATCGAGGTGCTCTCTGCCGATGTCACTGACCGCATCATCGCCAGCGTGGCAGCAGATGAGGGCATCCCCCGCCTCTCCCTGCTCCTTGCCTCAAAGTCTGGATATTCAAGCCTGCATGCAGCACGCGCGATCGCCAGCCTATCGGATTCGACGACTGCCATCAGAATGGAGGTCGGGTGCTCAGGGGCAGTGGCCAATCTGGCAGGCCTGCTGGTGGAAGACAACACTGACCTGAGGTACAGCGCCGTGAGGGCGCTGGCGGGCCTGTCGCGCGTGGAAGAGAACCGGGAGGCCATCGGCGAGAGCGGATGCGTCAGATGGCTGATCCATTTGATGCACACAGGTGGGCCGTTGTTCTGGGGTTCGTTGCTGACTTTTTCTGCCAGAATTTTGCATCTCATTCGGGTCCAAGGGCTGGTACAGCATAGACTGCCGTTTCGTTGTTATGTTTGCTTCCGAAATATTACAAAGAGTTGCTGTGGTTGTCGATCAGTTTCTTTATTTCCAAATATTGCTGTCATGCTATATAATGTTGCTTTTGCTTTGATGAAACGATCTGAGCCTGACGCCAGAGTCGTGTGTGCCATTGAATTCGATTTTCGGATAAGCCTTACAAAGTGGATAGCCATTGCTTGACTGGGCCGATGTCATCTGCTGGCATGGTGCAGACGCAGGGTGGCCCTTTGCCCTTTTTCCTTTCATTGCCCTCTTTACCTCTTATTCCTGAAAACAGCTGGCATGAATGCGCACCAACAGGACTCACAGAAGTATGACAGACCACTACCGCGGCACCTGTAGCAGCTTATGGTCTATCATGTATCTCTGCTGGTGAACTCAGATTGTCAGACAGTGTCTTGTTCCTGCTGGCCTACCAGGGCAACACAGTGCTTGGCCAAAAAAGAGAAAGTAGCCCTAATGTGGTCAGCACATACATGTGCATGGGTCTACCCAAAGCAGAACGCCCCAGAGCGCACCCCTTCTTTGTTCAGTTTCTTTCACATCCCAAAGAGCAACTGCTTGCTGGCTAGCATTATTCATCATTGGGCACAGCAGTCAAAATACTGCATAGTGCTGCCCTTGCAGATGTTAAGGCATGCCAGGCGATATTTTTCTCACTGGAGATTCTGGCACATGCCGTATGTTGGAAACAGGTACATCCCATGCGATTCATGGAATGCATGCTGATGCATACGATGCATTCAACAAGCATGCCATCTGATGGAAACAGGAAATTGTGCCTGCAGGCGATGACAAGGTTCGAAAGCTGGCAGCGTCGACCCTCTCCAATGTGACCTTTTTGTACGGCGTCGATCAATGGCGACAACAGGCGACGCTGGCGGGGCCCTCTGGGCAATCCGACAAGGGCTGCTCAGAGGCAGTCGTGCCAGCATGTGGGACGGTGGAGGTGGCCAATGTGCAGGGGATGAGCACACCTGCGATGGTGGCAGAGGGGCACGTGGGACAGGTGGGTGACGTTGTTGTTCATTGCATTGGGTTAATCGACAACTTATTGTCATATCACCGGCGCATATAAGCACAACCAATTTGTTCATCCATGGTGTACTCGCCCAACAAAGGACACTCTGGATGGGTGAAATTGCTCTATTCAACTTGAAGTTGTTTGCGATGTTCCTGCTGAAGAGTACATCCCACTTGAGCCTTGGGCTTGCGCTCAGGGACATGCTTCCTGCCTTTTGAAAATGAATTGCTAGTCACGAAACGAGCACCCACCACCTTGGAAGTATCAACGGAGAATAGACGTTGCTTGTATACAACATAGTTATGATGTTGCTTCTGCTTGGAGTTTAATTCCAATATTGATGATGATGTTGTTTTTTGTTTACTCATGTGGAATATTTGCTTGCGTAATGTTCGTGCTGGACTTTACTCAAGGCTCTTGAATTTCGCGATTTCGCAGTGTGGGGATTTGGAGGCTTCCATATGCGGCTTCGGTTTGGGGCTCTGGACTAGCAGTTGTGGATTTTGAATTGTAGCAGAGAGATCTCCTGTTAATGATAGCGCACTATGTCAATGGGCTGCCCACGACTGCGGGGCACCAAAATTTGCAGATGCATCCATGCAGCTATATGCGGGTACATCCTTGAGCATACACTGTGTGCTCTACACCGCGCACACTCCACGGATGGCGAAATTGCCAAAACATGTGCTGTTTCCACAACATGTGCACAAAATGTGATGAAAGCTGTGCAACAAATATGCATATAATTGCTGTAAAAACTGTGCCAAAAGTGTGCGAAAAATGTGGTGATTGCATCAGGCGGAGGGCGAGTCCGAGGATGGCTCACCATCAGCGCAAGGAGGCAGCGGCGCGCCGGTGGTCGCCATCGGCACGTGGTTCCGCGAACGGAACGGCGGGTCGGTGCTCGGGCCAGCCGAACTGGACAGCCTGCGTCGCTTGCCAGACCGTTTGCTGCAGGCCATCGCCGTTGAGATCGGGAGCGGCCCCGCGCAAAGCAACTGAGGGTGCGTGGCGGGAGAGATTTGGCAGGACGGCTAAATTTAGGAGGATGCCTCATTCCCCGGTCCTAGTTTAGCAGGATGGCTGGATCCCTTTGCTTGGAATTGCCTTCGAAAGGCCCTGGCACCTTGCGCAATGGCGAGGGGCAGGTTGACTCCGCTTCATCATATTTATTGAATGCTCGACAAAACGATGCACAGAACACCTGCAGGATGGCAAAAGACAACACTGCTTGATTTGTGGGTGTCAGATCTCACCCTTTGTGCTGGTCACCATTTCTCATTTACCTTCGATAGTGGGGATTGGGTTTGATATGGAGTTGAGGGCCCCAACTGGCCAGTCTGCGCTGTTCTGCTTGATGCTCCGAGGGGGCAGTGATGTCATGCGTGACTCGACTCTGCGTTGCTCCACGCGTAATGTAAGAAGCATCTGTTCAGTCAAAGCCTCGACAACACAGTGATGGAGTCCGGGTATTATTGGGGGTGGTTGGTCTCTGGAGGCCTGCCTGCTGGGTCTGCCTTGAGGAGTTGAGGTGTTTGGGCGCTCTTGCGACATGCACTTGGAGGTCTTCGACGACTGCCAGCAGCTTGACGTCGTGTGATCATCTGGGTTCAGCGGAGACACGTGTCACACAACAACAAGTGTAAGAACAGAATAAGAACAACCACAGGGCGAAGCTTCTCTGTGAAAAGCGTGCACACTTTGAGGATGCATCCACCGACAGGAACCTATCACAACATGGGCAAATAGCGAGCCCATGGTAAGCGAGCCCCGTTGTCAAAAAGATAGCCACAAGTGCAATGCAAAACGGAGGGGTGGCAGGATGGCAGGGCGGCAGGGCGGAAGGGTGGGCACTTGTTTTGAGATTCTGCGGCGGTTGCATTTGTGACGGTGTGCGAGCGAGCGCCTGTCGCGGCGACACAACGCGCCCCCCGGGCACAGCGAACAGAGGAAGTCTCTTGCAACGTCAGCCATCCAGCTTGAGAATATGTGTGTGGCGGGCATGCGCACGACGGCGCCAGCTCAAATCACTGCATGATGCCATTAATGGCTGCCATTAACAGCTTCAATATTGAAGTTGCTGGGGTTGAACATGCGCACTCACCACAGCTGCAATGAGAAGCGGCTCGCAGCTCATGTTCCCTGCGCTCGTAACGACGCTGGCGTTGCCGGCTTTGGGTTTGAACGGGACGCTGCGGTCGGCAAATGGGTGAGATTTGTTGCCAGGAGGGGAAGAAATGAAATTAACTATCTTAATAAATTAACTGTATTAGCCAATTGGTATCTGCCAAGAGAGACGACGGGAGGGTTACACCGGTGATTCAAGCGGCGCAGTCTGAACATGGGGCTTACTCAGCCGCCGTCCCTTGGGATTTCTGGCCACCCTAGTGGGTCAGTCGAAAATACGAGGTGCCGCCAACCTTGGCGCCCTCGGGTTTGGCAGGCTTCGGCGAGGCTGAGCGGGGCCGCCTATTTAGGCTCCCCCCTCAGTCCCTCTCATCCTGTTTCGATCCCAGCCCTCCCGCCCTAGAGAGTGGTGTCCGGTATAGTTATGGGAAGGAGAGGCGGTGAGCGAGCGAAGTACGGGAACAGGGAGCTGACTCATGGGGTGAGCCACTCGCTGAGTGGCGTTAAGTACTAGCGAAGCGAACGGGCAAACTTGACGGATGGGGACCTCGGGTACAGTACGGTAAATTGTGGTGAACTTGTAAGTGTGGGGGAGTACATGACCGGGTGGGCTCAGGAAAACGGTAAGGCAGAAGCAGGTCATGCAAATGCCCTCCTGAGCAAGTGTATGCATGACGCTTTTCCCAGCTGTGACAAAGGTGATGTGGAGTCTCCGATGCGAATGATGGGTACACAACGCGAGCAGCACAAAATGCAAGAGATCGGTGAATGGAGATCATGCATCCACAGGGACGGCCGTCGCCGCGCCTGGGGTCGGACAAGAACACACCAACGACCGTTACTGGGATCCGGTCCCGAAGCCTCAAAGGCACAAGCGCAGTGGTTTCCTTTCGACAGAAATGTGCCCGAACGGATTGAAGCGAATGCCGTCCTTCGGAGGCAGTCAGCGCGGGCGCAGCACCTGTGACGCATCGCCAACAGTACTGCAGGCGATATGTGCCGACCGGGGAAGCTCTGAAGGCACGACCGCGAAGGCAATGTCGTGATCGCAAGATTTGATCAAAAGGCCTGCCTTGCGCAGTCAAAATTTAGATTGTTTTGCAGGGGTCGACGTCGATTTCACGAGCAGTCCGCTTGGCATTCAGCTATCGCGGTGAGCCGTTTTGTGCAGCTGATCCTGGTGCAAACACAGGTGGAAATATATTGTGCGTCATACGTTGAACTGAAATATATTGTGCGGCATACATTGGAGCGAAACATATTGTGCGACATATATTGTGTGCAAAAAGAATTGTGCGAAATGCAGAGCTTGGCTCAATCGGCGCAGACACTTTTGGATCCCATAAAAACCGTTTGCTGCATCTGCCGAGCACGCGACAAAGCGTTCCAGAGCCCAGCTGCAAGCGCGCGACGCTCAAGGTGAGAAGGATGCCTTTTGCTGTCCGTCATGCCCGTGGGACGTTTGGCTATGTCCTGGGAGCCAGGGCGATAATGGCACTCGTCAGAGTCACGAACGCATCGCAGGCTCCCTGGCGGTACTGCCTGGTGGCTCTTTCCCAACCTTACTTCTGTCCGATGTCAGGATGGCGGTATTCGCCTTGCTGCAGGCGCGGATGGACACAGAATCACAAGGCCAATCACAATATCAAGGTCTCGTTGCCACAGCTGTCCGTCACGAGGAGACCGATCGTGTGAATGCATCGAGATCTTCCACAAAAATGGCATCTTATTAATGGATGTTTATGGCATCTTAGTTGAGCCAAAGCGGATTTTGTGATTGAAACTGTCCATATCTGTGCAGATGCGTTGCGCCACAGTAAATGCGAACAAGTTCAATCACAGTGTGGCGATGTCGTGGCGGCAGCCGTCCACATTAACAAGTCTGATCAGACTCATTCCGCACAATTTAACAGGGATACAAACACTTGAATAAACAATTAAAGTCAGCTCCTGGGGATTCGCCCAATGGTTCCAAAACTGCCCTCGATACCCCCGCCCTATCCCCAAAGGGTGGACCCGCGCCATGTGTCAGGCCCTTTGTGCTGCCCCCAAACGCCAAGGTACCTTCAAAATGCGTGTCGTGATGGTCGCCCGATTCTCAACTGCAGAAATGCCCAAGTGCCTCCCCAATCCAGTGAAATGCTTCGCAGGTGTCGAAAGGAATCTTGGGCAAGGGCAAGAGCGCCCTGCCGCACACCGGGCTTGGATTCACAAAGCCCATCGCCAGAAGCTCATTGTGTTCGCCATGTGTGCGAGCGTGGCAATGAAATCGATCAGGAAAATTTAAAAGTCGGCTGAGCGCGTCCTCACAAGTTCCTAGAACACAAATCGTTCATAAAATGCCCCAAACAAAGTGCCGGGAAATTGTGCGCATTCTCGTGTGTTGACAGGCTTTTGCCAACACAGCACTTTAAGCACCGGATCGTCGAAACAGCTGCCGGCCAATGTGTTGCCATTGGCCCATTCTCTCAGAGTGCCGCGGCACGCTCGCCTCAACCTTCCTCTCGTCGCGTCCTTGCGCACTTGCAGCCTCCAATCCCCAACGGCGCTTGAGAGACCCATTGCGCTCTCGCTGCCGCTGGCCGCGACCACGGTGCCTACACGCGCCAGAAATTGTTCAGGGCGCGTGTCTCACACGGGCACCGTGAGGAACCTTGATTTTGGCTCAAAATTGGATATTGATATGATACAGTATTTGGATATTTGTTGTATAGCATACTAATTGGATATGTGTGTAGTCGCATTCATTTAAAACTAGACAGCTTATCACAGCAAACGTGGATTTGATACCCCAGTTCGCGCCGTCGCCAGCAGGGCCCTCGGCCCCTCATTATATGTATCGTATTGCCGAATATATTTCGCAAATATTGCCGATTTCACACATTATCTGTTCTCAAATTGTGTCAGAATGGGAGAGCATCGCGTACTCGAGGTTTGGGCGTACAATTTGAGAACAGATACTGTGTGAAATCGGCAATATTTGCGAAATATACACAGCAATACGATACATAATGAGACCTTCTTTGACATCTGGAGTTGGTCAAATCCGTTTAATATAAATAGGCTCGACTTCCCCATCAATTCTAGCTTTTAATGAGACCACATACCATCACCCTAACCGCATCTCCCAACCATACAACCATATGGGGCCATGTCTTATTCTCTAACCGTGTACTGGCGCCATTTTCTCCTGTGCCTTGTGGCTCTTCTGACTGCCCTGGTCCACCTAATTGCTCCTTCCATATGGAGTGAGGAGCGTCAGGTGGCTGGCGCATAACAAGCTCCCAACAATGAAACCATACCAAGAGAATGGAAGGAACGACACCATAAGCTTCAATTCATCCAACTAGATGACATAGGGCGCGGTCACACTGTGCACTGTTCGCGCCATGGGGCACCTTAAGCACATGGAGCACTTTCGGAGAGGGGGACACCTTGGGGGCGTAGAGCGCAGCTGATGCACGACCGCGCTCGGGTCGACTGAGCGGGATTTTGGACGTATGGGAACTTTGGAGAAAGGGCTTGTTTGCATGTGCACGTTGCCTGTCGGCCAAATCGCACCTGCGCCCTTGCGCACGCGACTGGGAAGCGGACGCTGAGCGCGATGGTTGGCCGATGTCGGATACTTGTTCCCTTTCAAAGGGGAAGGAGGCATCAATAAATTTGACGTATAAAACGAAGCAGTAAGCCAAAGCTACAAAGCGAAACTATAAGCAATAGCTACAAAGTGAAGGTATAAACACGGCTGCAAAAGGAAGCAGTAAATTATCGCTCCGCTCAAATCGCTCTAGTTTCGGCTCTTCAACAGTGATTCTTGAAAACAATCCCTTGCACATGCATTTTGGAGGTCACCACGGGCACAGCTCCTCATACTCGTCACCACAATCTCCAAATACTTGCCTGCGCTCTAGAGGTAGTTCAAGCACTGCTCGGAGCTCTGGAGGGTGGGGCAAACTGCGATCCCATTGCCCACTCTCTGCTTCAGGTTGCTGCCCTCCTCATACCCCAATTCGAGCAGGACTTCTTCGCCGGGAACGCACTCCTCTGCGCGCAGCGCAACACCTTCCAGTGGTTACTTCACGTAAATCAGTAGTTGAAAATTGAAATAAAGTAGCAATGCAAAATGGAGAGGCCTTAGACACAAGTCCGGATTAAGCAAACGACACAAGGAACATAGCGCAGGCGCCAGCATGGCATCGCATCTTTGTGAAGATTTTACCCTTGTGCACTTGGATAAACACGTGTGCTTGGGACCATCGCCCGAAATCGACAGTTTGGCGCAAGGCATTTGTATTGCCCTGCTGTGTATTGGAACTTGACAAACATATTACATTTGACTGCTAATGTAAGTTTTACGTATACACTTTCAATTGGCATATGTGGTTTCAATATATAATTTTCTTTTTATGCGACAAATGCATTACATTTAAGTACTAACGTATTGCATTCAATTGCTAATTCAAACGTTGATTAGCCGTGCGTCATGTGCGCGCCTGTGCTCGTGAGAGCCGTGAGCGTCCTCTTGATCTCGCAGTCGTCAGCACAGTCTTCGCCTTCCCTGTCCGAGCACAGCAGCACGTCCTTCTGGTACACGCAGAACGGGTCGTCCGTGTCCTTTAGGAACCACTTCATGAAGTCCACGGCGGGTGGGTAGACGCAGGTGCCCCCCGACACGACGCAGCTGCCGCCGCACCTGTCAGCGCCCAAAGACCCCATTACACTGCGCCTAGCTGAGTACTCATGCATTTCTATTGAATTCTAAATTAAATTGAACCAAATATGCTAAAGAATAATTAGCCTACCGAGCTACCGATACTTAACAATTAAACTAAGCTGAACTGACCAATAGTTAAGTAGCCAATCAATAATAATTATTATTATTTGAATTATATAACAAGTATAAATTAGAAATCTAAATCTGAAATTTCTAATGTACTTATGCTGCATTTCTGCTGCTTTTCCAGCTCAATTTCATGCGCTTCGTAACATTGAAAGAATGTTGCGATCACTCTTGTGGGTGCAACGCGTGGGTGGTGTTGTTCATGGGCTTTGTGATTAGACCCGCGGTTGGAGCAATTGGCTTCGAAGGCAGCTGGCAAAGTATGCCAGGAGCAGCACGTTATGAAAAGGAAAGGTCAGAATTGATGAAATAAATCTTCTAATGTTTCACTGATAGAAAACAGCAACTGCGATGCTGTTTTGACACAAAACGATGCCGTCACAGTGATTGCGATGGCATAAAAGTGGCTGTAATGGCATCAATTTGTGTCAAATGGCGTCGCAATTGGCATCGCAAACAGCCTGTTTTCTGCTGGTGTTTGATGAGCGATAAGTCCATGGCAGACAGACAAAAGATTTAGATGCTGCAGATTGGTGACGGTTAAATCTACGATAGGATTGGTGGAAAAGGCCTGCACACACCTGTCCACCTCCAGCCCCAAGCAAGTATCCAGGATGGCCACATCGACAGTCAGGTCTGTGTTGTCGCCTAGGGCCTGCGCCATGAATCACTTAGACCACTTCAAAACTTAAACAATCTTAACAGAACTAAAAAACTAAACAGTTATTCACTTAAAAACAATATCATTAGTTTAGCAAGTCATAGCGCATCTACGAATAGATGCGAAGATGAAAAGAAGTTGATTAACTTGATTATGCAATCGACAGCGGTTCTCCAAACTGATATGCAGACAGCGATTCTAAGCAGCCGCATAGGGCTCACGGATTGCATGACGCCAGCAAATTCAACCATTACGTAATTGACTATTCGCCGAAATTAGCCAATCTCGTTGCGCAGAACGCAGGTTGGTGTCACCAACTCGGCGCTGTCTCCCACCTTGCGCATTTGAGCACCGCTTTATGGATGTAATGCCATTATAAATTCAATGGTGTTATATTAATGGCGTTATGAATGCAATATAGTTTTCTGAATGTAATTTTGAATGTAACAATCAACACGCATTCTGGGGCTTGGGTTTGAGCATTGCGGTTGTACGGATTCCAGGGAATCGCAAATACCCTTTAAAGGGGCGTTTTTTGGCAACCGCTGTTCACTTTACCTGCGCCACGGCAGCGTCGTCCACCTCGCAAACCATGGTCTTGGTGTTCCTGCAGCCATGGCGGAGAGCACAAAAATGACCAACACACACCCGAAATGATCAAAACAAGAAGATGTGTTTCAAAGTAAGCAGAAACGCCCATTCCGCTGCCAACAAATGGATCCCCGTTTCTCGGCCTGAGTTGATTAATTGTGAATTTTTTCATCATTTAAATTCAATTCAAGAAGGTTTATATTCAGGCAAGGAAGCAACCGTGGGCTGCATATTTCGCCCCAAAGAAGGAATGTCTACAATTTCTCATTGAATCGCTCGTCACTATCACTGGCCATTCACAAACCTCTGTTTCCGCTGAGGTTCAATTTACATTCGATTAAATTTCAATTGATATTCAGTTAACGTCGCTCAATATTGTCGGTGCGGATCTCCAAAAGGCGACGTAGAAAGATCCTTTCCCATCGTTGCCTCGCACGTGCGGTGCAATGACTTCTCATGCTCTGATAAAAGGAATCCACACCCGGAACTGCGGAATATCCGGCTGATGCAAATGAGGCACCGCCATTACCACTGTTAGTGAACAGTACTGGTGCACTGTTAGTAGTACTAGTGTACTAGCAGTAGTAGTGATCAGGGAAATGGAGCAAGCGAGGGCGCATGCCTTGTTCACTTCGCCATCAGCGGTTCACTCACCAGACACATCCGCTGACGTCACCGCACCGTGCTTTTGACCTCAGCAGGTCGCACTCGCGGCTTCGCATGAAAATCACCCATTCCCGAACCACGCAGCTCTGAAGGCGGCGGAGCTCGTCGCGGACGCACCCCTCATCCTCGCCTCTCCTATGAGCATTATTCATTGTGAAAAAAGGGGGGCAAAAACATGCTCTGTTTTCGCTTTTCGCTTGTAATTTGCACATTTACTTTCGTTGTCACTTTTCGCTCAACCATTCGTTGAAATTGAGCAGTCTGGGCAAGCACCGATACATACGCATACTATGCAGCGCACATCAGGTATTGGCTGATTGCATATAATGGATTTAAAACCTAAATGACAGGCTAAATGACAGCAATTGTCCTTTCCAGGGTTTTGCGGGAATGGGGACCCTCTGTGCTGCCGACAGACGCCCCACACTCGGCGCTGGACCGACGGCAGATCGCAACCGCACCCAAAGTGCGGCGGGCGCTCAGAGGACATCCCTCTGTAAATCCGTCATCCCGCAGGGGATCCCAATTTGCCTCTGAGGGCCCCTTTTGTCACGAAATCTTAGAAATTACCCCTTTTGTCATTTTCCCTTACAATTATTTGTGCGCTATTCAATGAGTTGATTGGGTGATTTCAAAGCAAAATATTCGCGATGTGCAGCTGTTCAAACGAGCTTCAAACGCAAAGCAGAATTGCGTGGAGCGGTGGATTTCTGCCGCTTGATTGCTGGTTCCAGCAAACGCACGCAGGACTATCGGTTCGAGATTCAGTGGCGCACGAAGCACCCACACAAGGTAAATTGAAAGCATGAGCATGAGCTTGCTCAGTGATTCGTGAAGTGCTTAGGAGCAACGTTTAGTACATTGCTTTGCGTGCGGTCCGCTCGACAGGCTGGTCTCTGAGTGTCCTGTTCTGGCGTGAGCAGTGTGGAGGTAGCCATACCCACCGGGGCATATACGGTGTCTTGGCTTGCTCTGCTCCGTGCAGTCTAACACATTCCTCTTATATCAACAGATGGCTGCATTTGTCACAAGGCCAAGCAAAATCGGTTCACCAGCTGGTGAATTCTGCAGAATTGTTGATGCGGACGCCGCCCCTAAGCGCATGTTGGTCTGCACCATCGATCTCAATACTCCGCGGCTGCAGTAATCTCAGCGGGGCGACGACGCCGGCAAAAGGCCTTGCCTGCTCCCCTGTCGCCAATGGCACAGCGGTGGCACATTTCCTTTTCAAAAGCTTCACAGCAGTCTCTAACGCACACTGGAATCCCATGGGGCAGCGTTTCATTTTTGAGGGTGCCCCGGCTCTGGTGTGCACATTAAGTGGACATAGAAGCCTCCACATGGCAGTGCCGGGGGGCCCGCAATACGCCAGATACTGGGCGTTCGAATTTGTTTCTGGAAACTCCAAACAGATCCAATCTGTGCTCATCATCAACTGAGGTCTCTGTTGGCTAGATTGCACCAAAGGCTGCCAGACGAAGGGACTCAGAAAACTCCTTACCAAATGCAGCCTCCAGGGGGCTGTTCGCACGCATCCTGTTCTTCAATCTCTGCGCACCTCTGCATTCGGCCGACAACCAAATCTCAGCCCAGGCGACATCACACGAGTAAATGTTTGGTTGCGTTTATGTTGATTTCCGCCGTGTGTCATGCCTACCGATATTGGACATTTTGCACCTCATCTCACAGACAGCACGGTTTCGCAATTACAGCCCAACAGGGGAATTCTGACTGGGAAGCAGGGCGCTGTCTTCATGTTTCAGATAGAAGACAAATACTGTCTCCTATATGAGCTATTCAGATCGCTCAGTGTTGTATCTTGTGATCTGTCGTCTTGAATGTTCTGTCAAGCTGGAACACTTGGTGCACGAGCTTGGAAAACCGCCATCTGGCCAAGCTTCGGTCTGCCCTGGCATCCGACGCAAAATGAAAAATGCCACCACGACAGAAAGTCACATACTGTCGACGTAAACAAGCTCAACTCCTCCATTCAATCGCGTTCAATTATCCCAAACCGTGTACGTGATGATGGAGTCACGTGAGCGTGAGCCAAAGGGAGAAATTCCAACTTTTTGTAGCGTGCTTGACTAAATTCAGCTGAAAGATTCAGTCACCCTGAAGCTAGCGACAGCCGCGTGCCCACTCTCAGCGAACTGTGCTGCGTGGCGGAGACAAGGGCAGATGGTGTGGTCACAGCCGTTACTCTGCACTAAAGGTCCACCATCAAAAGCAGCAGGTATTGAACAGTAAATGGATCCATGTTTCTGTCACAGCCGCATGGATTTACAATACGTAGCATGGAATCTCGCCTCCCCCAAAGACAGCAGATTTGTGTCTGCTATTGGTTCCAAAATGTTATATCACCTGAACACTGAAGTATGATGTAATATTCTGGAATCGCAAAAAAAACAGGGGTGTCTGTACTGAACAGGTAGCACATTGGAGTACCTCAATATCATCTTCGCCTGCGGTCAAATTCTTGTTTGGCAGGTTGCCCAAAATGTCCGCACTGCAGGTGCCAGCCACCCACTTGCATATGCCACGCCTTTGCAGGGTCTTCCTATGATGGCGGAACGTGGTTGCGACTTCATTCTGCACTCACAGATCCCCGCCAGATCAAGCGCTTTCCAATTTGCAAGTTGGTACAATGTCGTTGGGACAATGTAGAGGCAAAGGGAGTGACGTGGCCGAGGGAATCGAGGCATGCTTTTCAATTTAAGCTGATTTGAATGGTTTTGCGATCCAGCGCGTTGTCGGCGAACTTCCATTGCTGATTTGATGCTTCCATTTGCGACATGGATTTAGGCTCCTCCTCAATATCCATGGAGTGCAAGTGTGCGAGCACTACCCGACACAGGTATACAGACTTGCGCGGAAATTCGGCTTCGTTATCGCACCTGAGAAAGGGAAAAAAAATGCATTCAGCAGAAGTCGGCACCGAGCAAATTATCATGCTGGTATGCAAAGGGAAATGAGTTTAACGAGCGTTGATATTTTCTCGGGGTCCAAGATGACCTGGGGAGCTAGTTTTTGCTCACGAGAATATAGGAAATGGCGTTTCATGATACATGCAATTGCCCGGGAATGCAGGGCACGCAATGGACACTCAGAGAAAAGAGCCAAGCGAAATTCGTTGATATTTTGCGATTGGCTCTGCATAAATCCCTCCATGCGACAGAAAGTACCCGCTGCACATAATACCACGAACAGCACGAATAAAAATGCGCCGAAAGGAAAAGGAAAGGCACATCAGCCTGAAGAAAACGCTCACAGGTTTCAATGAGTCAAATTCACCTGCTGGCTTGCATCCCAATCAGTGTCGCGCGGAAGACTCTCTGAGGAATGAACACATACAGAGACTCCGAGAAAAACCAAAAAGAAAGACGTCAATCTTGAATCCATCCTGCACCAACACAAATACGCGCATTAAAAGTGCTGTACTGCGAACTTTTCCCTCCGATCCTGGGTGCACAAATTCGCAGTGATTTTGCGGTGCGCATCGACGCGATCTGCTTCAATAATGGGAAGCGCAGCAATCTGCGCAACGCTCGAGCGCAACTGCAGTTTTCGCATCTTGGGTCCCTCGAATCAAATGCGCCGCCGGGAACTCGAGGCAGCCGACGCCAAGGGGAGGTCGTTGTTTTCATTCGGAATCTGGGAAAATGGCAGACACACTGTCTCCTATCACCTGGGGGCTAGCCATTAGGAGCAGCACTCGCCATTATGAGAGTTGGCTTGCGAGTGCCATGCTTGGCAGCTCAACGGAACTAAATATGCAGAATCGATGCACACTGAATGGCAACATATCCATCGCATTTTGGCTTCATTCCACGCCATATTTCAGGTCGCAAGGCTCGGTGCTACTGCATTCAGCGCAGTGTTGTAAGGCTTCATTCTGTGTCCAATATAGTTTGTGATTTTATAGAAGTATTTAGCCACGTACCGACGCCACAGAATAGCGTACCCACATCCAGCTATTTGGCCACAATAAACAATGCAGAAGAAAGAATGAAAAAGAACACAAGGAAACGAACAACTATGCAAGAACAGCTTTGCCAGGATGGACGCAATGCAAACCAGTGCTTCAGAATGCTGAACGCTGCCTCAAGCCCCGAGTCTGCTTTTATTACTGCTACTATTACTACCATTACCACTGCCGTCACTGTTGACTACTGTTCACCACCATGGGCTTCTATTGACCGCCATTTGCAGCGGCTGTTGCTACGAAGCAGGATCGTGAGCGTACCGGACAAAACGAGTCATAATGCTGCGCCCAGTGCCCATTCGGGCTTCGTTCGTCCCAACATTACTTGACAAAAGCAGCCATCGAATAAAGTCGAGCGTTGATCGATAACCGAAAGAGCTATCCCGCATCGAGCACATCCATCCTACGGTTCTGCATTCAGGGAACTCGACAAGTCGCCAGAGCGCACAGCGGCACGTTCGTGCACCCCCCATATGCAAACGCCGCATGGGCCCACCAGGAGATCAACCTGGGTTGATCCAACCCGATTCACTCCATATGAGCCTGAGGGCTTCGGGGCCTTTGCTTCGGCGGGTGCGTACCGCCACCGTGCCCCGGAGGGGGGCCCAGACGGGTGCCCTCGCCCACCAGGCTCACCAGCCATGCCCCGCCCCTGGCCCCCTTTACAGCCCCCACCCCGCCCCCGCCCACGCCTTCCCAGCGCCGCTTGCCCAAAGTCACACGGCTGCACCCCGCCTGCGCCGGCGCCTCTTCCAAAGATGCCTTCTGTCACGTCGCCAGGACGGAATATGTCCTTGTGATGGCCACTTGAGGAAGCGGGGGCCTTTGGAATGCGGGTGTGCAAGCAAACAAGGACCGCCGCGAGGAATTTGCGCAGGGGAAAGGGGGTGGGGGTGATTCACCAGAGAGGATGTTCCGCGCCACTCCGATGCGAAAACGGCCCCGCGCCAACGGCCCCGGTGGTTTTCGAAAAGGCGGCGAACAACAGAGCGCTGGAGGCATCGACCCCGTGGGGCGCAGCGCGGCGAGATTTGCTTGCACGGGGGTTGCGTGGCAGGCATGCCGTCCACGGTCACACGCGGGCGGGTCGGTGCCATTCGAGGGTGGCGAAAAAGGGGCGCACCTCTCCCATGGGGAGAGAGTTGTGAGCCCGCGGCCGCTCTGCTTCGTGGTTTCGCGCGCCGAGGAGTTTGCACTCGGGGACGGCCGGAGAATCATGCTTGCATGGAACTCCGTTGACTGTGCAAGGAAATCTCCAGAAGCCCTGCGGCGGAATGGAGCCGGAGCGCGCCTGGGGTGCGGAGTTGGAAGAATGGGGCCGCCGATCCCACCTGTGGACTTGCGCCTAAGGCTGAGGCTCCAGCCGTGGAGGTCGTTTCGTGTGTGCGCGGTCGCCCTGGGCGGCCTCGCGCTTTCCGAGGCCAACGTGTGAGTCTGGGCCCGGCCGCAGGTCTGGCGGGCCTGTTGAGCGCGGGGTTGACAGGGGCCGGTCAGGCGGCGGCCGTATCCGGGAATACGGCGGCGACTTCACTGCGAAGTCCGGGCGCCATCCCCCCGGTTGGCCCTCTGCTTCCCAGCCAGCCGACGCGGCCTGACCAGGTCGCGATTTGTCTTTTTTACGTGATTGCTACTCACCAACAATTACACAATTCGCACGCGTTCAATAATCATAAAGTATGATTATTGAGCGCCAATTGTTTTTCAATGTTGTGGTCTTCTCGCTGAAAATGAGGCCTTGCTGCGGTTGCCTATTTTGCGGGCTGAGGGCTCACGAACTGCCCGAAGGCTTGCAGTCCGTTCGACAAGAATTCGCCACTAACTGCAGTTGCCAACAACAACTATGTTTATTAGTAATTTGCAAGAGCTCTAAGGCATCCAATTCGATGCCTTCCATTCGTGGGACACACAAGCCGTGACGGGCCACGACTTGATTGGCATCATTCAGCTATGCGCCTGCAGCATCGCTATCGAATGATCAAACTTCCCGAATCAAGTCCTAGTAGCGTTAAATGACTAGGAATGTATTGCTGACAGCTGGCCAGGCAGCCACCATTTTGAGGCGGGGGCCCACAGTGCACAAGCTACCAAACCGGTACCTCAGCTCGCAGTTTTCATCAGAAGTGCAGCGCACTGATGTTACACCAACGTTGGTTGACCATGCCCGCGTCGCAGGCCTATTCACCTGGATGAGCTGGCGAACACATGCCGCATCTTTTTGGCAAAGCCAGACGCAATGCGCGAAAGGCGTGCAATTGAACCGTATGGGTCCGTCCATTCAGCAATTCACTGATTCAACCCCACGCCACTGACTGAACATCACAAGGGGGGTCATATAGCCAATTGGCCTTGGCCTTGCAAGACCACGCCCAGACTGGGATGATGCGGCCACTCTCAACCATGCAAACGTTCACATATTTCAGTGACATCGCCCCAGACGTCACGAGAGCACGGCCAAAAGGCGAGGCAGCCGTGAACCGCGCCACCACCCTGTGCGTGTTTCATATTTGACCGACAGTCTTCGAGCTGGGTCACACAAGTGCGCTCAAAGGGCCCAGCGCGTCCAGAGGGTCGATGCCACCTAAATCTTCAAGTCCTTGAGAGCCTTCACAACACCTATGCACTCCTTCAGAAGGTCAAGGCGCTTGCTAAGCTCTTCTGTTTGCGTGACGGGTGTTTGGGAAACAAGGCTCCCCACCTAGGCAACACATTGCGACACTGGTGAAGAACGGCTCCGCAAAGCCAGGCTTAGATTACGACGATTACGCCGCGATTGTAAGGGTGACTATAATAGTGTGATAGTGCGATAGTGCGATAATTGTGTTACAAGCATGACGACCGAAAGCCGAGTAAATTATGGTGCAATTGCATTGCGGTGATTTGGCTCCAAATCAACGCACAGCGTTACCTAGACAGCCATTTCAACGATTTGCCAAGGCTGGAGCACAGATCGCATTGCTCAACGCATCCGCGGCAGCAGATCTGCCACAGATCTGTCACAGATCTGCGGCATTGCTGAACGCTTCTGAGCTTGTGTCAATCAATGGTCTTGGTACGGGATAAGTTGCTTGGGCCCTTCATACCCACCAGGCTGTTGCTCACAGATGTAAAGACTCTGATGGAGCATTGCCTCTTTCAGCCCCCTACACCCCGCCACCCCACCCACCCACCCACCCACACTTTGTAACAAACAAAATCATGTTCCCAGCTCAACAACGCGGTGGAGAACAAACAGGCGAAAATAGTCCATGAAATGCCAGCCACCCAATGGCCTGAAGAAGCAGCCACAGCAACATCACGCACTTTCTGCCTGGGTGCACCCCGACACTCAATGGCACCTGCAGTACCATCTACTGGGTAGCAAAAATGAGTGCCGAGAGGTGGCGTTTTGTAGCTCTACATTGACAAATTAGGTTCTGTCACCGAGCATGTGACTTTGTGTTCCAAATGGTGCAAACACACTATCGCGAAATCTGCGATCAGCAGCATGTTGTCCAACGGGAGAATGAAGACAGCGCTCCGCGTGCAATGGCCTGGAGTGCAAGGACATTGCACAAGTCCATGGGAAACTTCGTGACTCCTTCACAAAGTGGTGCTGGAGCGTCTGGCACCATTTTGGTGAGAGCCTTGTGCGGTAGCTAGGAGCTAATGCTGTCTCATTACCAGTCAAGCAGTTACAAGGGGCATGATCATGTGCTTCATCATGCTGCCTGGTCCACCACGCACATCAGGGCCAAATATAGACCTCGTTAATTGGAACTGACACCCATTATGGGCTTTCTACTTACAAACTTATGCCTAACATTTTCTTGCAGGCGCAAGAGCAGTGCGTTGTCAATTTGCACCAGCACACTGAATGAACTAAAGCAATGACGCCAGCGAGATACCTTCATTCCCACCCGACGATGTGCAGTCTGTTGCTAACAAACTGACATGAGCATCTCAACCCTACCTCTGCCATCTTCTGAAGCACAGTCTGCTGGAGGGCCACGGTCATGGCTGTGCCTTTCACCTCGCTGTCAACCTTGTGCCCACCTGGGTTCATGCCCCTGTGGTCCATCTCACAGCCGCCACCCACGATCAACACATCCGTACACCCCTGCCCCTCGTCCACATCGGCGCTGTCGCCAAACTCCACATCCATCATCCCCTTCTCGACCTCAAGGCCTTCGGCTGGAGGAAAACGGTAAGTGTGGGTAAGTAATGGCCCCAAAGACGCCATCGAGATCACACAACGGGAATCTGTATAATAAGCACAACTGGCATACTGCTTGTGGCATCTAAGTATGGTCCCAGCACTGCATAAAAGGAGTTGACAGTTATCCCGCACTGCCCCAGGGTATCTGCCCAAGCTGTGCCATTGGATCTTCGGAGTGCGGGAAGTGAACGGACAGCCTCAAACATACAGTGACGCTTGGCTTGGGTCCATCATCACCTCGCAAGCTGCAGGGCAGCATTTGCCACACTTGGCACACGTGACACCATGGCCCATACTTGCGACACGCTTAAAACTTTCAGGTCAGTGTACGAGCAGGCATCCCTCGACATTCCATGAGCCTGGAGTTTGACAATTGATGATCGCTTGACGATCGCCACATTTGTTAATTCTCTTGTCTTTTCCCACACCTTGGTCTGGTGACTTGCTGCCAACCAGCAGCTTCTTCTCTGGTGGTGGATCTCCGCCCAGTCGAGGCGATCGCTCATCCTGCGACCGCTTCTGGCCTCCCCTGTGTGGACCACCCTGCCCTTCGGGATCGGGAGCGGAAGGGGACTGGGCCGCCTGTGGGCTGGTGGCCTGTTCCTCCACCACTGTGAGCAGCTCACACCCAACACAGTATAACGCTTTGTCCCTGCTTCGGATGAGAGGCGTGTGACACCTGAAGCAAAGGCCAATAAACATGTGCCCACACAATCTCTGCATACACCCTTTTCTGTCTTCGTATATGCCCAACAACTTATTGGGCAATGCGAGCACACAATGCACTGACAATTAAGAATCACTTTGAAGTACTCAGTCTTGTACTGGAGAAGTTACCCCAGCATGCGTAAACAGCGTCCTGATACTGGTCCTGAGGGAATACACTGCTGGTATCAAGATCATCCTACCCAAATGCCGCTGCTCCTATTTCGCGATCAAGTCAGCTAGCTGCTCCTGCTTAGGAATCCAAACACCCTGCTGCTCTATCACCACTTGACGCATTCAAGCACATGTGGCTCACAGTGTCAACTACGAGGCATCAGCACACGTCCGTGTGTCCCCGGCTCTCATTGCAGATACTATGGATACACATGGTGCACTACATCCAAACACCCTGCTGCTCTGTCGCCACTTGACGCATTCAAGCACATGTGGCTCACAGTGTCAACTACGAGGCATCAGCACAAGTCCATACGTCCCCAGTCTCATTGCAGATAGTATGGATACACATGGTGCACTACAGATTAACACAAACTACAGACCAGTATTTTTGTTCGTCGCCACACCACCCATGCGCACCTCAAACAGACCAAGCTTGTCAGCGTCCAACCCTCGACCATCTTTTCAGCGATCCTGTCAGCATAAAGGTCACTTGCTGGGCGTGTCGAGGCAGGTGGCTCACCGCGTGCTTCAAGCATCCTGCTCCTCCAGTTCATCTGCGGAGATTCAGGAACGGAGGGCTGGTGCTCCTGGCCACAACACAAGGAGATCAGCTAACTTGCCAACAGCATGGGAATGCAATTCAGTGCAACATGCACTGCATTGAGCATTGATTGCCGTTTCTGTCGCAACATGGTGCAACCCATTGTGTGCATTCAACCTATCAGTGCGTTGGAGGCTTTCTGAGGGATGGTGCTGCTTTGAGCTACTTTGCAGGCTCATTGCAACTTGCACAATGGGAACACAATACTTTTAAATTTGGGGAGAGATGAAACAGTGTCGGCCTGTGAGACCCAGAACACCAGGTAGCAAATGCGCTGTAGGACAGCCAGGCAACTAAAGGTGTGAAGGTGAAGAAAACTCGAAGATTTTTGGTTGGATGATTGGCACAACAAGACCCTTAATCCACATCAACTCTGCAATTTGCTGCAGATCAGGGTTACATGAGCAGTCTTAGGCCGTTTATCGTTGATGCCCTTCATAACGCTGCAATGAATATATGCATTCATTCAACCTTGGCATAGTACTGGGGGCCTAGCCCCTGCACACCGATGAAATCGACAATAGTTACCAGCCCAGCAAGCCATGACCTGGAGAACTCTGGCTGCAGAGGTGCTACAAGACAGCTCGGCTTGATAGAGAGGGATGGCTGTGAGATAAAGACGGTGGCCAGGCAAAAACAGGGTGGACAGGGCGCATTAACAGTGGTCATGGCAGCTTGCCACAAACTCAATTCTTATTCCCTGAACGGAGCCAATATCATACGCCAAGATAGGTTGACAACAATTGATCACATGAGCATAGCTCTGTCATTGACAAAGGCAACTAAGGGGATTTGGGGTCTGCTAGCTCTCTCGACATGAGATTTACGGCTTATTGTGTATAGTAGTCCACAGACAAAGGGACATACTATGTTGCACTGAGCGTCTTGAAACAACTCACGACACGTAGCTGAACGACGTCCATGCAGCACATATATTTGGTGGCTGCCTTTCCCCCCATTTCACAAGGCTCAACATTGCCACACGCAAAGACTGTGGCTTGGCGTACATAGATGAATTGCGTTGATGCAAATGTGCACTGATCCCATAAACATGCATTGGCAACAGTGGAGCTCACATGGGGCACGATGCCCAGAGCCTGTGCCTCTCCTTCAGCAATGCCTTGGCCTGACGTCACCCTTTGTTGGCAGTTTACGCACAGTTTGTCACCTGTCTGAGGATCCTGCATGTAGGGTACCTGAATAGAAAAGACCGCAGTGAGAAGGGAATCATGCAAGGAGGGAACACCCAATGACTGACATGATTTGCATTGCACTGAAACGAATACTGTGATGAACAGAACTCTGAACTGATGACAGTGAGCAATTGTCGATTGGATGTGTCTGGTGCCATCATTGTCTGCAAGGTGCAAAGGATTTGTTTGTTGTGTATATGTGAATAATGTTGTCCATGCAACTACTGAGTGTTGCAATGAGGACAAAAGCCCTGCACTGATACCCCAGTAGGCAGAGAAGTAGAGACAACCAGCTCCTGACGCCCCTGGGCAAATGCTTAGCAATGCCTTGTAAATTCCCCAAAATGCACATGTGCATTTGCTGCAGACGGGCGGCGAGCAGGGAAATGAACAAGCAGGGGACACTGAACGTTTTGCGTGGCAACGCCTGCATGGTGGAAGTCCCTGCTCTGTATTTTGAGGGCCAATGTCGTCGATGCAGATACGCGCAAAGAGTGGTTGCAAGTGCTCCATGGCAGTACTGCTTACATCATGGCTGTTGTCATAAACCATGCATTTCAAGGCAGTCAGGGTTGCGGTGTTCTCCAGGCCAAGTAATGCAAGGCCCTTGTGAACCACTTGAAAGTCTAAGATATCTTGTGATCTGAGCCTATTTGAGGCACTTCCCTTGACCAGTGTGCTGGCTTCCGCTCAGCATGCTGTGGTTTTGTTTGTCGATTCGATGCAGCCAAGCAATATTATGCAACTGGGCAATAGCTGAGAATTATCCTTCTGGAAAGAGGGCTACTTGGAGAAAGTGTGACAAGACCCTGGGCAATCTCAATGGCATTTATTCACAGCATGCAGCAAAGCCAGTTGCAGGGAATCCCTTTGCCAGGGTGACGAACGCATGCCCAAGGGAGGTACCGGGATGGGAACTTGCTGTTGAGATTTCATTTTTATTGCTGGGCTAGCGGTAGCTCGCAGCCTTGTTTTGTCCCAAACGTTCATCACAATTAAGAACCCAGATACCACTGCCAACGTAACAAAACGTAACAAAACCTTACACCTTGCAGCTGAAAATGGGCAAAATGCCAAACACCAGGCTGATCCCAGCACGCCGTTGCACCGTCAGCCGAGGCCGCAGGTCCCAACGATCACCGCGATCGCCACTATAATCAGTCGTGAGCCTTCAGCACTTTTTTGTTTTCCTTTTCATTTCATACCGCGCGGAGAAGGGCAGACCACACGTCCGAGGACACTCGCCAGCAGGGGTACCCTGCTGTGAGTACACCGTTTGCCACCCGAATCGTGTTCATCCACACCACCAGAGCCACGGCCAGAGTTCCCCTTACCCTTCCGAAACGGCCCAACGAGCCTCACATGTCTGAGCGGCGGGGGCCTCGGATGCGCAATTGAACACAAAAATGCGGTTCTCATACGTTCGGAAAAAGCAGTCCAGACGCGCGAAGCGCAACGCCCACCCACCCTGCAATCTGCGCAGCTCTCCGCCAGCATCGTCCAGCCCCTGAGCAGCAGGTCGCCCATCCCGGACACGCTGTCCCTGCGGACCGGCCGCGAGCCCTGCGTCATGCTGACTTGCGCTGCTGCGGCTTTGCCGCGGAGAAGCAGCAACGTGGGCGCACGCGTGCCGCGACCGCAGACTCGAGGCGCATCAACAAATCAACGGACTTCAGTTTGACACTTCCACCGAACCAAACACAAAATTTGTGTTCTTTTTGGCGAACAAAAAGACACAATCGGAACTCAGGCTGTTTTTCATTTCATTTAACGAAAACAAAAAAAGTGCTGGAGATGCATCGCCTGAAGTGCGTGCAGCATCCAGCTGGCCAGTTCGTGATGCAATTCCGTAGTTCTTGTAGAGCACTAGTGCTCTACAAAACACGCGAGTACTCACGTGACCAATTTCCGATTCTTTTTCATGCGCACCGCCGTGCAGCATCCAATCAGCCAGTGCTTGCTGCAGTCATTTTGCCGAAACAATTGCGTAGTTTTTATAGCAGTTGCGTCGCCGACCTACGGAGAAGTGCTAATGTTCTGGCTGGGCCGAATGAGGCGGACGCACAGGCACAAAGCGTGCATACGGAAATCGTGATGGAGTTACGGCAGCATTCATGGCCCCTGGCATGACCCCTTATGTGCTTCCTGGCAAGGTTCGTGCAATGCCCAGGGACCAGCATCTCATGAGCAACAATGGCCGTGACTTTGATGTACTTGGCGACTGACAGGGTGTTAAAAATCATGCCCGGAGAGCATCAATGGCGCCAGAAGCAATAATCCCACTGGGGCGTTGATGCGCATAAATTGTAGCAACATTGACGGGAAGAGCATCACCAAACTCATTGCAGCAAGGTCCAACAACTTTGCTGCAACTCCATCCCGATTTACAGAGGTGCGCCTTGTACCAGTTTGTGCGCCTCACTCTGCCCGGCCAGTACATTAGGGCTTCTCTTGAACTTGGTTACGTAACTTCTATAAAAACTACACAATTTCGGCCGTAACGTCGCTGGATATCCATCCCGATTTCCAGATTCAGGGGCCCAACTTCAGAATGATGGCGCCAACCTGGCCGCTCGTGTCTGTAGTGTTGCACGGCACCCCGGCCCACCTTGTGTGGTATATACCATACCGATATATCGTGCATGAAGGGTCGCTCACCAGTCGGGAACCCAGTACATTAATAACGCATCTGTCTCTGAATGCCAGTGGCTTTGCCGTTTGGCCTCTCCAGGCTCAGTTATGCGCATCCATCGCAAGGTGCCGGCCCTGTAGATTTGCATCTGAAGAAATGGTAGAAGTCGATGCAATATTGTGTGTAGAGTGTCGCCGATGCAACGTCGAGCAGTGGTGCAGCAAGGCCAGTGTGTCAGCGTCGACAGGCTTGGTTTTGACGCCGTAAATTCTGATCATATTTACGTTTTCACGTGTAGAATTAGTTTTTACGTTTTTACGCGTAAAAATGCGTACAAATACGTAAATACAACGTAAAAACTGCCTGGTGTACATAAGGACAGTACATACAGATTAACAGAGTCCGGAGAGTGGCAGACAGACGCCTTGGAAGAGGCAGAAAATGATTTTTTGTTGAACGCCATTATCGCCCTTGCCAAGGGCGAGGTGGACATTGTGTTGCGGGTGCTGGAGATGGCGGAACGACTAGTCATTGTACGCAACTTTCATCGTGTAACCTACGTGTGCCAGGGAGCCGTAAAAACGTAAAAATAGCCGTAAAAATAGGTCCTTTTGCAAATTAACGTTTTTACGCGTAAAAACGTAAAAGTAAAAACGTAAACGTAAACGCAGAAACCAAGCCTCAGCATCGATGCAGTGTTCGCATCCGCAGCAACGCCGGTCAATGCTGACATGTGGGCGTTATTGCTCATCATGGTGTCTGACCTCGGTGAGTGTGCGGCCGCTGCACCTGGGAGCCAGGAGACTACGGTGCCAATAGGCCGCAGACGATTCAACCCTCGCAAATTTTGAGCTGCGCAGCATCAAGCACATCCGAGCGGGCGCCCACACCAGTAGAAACGGCCTGTTTGCGATGCCAACTGCGATGGCATTTGACACAAATTGATGCCATCACAGCCCCTTTTGTGCCATCGCAATCACTGTGACGGCACCACCTTGTGTCGAAATGGCGTGGCAGTTGGCATCGCAAACACTAGTAGAAAACAGCACGCTTGCGATGCCATGTTGGCACAAATTGATGCCATCACAGCCAGCTTTTATGCCATCGCAATCACTGTGACGGCACCACCTTGTGTCGAAATGGCATGGCAGTTGGCATCGCAAACGTGAGGTTTCTGCCGGTGCCAGCGACAGCGTAGCTGCACCCCCTCCCTTCCCCCCTTCTGCTGAAAGGCCGGGGGAAATCACAAGCCATATGGCATGTAATGCAATGGCATGCATGCAATGTGCATCCCTCCGGAGGGATTCCAGGATCCTGGAATGGAAAAGGCCACGGTGCGGCATGTGCACAGGCTTGGATTTTACGTGTACGTTTTCACTTTTATGGTTTTATGCGTAAAAACGTAAATTTGCAAAAGGGCCTATTTTTATGGCTATTTTTACGTTTTTACGGCTACCTGGCACACGTAGATTACACGACAAAAGTTGCGTACAATGATCAGTCCTCCGCCATCTCGAGCACCCGCAACACAAGGTCCACCTCGCCTTTGGCAAGGGCGATTATGGCGTCTAACAAAAACTCATCTTCCGCCTCTTCCAAGGCGCCTGGCTGCCACTCTCCGGACTCTGTAAATCTGCATGTACTGTCATTATGTACACCAGGCAGTTTTTACGTTGTATTTACGTATTTTTAGGCATTCTTATGCGTAAAAACGTAAAAAACTATTTTTACGTGTAAAAACGTAAATACGGTCAGTTTTTACGGCGTAAAAACCAAGCCTGCATGTGCGCATCACTGCTCAACGTGGCCGTCAGATTTCCATGAGTTTGTGCCCGCTTCACTCGGGGCCCAGGAAAATGAACCACTGGAAGGCCGCAGGTGAGTGAAGCCTCGGAAATCTTCGACTGAGCAGGATCAAGCACATCAGCGCGTGCGCCCAGCGACACCTTGGCTGCCGTCCCTGCCCCCCTTTTGCCGAAAGGCCGGGCGGAAAATCACGAGGCTCGCAACGTGCGACGTTGGGCCCCTCCTGGAAGAAAATGACCGCAGCGCGGCATGTGCTCACATAAGGGTTCACCACACGTGTCTGGCCTACGGTCATGTGCCACCGTTGCTTTGGGGCCCAGGAAACTGCTTCGCTGAAAGGCGGGAACAGTGGAGTGACAGTACAGTGCGCAGACATCGGGCTGCGTGGCACAGCGATGCCGTAGCTGCCCCCGATCCGTTGAAAGCCCTGTCGCCTCACCATAGCCCCCGCCAGCCGCAACAGCGGTTCACACCGGCAGCAAGAACGAGGGGGTGGGCTGAACAGTAGGGCCTCCAAAGTCCACTGCGCGCAGACGGAAGCGCAACAAAGACAACGGCGCTCGCGACATGGCCGCAGAGATCGCCTGAAGCCGCGTGGAGGGCGCATGGGGAGCAGGGAGGGACTGGCCGCGGGGTGGCTGGCGCTGCTGCTCTGCCTGGAAGGCGCTTACGGGATAGGTGGGTGGACGGATGCGTCCAAGTCGCGTGAAGTGGAACCGCGCCTGTGGTGGGTACTGGCCAAGGCGGTGCTCCTAGATTGCGAATCCAGGCATGTCGTTTTGGACGGCGGGGAGGGGATGGAAATGGGATGGTGGTGGCGCTCACAGACGCCCGCGCGGGACGTTGGTCTCGTGCGTCTGTTGCTCTGTGGAAGCCCAGGAGGGGGAGAGCGCGCGGGCGCTGAGAGAGAGACTGGCGCACCGCGAAGATCGGATCTGCGCCGATCCATAGGGTACGCACAGTGTATCAGGCTCGTTTTCTTTTGCGTCAGTTCTTTTGCCCAGCGCGGCGCAGCCCTCCAAAGGTCCCGTCAGCTCTCGATCCCCTCCCTCAACGGCAGTCGATCGAGCAGGAGGAGTGCCGGCGAGCGCCGCAAGCGCAGCCGCCATCCGCCTCGGTGTCGCCTCGTTTTCCATCCGCTGCTTTTGCGCTCGCGTTCCACGAGATTGGCCGCCGACCAAACATCGTGGCTCCCTGCCGCGTGTGCCGCCGACAGGATCTGAAAGGAGCGGCCCCAGGGCTCCGCCACCGCTCGGCGACCCCCTGCCACGCCCCTGTCGCCTCGGCCACCCCGGCATCGCACCCATCCACTGCAACATCCCCTCGGTGGCTGCGCACCGCGTAGCACATTGCATCCCTCCATTACGCATCCCCGCTGTCCCTGCATCGGATATGCGGCCGTTCGCCCTCCACAGCCGACCCACGTGCGGCATTCATGGTGACGTGTCGTGATGTCGCGGCGCGCACTGAGTGCGCTAAGTACGCGTTCAGCCCCAAAGCAACGGGTCCACACCGGATTAGTGTGACGAGGTGGCAATGGGGACCCGTCCCCGCGACCGTCCACTGAGCATCACTGATGGGAGCAAGAGGTAATGCTTCAGTAGTGACGGCCGAGGGGCGGTGATCACGGGATGGGCAACCAGGTGCAACCTCGTAGCGCCGCGGCTTGCCGCGATGCTGCATTCCGTGGTGTCGTGTGGCGCGGCGTGGGAGCGCGACGTTTGGCAAGCGCCCTTCGCAGAGCATGGTCTGTCATGCAGCCGGGAAAGCGTACTTGAAACTGCCTCGCGCGGTGTGCGACGTACAGGCGACGGTTGGGCGGAGCCGTACCGGCGGAATCGGCGGCGGGGGAGAAAATCGAAAGCTGGAGCTGCCGTGGGTGGGCTGTACCGGCCGAATGTGAGGATCAAAAGAATTATCAGAAAATCAGAAAATAAGAAAATCAGAAAGTCGTATCAGCTACGGGCAGGGAAGAGCTGGGGCGCCGGTTGGGCTTCGCGTTCCGCTACAGCGCTAAACCCTGTTGGCATCCCAGATGCGTCATTTGACCCACCTGGAACCAAGTGGCCAATTGGCGCACCAGGGAACGGTTGCAATGACGCCAACCCAAGCAAAGCTGCTTCTTCTTCGGAGCGATCCGTGTGGGCGTAAACCTCAAATCTTCTCTTTGAGTGCTCCCTTCAGCACGGCACTGTGTGCGCACTGACAATGACGTAATGGCGTGGCTCTTTACTTCACAAGCCTTATCTGAATAATCCCAGCTTGTAAACATTACGCAGCCGTTAAACTTTGCTTTTCGTTGGATCGGGAATGCAGTGGCAAGGCCTTGGACGGATGGATGATTTGCCTGCTGAGTCTGGCAACAACTCCTTGCAAACAAGGCCATCGGATTTCCGAGCGGAAAAATGGCGACATTCTGTTGCATATTGCGAAAACTGGCGTGCGCACCACCTCTGACAGACTTCTGCAAATGCCGACAATGGCTGCGCAAAATCGCTCCACCTGAACCATGCATGTCGAAGAGAGTGCGCTGGGGGAACAACTGACGGCCGTCAACTCATCCGGAAGTCTGCTAGGCGTTGATACAACATTGACAGGCCATTGCATCAACACCGCTCTACAGACACGAGCTCCGAAGGTTCGCATTGATCCAAGGGCCTATCAATGATGCATCAGAGGCTGCCAAATTTCTGGATGCATCTCCGGGCAGATAAATGGATCGTTGATGCGGCATTGCTGGAACACTGCTTGCTTGGGAATGTTGCATCAAGATGCCTTGTTGGAGGGTTGACAAACGCCGACGCCAAGAGCCATTGTTTCAAGGGCAGTTCGCGAATATTGAGGGCCATTGCTTCAATGGCCCCCTTGCATCAACCCTCATCAACATTGCATCAACGCCTGCCGAATTTCCAGATGCTGTTCACCAAGTTGTCAATCCATTTGCAGCTTCGGCGCACCCGAAATGCACGGGTATCTGAGCGGTTCAGCATGCCCACAGGCAATTATAGGGCTGTGCTTGGAGGGAACGGCGCTACTGTGGTGGCGTCCTGGCACACTGTGGAAGAAAGCAGTCTGGAAGGTGAGCAACATCATGTGGCAGCAGTTGAAGATTGTTGCATCCCGGCGGCACTTCTTCGCCCTAATTTAATTCAGTACCAGCGCTGTCCTGACGTAAACAGATTGAAATGCAATGCCGGCCACCAACGCTGCCGACCAAATGCACCGCAGACTCGCAAAAGTTCTTCGTTCAATTCCTAAAAATTGAAACTGAAAAATAGAAGAAAAGACAAAACTCTCACGTGTGTTTCTCTGGAACCATTGCACAGCAGCTTGCTGGTCGAACTTTTTTCGTTGGGTGATTTTTTCCTCACGTGCACGCGAAACTTCCCACCTGACGATAATTTTCAAATGCATTGGAAAAAAATGTGGGAGTTGAAGTCGGTCTCCAATTTCGGGCGACATAACCACCCTGGAGTGAATGTGCCTTATAGCAGGCGCGTTTCCCACAACAGTCCAGGGCATATCGCCTCCCTGCCCGTCAATGGCCCACCCTTCCTGCCTTTCTGGCCCACCGCTTCATTGACATCCCATTGGCCAGCATTTGCCTGTGGGCCGGGAGTGGCAAGGCGACGATCACTATTAGTGATCTTCATCAACATCCCACTAAAAAATCCCATTAAATGGCACCTGACAGTGGGATCTTGAATAACATCTTGCCTTATGCTCCCCGCACTTGCTGTCCTTCCAGCCACCATTGGACTTCACGTCACGTTCGTCGCCTTGCGCCACACCGACAGCACTCCGCCAAACTGTCATGTCTGACATGGGCGCAGCTTCACACCTCGAAAGGCACGTGTCGAGGGCCCTCCTGCACCGCCCCAAGGCCGCTCCACTTCCTGGCATACTTTGTTGCTGGGGCAGTTGCACAACCTCCCAGAGTATCCTCCCCTCCTTTACACGTGCTTTGACAACTGGAATCGGTGCCAAAATCAGAGCAGGTTGTCCCCCCGAAAGCAGAGCCCAAAGGGGGCCAAATTCCTGCGTCTCCTAACCTATCTAGCAGATATCCGAATAGGTCCATATTAGGGATTCCCTACAAGCCCAGAGCCATGCAACCGCGCCTCAGTGATGTGCACTGCGAGACTTCCTGCGCCCGCGTCAAGCAGATGCCGTTTGTTGCGAGCACGCTGAGTGGCTGTGCGGTGACGACCCTTGGGCAGAGCCCCTCGGGCCTCAGGCCTCTGATGTCCTTTTCTTGCGGCACCGCGACAATGGGGCATGGGTTGGCACCTTGTGTCCAATCTTAGGCTCTGTCTTTCTTCCAGTTCTCCCGCTGTTCAGCGGAGTGTTCGCGCTACGATGACAGCGCGTACACTCGATGGGGAGGAAGATTAGCGCCTCTTGTTCGAATGCTTGTGTGCGGTGACTTGAGCTTGCATGTCAATGCATTTCTTGCCATGTCCATGGACTGCCCATTGCCGGGCCCGCAGACAGCGCGCACACTCGACGGGAGGCCAGTGTGGGGCCTCTTTTTGGAAATCTTCATTGCGGCCACTGGACTTTGGAGATCGTCGAATCGATCGGCAAATGGATATCTCGCCTTGTTCACGGACTACCCTGCGGCAGGCCGCAGATGCGAAAGTCGTCGTTGATGATATCTATCAGTGTGTGACGAGTCGCTGTCCTTCCCCCAGTTAATCAGTGTTGGGCGCCGCTTGTTTGCACAACTGTCCGTTTCCAAAATGTCTTGACGCTCTCTTGGACACAGCGGGCAGATTTGTGGCATTTGTGGCATTCGGAATAACAATGTGGGCCACAGGGACAGAATGCTAAATATGGAATAGTGCGCCCACTGCTCCCGAACGTGTGTGTTTCCCCCGCCAAGCAAACCCAGGTACAGCCGGTGTGACACCGGTGCAGAGCAGCAATGGAAGAACAGAGAATTAATGAATGTAGCCCTGAAGGCATGCAAAACGACATACCGGTCATAGCGGGTCTCTGCGCTGAGCCGAGCATCATTTTGCCGGTGGTCCACCAGGACTTCACACGATGCTTGTCAGAAGTTTGAGTCTTTTGTCTCGTTTATTTTCATGCAGTCGTCTTTCTTCTTGGAATACTACTGTGTGGCCAACTCTCTGGCTTGGCTGGCTAAATTCTGGACTCTTTTCAGGAAGGAGACTGCTGCGACACAGTCCCAAGCACCCCAGACAGCCAAAACCCAAGTGCAAGGATGGTGATGAACATGGGTGCAATAAGGGCTCCCTGCCTGTTGGGAGGCCGGGCAAGGGGACCGTTCCCAAGGATCCCACACCACAGTGCGATATTTCCGACATAAGGTGCCTGTTGAGGAAGTCAAGGGAGAAGAAATTTTTTAATGAGGGCAGGAGGGATGCAGTTGGTGGGCCCAACACATCCCCAGGGGAAACAGCCGCGCAGCCCCCAGGCGAGAACATCACAATCGGGTGCGAAGCGGGCGACGTCAAGTGCTTGCTGGTGCTGCAGAGGCTGAAGCATGATTATCACGCAGCCAGGACGGGGACGACAACCGCAAACGGGCGGCCTGCCACAATCCCTGGGAGGGGGCCTGCAGCGCCTGGATCTGGGCCTGCAAGGACAAGACCTGGACAGAGGCCTGTCCCAGAGGGTGCTGCACGAAATGGAACCAGCAGATGTCAGGGGCAGGTTGGCCTGGATGGCGCCCGGCGCAGGCCACCAGGGGGATTGCCTGGAGCGGGTGTGGCAGGGAGGCAAACAGGGCAGAATGAAACACGTCGTGGGGTTGGCAGCCGGCCAGGCAGCAGGGGCCTGTGGGGCCGGCCAGGTGCTTCTGGCACTGGCTGCAGGTCTGGTGGGAGCGACCCCAGGGGAACACTCCCCAGAGAGGGAGCTGGCGGAACGGCTGGAAGCAGAAGGGGGCAGGGCCAGACGGCTCCTGGCTTTGGCAGCGAGGGGGGTAGGAGCAGGCCGGGTGGCTTGCCAGGGGGGGGTGCAGGCCAGGGACGGGCGAGACCAAATAGAGTGGGGACCACCGCTGGACAGAGGCAGCCAGGCGTGGGGTCTGGCAGTGCAAGACTGGGTTCAGGTGTGAGCAGACCTGGACTTGGATCTGCCAGGCAGAGAGCAGTGGGGGCCAGCAGCTCTGGATCTGGATCTGCCAGGCAGAGACCAGTGGGGGGCAGCGGCTCCAGAGCCAGGCCAACAGGTACGGGCAGAAGCAGGCCTGCAAACGCGACAGCGGGAGGCAGTGGGGCCAGGCCCACGGGTGGGGATGCCCGTCCGAGAACAACGCGCCCAGATGGTGGTGCATCGGGGAATGGGAGGCCAACGGGGACCGATGGTGGCAGGAGGCGTCCAAGCACTGGTGCTGGTGGCCAGACAGGGAGTGGCGGGGCTCAGAGGAGGCCAGGGGCAAACAGCGACGCCCAGCGGGGAGCTGGGCAGGGCCGCAATGTGACTGTCCAGGGGACTGGCAGGTCGACAGGGTCCAGGAAGGCTGAGAGTGTGACGGGCGTCAGCCAGGGCCAGAACACGACAGAGTCTGTTGCTGTTGGGCCCAACAAAGACCAGCAGGGCACAGGGCCGGATAATGGCAAGCGGTACAGGAACGCAACGGGTCCATCGGATGTTGGGTTGAAGAAGGATCAGAAGAAGAAGGCTGCGAAGGAGCCTGCAGGCAAATGCGATGAAGACGACAAGGCCTGCCAGGAGAAACTCGAGGAGGTTAGACAGGCCAAAAGACGCAAGAAAGCTCAAAAAGAGACTGCCCAGGGAACTGCTGAGTCGAAATCTGGCTTGCCAACTGTGCCCGGGCAGGTTCAGGATGCGACAGACCTGGCGATCGACGCAACGAATGCAACCAGTCAGGACCATGGGGCTGCAGTCCCTGATGTCAGTGTACCTGAATCCCCTGTACCAATTATGGCCACACAGGGACGAGGCAACGGCCAGCAGGGGCTGAGTACAACGACTCCATCGGATGGTGGGCCCAAAAAGGATAAGAAGAAGGGGTCCCGGGCTACAAAGATGCCTGCAGACAAGTGCGATGCAGATGATGAGGCTTGCCAGGAAAAAGGTAAGGAGACCAGGCAAGCCAAGAAAGCTAAGAAAGCTCGAAAGCGGGCTGCCAGGGGGGCTGCTGAGCCATCGTCTGCGCTGCCAACAGTGTCCAAGGAGGTTCAGAATGATACAGATCCAGCAGTTGACGGGGCTGCTGGAGCCAGTCAGGACCAGGGGGCTCCAAACCCTTCGGCCAGCGTACCTGAGTCTCCTGTGCCACTTGCCACCACACAGAATCTGCAAGAGGCGCTCCCACCATCCAGTGCGCTGAATGGATCGGAACAGAGTCAAGATGCAGTAGTGGTGGGAGCTGATGCCCCTGTGGCTGCAGTGCCAACAGTGGCCAACCAGCCCCAGAATGAGGCGACCCTGCTGAGTGAAGCCCCCGTTGAGTCTTCCTTCACTCCACCTCTTCCCCGACCAGATTTTGTGGTTTGTGAAGATGGTGACGATGAGGAGTGCCTGAGGCAGCTGGCCCAGCAGCAGAGGGTGTACGACGCGCTGGTACGTGCCCGGGCGGATGGAGACGCAACCCCCATGACTCCATACCAGCAAAGCATCCTGTTTCCTCAAGCAACCGAGGTGACGGCCACTAGCCCTTTCGATCCACCATTGAGCCCTCTGCCTACCTTTGAGCCTGCATCGCTGCCTGCCCCACAGCCTGTGCGGCAGCCCTCACCACTGCCACCACCTCAGCCTGCACCGGCATTTGTGCCAAGGCCTGGGGCAGCATACAGGTCAGAGCCAGCCGATTCCTTCTCCAGGCAGGCGCCAACCCAGGCCCTTTCAACACAGGGGGAGGTACTGCCCCCAGTTGACTATCCCCCACCTGTCCCAGTGTACCCGCCTGCACCCGTTCCTACTTATCCGCCTCTGCCTACCTCAGCGCCCTTGCCGTACTACCCCCAATACCCGCCTGTAGCGCCGCCAGACTACTGGGGATATGCGCAGCCACCCATCTACCAGGACCGTCCGGCATATGATCAACAACCTGTGTACCCAGAGCAGCCAATGTACGGCCAGCCACCAGCGTACCAGGACCAGCCAATGGTGTTCGATCAGAATCCTGTTGAGGATCCATTGGCGGTGCAGCCAACTGCTGTGCCAGGCCAAGGCGGAGCCTGAAACGGGGTGCTGCAATGGGCGCAAGGCGCCTAGCAGCGCCCACACTCCGCTAAGCTCATGGCTTAGTTCGCCCCTGCTCAAGTCGTGTTTTGAGCATGGGATGCGAACTGCGGGGATGGCGCCAGTCGTGCAGTTGTTTCTGCTAGGCTTCACCTTGCTCATGCAGTGTTCGCTTGTGGCCATGTGTACCATTGGGAACTAGTGGCCCAAGTTACTGGCCACGTGCCGCCTCCAACCCTGGCAAGTCCGCATCAATGTGCTGTAGAAACAAGGCAGCGATGAGCGCAATGGACAAGGGGCTGCGGTGCAGTGCGGGCGGTGGCATGTTGCACATGCAACGATTTGTTTGCGGCATTGATGGCCTCGTGTTTGTGGCATTCGTGCCATTAATTTTAGTGGTGGCGTGGACAAAGCATGGCATAAACGCGGTGCGACCGCCCGTCAGCTTGAAATGATGGGTATGGGCGCTGCTGTGGAGCTACTGGAGCGCAAATCAGGGGATGCAGTGGGAATGCTGGACATGTGCAAAGATGTGCAGTGGTTTTATCACTGTGTTGCGCTGATTGGCATACTGATCAGAAGGTTGAGGATGCACTGGAGCAATTGCAGTCGTCAGCAATGGCATCAGCTCAGTCAGTTGAGGCAACACGAGCTTTGAGACCAATGACGTGACCATTTAGCACCTGACGGTGGGCAAGTGCAGTGCACGGACATGCGACGGCCATGAACTGTCTGTTAGGTCCGCCCTTCGCTTCCGATGTTTTGCGGCTGGCTCATTCTGGGAATCCCTCAGGCTGCCTTGTCAATTTCGAAGCTGTTGTTAATAACGTAATGGAAACCATGCTCGCCAATGAAGAGGGGTAATGTTGCGACTTCCTGTTCTGCTTGATCGGATGGCGGTGAGGTAGGGCGGCGCTCGCTTTGCGGCTGGCCGATTTGAAGAGCATGGGAACGTGGCGATTGAACACAACGGCCGTGGGAGTTGTTGCCTTCATGCCGTCGCGCTCCGGCTTGGGGGCTGCGTGGCCCATGGCTTGTGTGTTGCGGTTGACCGGTGTCGAATGGCCTGGGGAACGCTTTGTTGAACAGGAGAACATGACGTGGATGTTGCTATTTCGCGTGGAACGTCGCCAGTCGGCTATGGCAACGTGATCATTAAATGGTTGAAGTGGGTTCCACTTGTGCTCCTGGGCACATGTGCGCAGTCCTCCGTGTGGCCGCCAACCCGTCGACCTGGATTCGATTTGTGCTCATGATCCCACGTGCACCCTCCTGATCAGCAGCATAGCTGGGTGAGCGGCGCCCACTCCCGCTGGGATGTACATCACTCATAATATACGTCATATTTCGTGATTCGCAATGCAATTCACTCTTGTGAGGGTGAAGGAATCACAGCTTTGCCGGGGTTGCAAGCCGCCCTTGCTCTCAGACCCATCGGTGCACATTTGCGGCGCGCGCCAAGGCACAGCTGCACCGGAGAGGCGATGGCGGCCATGACGTCATGCGCAGTTCTTCTTCCGGAATGTCCGTGAGCTTAACCTTAGCCACAGCATCTTGCACTAACAAACGTCAAACGCCTCGAAGCCGCCTCACTCCTGCCACTGTTTCAGTCGCATGGATAGCTATGACCGCCGTTTAAATGCCGCGAGCTCTGTGACTCCCCCGGACACTCGAGGTGCCAATGTGCCCTTACAGCAATGTGTAGTTGCGACATGGCTGTGGGTACAGTCAACCTGCCTCGTCTGCCACCGGCACGCCCGCCGCCCCACATGCTTGTTCGGGTCGCCAACCGCTTGCACACTTTACACCCTCCCAAAGCCACCTCCGTTTACAAAGATTGTTTCTTTAATAAGCGGTGAAAGTGCGCACTTCACCAATGTACTCATGCCCGCAAATCCCTCCCTTGTTTAACACCCTGTGAAAATTGTTCCAGCCGTGTGTTGGTTGAAATGCTGACGTCAGGCCACATGCGCTTTGAGTGTCAATTCATACTGCGGTGCGCACACCGGCATTGGCGCCGCCAGAGTAAATGTCTTGCCATCGTTCATGCAGAGGCGGCAGATGCATCCCCAACTTATTTGCTCCCCTTCGCAACGGCCACTCAAGAACGCTGGCAGCCAGGGAAGATCTCCTCGGCACGCCAACCGTGCTTTCTCTTCAGTGCGCTATTGGGATGACCTAACCTTCGCATCAGGGCTCGCTGCCGGGGTGACCCTTGTGCGCCGCTGTGACGAACAACGCAAGATTGCGAAGCCTTGAAACGCGGAGCTCATACTCGAGCAGAACCCTGCACCGGTCCGCACTCGGCCCAAGGCACTGCGTGCTTCAACGCGCAATTCTCGGCACGCTGTCTCCGAAGCGCCAAAACGCTGCAGGTGGTTGCAGCCACCACGCCTTCACGGAACACCGTGCGTGCCATTGAGAGCCAAAGCACAGCAAACCGCGCACCATGCCACGTCGAGAACCAAAATTGTTACAGAAAGCCTGGCAGGCTTGGGGCCTTGCACAATCCAAGAGCATTCGGTATGTGAAAAATCATCGTTCCGTGTCCTTACCTACAGTTCTTCCCGGCGACTAAAGCGCAACAACAAAAAAACGGGCGAGGAGTCGCGTCACCACTCCACGCCCCCGCGCGCCCACACACACCCTGCCTCCAACGACCAGCACAGCTCCTGCAGCACGCAATTGCAAAAGCGCACTTCCGAAATGCAAAGAAAGGCCCGTGGGCCCGCTGCCGCGGTGATCTTGGCCCGCCACGGGTGGTCGCATCGCAGCAACACCCCTGTGGGCTGGCACTCTGCTCCCAGTCGGCATTAAATTAGTCCCCCTGTCTTTTTTGTGAGTTTCGATTCTTCTTTCGACACCCTGAACCCTAAACCGCGGACCCACTGATCCACGTTGGCCTTGCCAGCAGAAGCAGAAGGGATCTTCAAGAGAGGAAGTGGGGACTAACGTATTCTCCCCCAGTCGCTGCATGCCGATTCCTGAATCCGCACGCTCAAGGCGCAGGCACGTGGGAGCGCCGCTGCACGTCAGACCCGACGTCACCGTGTTGCAGATGCAAATCAACTCCAGCTCAACTCAACCGCAAGGATCCCTGGAGCGCTGAACATCGTCCGAGCGTCGAGTTCCGAACATCATAACACCGGCCCCCTCGAAAACGAGACACCGGACACAACATAAAGTTCACCTAGAACCAACGGTTTGAAGGGAGCTCACGACCACCCCCCATCCTACCCATCAGCGGTCCCTAAGAGCACCGCTGCGAAGGCCAGTGACCACTTATTCGTCCACAGCACCAGCCCCTCCGCTAAGCCTCCGTCACCCGCTACAATCCCCCCCTTATTTCGCACGGCACGGGCGCAAGCCACTTGAGATATAAATTCGCAGTCCAACGGGCGCCACGGCGGCTGACCGCAGCTGGCCGGGCGCCCAGTCCATTCCCCTGGGTTGGCCAACCACATTCCCAAACTGCGCTCACAGCCCGAAACTGAAGGCGTGGCCAGCCCAACCATGCCAAGCCTTGACCCTGACTTTGCCTCTACTAGCCCTCCACGTGGCCAGATGATCGCAACACGCCCTCTGCTCCGCCCTGTCCAGGTGTCAAGTGCACAATCCCATGCAGCAAGAGCAAGCACGGCCCACACGGCAAGGATCCACAGCTGCCGCCAGCTGGATGCCAACACTGCCCAGGCGCGCGACCACTGTCGAAAATCACAGTGATGGCAAGCACGCCTGTCACTCCCCTTGGGATGCAAGGGCAGCTTTTCGGCCCTAGAATGCAGGCTAAGCCGCTGTGGAACTCGATACGACACGCCCCGCTTTCCATCAAAAGTGGGTGTCATTTGACATCCACCCACCACGATGATTAATTCCCATCCGCCCTCAGCCACTCCACCACCTGCTGCATGGAAGGACGGTCGTCCGCGACCATGGCCGTGCAGGCGTTGAATAACTTGGCAGCCACCGGCGGGCACTTGTGCGGCAGCACCACGACCTTGCCCTTGTCCGACACCATCTGGCGGGTCATCGCAAGGGACTGGTACTCGGTAATATCCGCCTGGCTGACCAGCTCCCAGATCAGGATCCCGTAGCTCCACACGTCGGCCTTGATGTTCGCACTCTCCTTGCGCAGCACCTATGCACGGTTTGCGCCGATTCAGCCGAATCATTGTTGGCTGCAGAAGTCAGAAAAGTGGCAAACAATACTCTACTCACTGATACTGTGCCACAGTGCTGCTCAGGCCCAGAATGATGCAGGACAACACTGCATAGGTGCCCGCGCAAGTGTGAGGCTGTGTGCATGTTGTTCATGTTTCATCCTTTCTTCATAATTTCTTTAAAAAATTTCATTATTTTTTAATTATTCATTATGAACTTTTTTCAAGTCTAACTGCCCTCGCCCGCAAAGTGCAAGTGCACTGACCTGCATTTCATGCAGTTGATTATGGCACTGCACAGCCCTTTCACTTGATGGGCAGCCATTGTGAAGACCATGCAGACTGCCAGGAAAACGATCTCACCATCTGAATTTAGTTGGGGCATGTCCCATTGCCAGAGTGCCCTTTTAATGCAGTTGCATTGGATACATTCATTCGCCCACACGCGTCAAGCTGGCAACCAGGCCAACAAGAAAGGAAAGTGGGGCTTCACAAAATGCTGCATCAAGGTATGCCACTGCACACTGCAACAAGCCCTACTGGCACAATATTGGCAAGGCTGATAGTCTGACCGACACGCTGTGTTGCGTAGTGTGTACATCAACACAGCACTGTACAATACAGTGCAATAGCACCAGAAGCACACCACAGCGAAAGGCAGCCCAGCCCAGCACAGCACAGCACAATGCTGCAACAAATCGGAATCGAACCTTCGGAAGCCCTCTCTACCACGGGAGGCAGCAATGGTCTTATGGCTCACCTCTGGTGCTGCCCACAGGGGCGTCATCACGGGCTGAGCAGACATGAGCTCCTTGACCTGCACCTTAACCATCCCAACGTCTGCGATTTTCGCAACACCCTCCTCAGAAAGCAGGACGTTGGGGCTCTTCAGATCCCGATGCATCATCGGTGGCTTCTGCGAATGGAGGTAATTCAGTCCCAGCGCAACATCGAGGGCAACCTTCTTTCCCAGCCGTTCCCATCTGCTCAGCACAGAACAGCAAACACACCACAGTTCACACACAGCACCCCAAAATGTGCAAGGCCTTTGCTTGGCATGGCCATTCTGACCACTACAGAAACCTAATCCTTGTTGTGAATGGATTTGACACTTGACAAAGCAGAATTCCTCCACCAGCTTGGCGATGACAGTCACACCTTCCAAGCACTTGTGTTTGCTCGAACTCACACTTTTTCCCTTCTGGCCAGTCTTAAGTACTGCTGCTCGACCGCAGTCTGTGGAATGCACGCACCGCATCGTCTCCTGGTGATGCCTAATAGCCGTGTAGAGGTCTCCACCCCGCATCAACTCCGTCACAAAGAACATGCTGGAGAGTTCAAGGCAGGCGCCATAGAACTGCACGATGTTCCGATGGTGGAGCTGGCTCAGGGTCTTCACCTCCGTGAGGAAGAGGTTCAGTTCCTTGTTGGTAGGCTTGTCAGTCTGGCCCAACCCAAGCAGACATCGATGTTACTGAAACTTTATTTGAGGAATCTTGCTCAACTGACCGATTGAATGACTTCTATTACCTGGTTGGCTGAAGACAAGCAATGGCAGCCTGTAGTTTCCAGCGTGTTTGTTGGCTGGTTGTCCATTTGCTTGATGCTTCATCAATTGCACGCTGGCCAGTCGCCTAAGGCCTAAGACTCGATGTCACTGAACAAGTGAAAGGGCCAGCAATTATCCATCACTCTCAAGACAGCCCAGACACTCCACCGGCCTTGTTTTCCTTTCTTCACAACAATTTAACAATGACATTGCACTTGGGATGTTCCCTTACAGTCATCGTACAGTTCCTGTAGATCACTAGGAAGAGACGCTGTGCGATGATCTGATTGCAATACGCACATGCCACACCCGAGTGTGTCTTTTCTCACATTACTGCAAAGCACACACTCTTCTTTCTGTCCCATTTTTTTCTTGCACGCAATGTTGGTACCTTCAGGTAATAATATTCCAAGTTTGTGAAAAAAACTGTACAATTTTACCTGCACGGAGTGGAAACGTGTAACAAACAGCAATTACCGCCACTACAATTTGCACAGCAACAAACACCTTACCTTCACGACCTTCACTGCCACCTCATCGACATTGTTCATCAGCGCTTTGTACACCATACCAAAGCCACCCTCACCCAGCCTGTACTTCTTGCCTTCGGCATTCCTGCAGATCTCGATGTCGTTCATGGACAGAATGAGACCTTGCAGCTCACCTGAAGCAAAACAGTATTCTCTCATCCCCTTGGTGGCTGAAATGTTCTTAACATGTCAGTCATTTCTGTTCAACTGTCTTCTTACCACCTTGCCAACTTTCCCAAAGCGAATCTGCTCAACTTCGCCCCCAAATGCATGACGAGAGCACAAAGGGGGGAAATGGACAAGGCACAGTATGGTACCCATAAGGACCCACTTCGTTGCTGCTTTGCTCCTGTACACCTTCAGTTGCAAACTTTTTGACCACCCTTGCTAGGAAATGCCGAGTTTCACTCCTGCACCTACAAGGCCACGGTGGACACAATTCCATCCACAGTGTTTCGTCGTGCAACTCAAGTCAGAAAAAAAAAACAAAGTTCTGGACAACAGCACTCACCAGGGACATCCAACTCGAAGGGCTGCATGCTGACTTCCCTGTCTGGCAGCGGCGCAAGCACCTTGCCGTTGCCCTGAATGTTCCATGCCATGTTCTTGTCTTCTCTTTGGTGCTGGATGTGCCCAGAGGCAGAGTGATGCCTGGGGCTTCTGTTGTGGGATGAGCTCCGCCGATCAGGTGGCGGTTGGGATGGGCCCACTGTGACACAGGGACAAACAGCTGCAATAAAGCTTCTCTATGTTCGATCAAAACCTTCCTTGCTGCAATGTCCTGTGAAAATAAAAACATAAGAATGTATATGTGCAATCTCAAAAACATGTGTGCATTTCAATTGCCCTTCCATATGCCTGTTAAGACCTCAGCATGTTTGGACAACTTGCTTGTCTTTGGATACGCTATTTATACCCTATCTATATGATACCAACCTACCTTTCAACTAACATTGCTGACTCATGCTACTGCTCAAGCTATTCCTCCACATGTGCATTGCCAAGCAAAGCATCTTCACAAAGACACAAACAGTGTTGCGAATTCTCGTGTTAGTTAAGTTGTTGCAAACCCACACACTTGGCGCAGTCATCCCCTCTTCAGCATCAGGGCTACTTCAGTTTCAGCCAGTCTTCACAAGGGGCAGCTCCCCTGCCAACACCAAAGCCCCACACATAGTGGACGGCCAACAGCTCTTTGGAAACACCCCAGACTCTTGCGCGGAAACATCGACCTGGTCCACATTCCTTTGACTATCCAGCCAAAGCCAGAGGCATCGATCCACTAGCACACTGGGGGCACCCGATCTCTCACCTGTGACGCAAAATTTGAAGCAACGAAATAAGCCCAGCAAGAAGAAAAAGTTAGGATTGGACAGGCATAGAACAGGACAACACTGCAAGGGACCCACCTTCCCCCTCGTCCGACCCCTGCTGCTGCGACCGCCAGTGGGCGTCGTGCGCTCTGCCCACAGCATCGCCCTCGGGAGAGCCCGCTTCCGATCCTGACCCTGACAAAGAGGCGCCATGGCTGGGGTGCCATGATGGGCTGTCCCTCCCGGCATGTGCCAGCCTCGCGCTAGGGGTGCCCTCGCTGGAGCTGGCTGCCATTAGCCGGGACGTGCCACGCCTATGCACCACAGCGTACACTGAGGTTGACTGTATTGGCCCGACCACTGGTTAATGCTGCCTTTTCGGTTGTCAGTAACACATATATCATTGCTCATCTTACTGCCATTAGTACAATATTTGCACGCACATATTTGTTATTGAGTCGTTAGCTATCTGAGCTTGCAAATACACACATAATAGTCCTGCCGGTTTGCAGTTCCGGTCCCTCATCCAACAGTCCAAAGTGCTGCCATGCAGCAGAGCTTTCCTTCATGTACTCTCCTTGTTTCAAAATCTTGAACTACTTTTCAGAGTCCACATGGAGGGCTGTCGTTCCTGCTGCCAGTGAGATTACATGGAGGATTAACAGTAGGGCATGTCTCCATCCAGTGCCAGTAGACATCTGCGTAGGTCCACAGCCTTGAAACCAGCCGCCTTAGTGGGGTCAGTGCTGTCCACTTGAACTCGCTCCATGTACACTGATTCCAAAAGGACAGCTTGCCTAACAACAGCCAGTTGTAGGTCTTGGTCCGGATCCCAAACGTACGCTTTGCCCATCGACAGCCAACCGCATGTTCCAGTGGACCACCAGCAGGCTCATGATGCACATGAATCGGAGTTCAGCAGAGCCACGCCATGGCCATTGCGTCCGGATTTGCTTTGCATGCAAGGATACAATCTTTCATCTGTGGGTCAACTGAATGCTGCACAGTGCGACAAACTCGCTGGCCAGACCAATCGTACAAGGTCTGGCAACATCAGCTTACGACCACGTATCTCTCCTTTCCACTCCACATTTCAATGTACTATTTTTATCCCAGCACCCACAACCAGCACGATCGCACAGGCAGGGTGAGGAGCACCAATGGACTCACGGTGTGAAGGCTCTTGCCACCCTTGCTGAAGCTTGTGAGTTCGCCCTCGCCGACCCTGGTCTTGGAGACCTGGGAGACCGTGTCCTGCCTCCAACGTGCGGGATCTTGGAAGGAGGGGCCACTTCTGCGCGACTCGGGGACTTGCCATTCGCCGAGACGTCTCCCAGGTCCAGCTTGAGACTGGAGGCCAGCCGCCTGGCGATGTCCACGCAGGGCAGGAGCTTGGCGGAGCAGGGACAAATGACCTCGGCGCCTGCGATGCCCGTTTCCTGCAGCGGCGCAACAGACAGATGCAGGAATGGCAAAAATTTGCAAGGAAAGGAGAAAGACAAAAGCAAAGCAAGTACAAAAGCCAATGGATCTGGCAAGTGAATGGAACAAAGGTGTCGCAGCGGCATTCAAGCAAAAGACCACTGGGGTGAGTTTGCATTCTGTGATGTGTCTGTCAGCAAGTCAGTCCAAGGAATTGGAGCAAACAAATGCCAGGCTGAGCTTGCCCCGGGATGAGGGGCACAGCATTTCTGGACGCAGGCCACCCATTATCGAAATGCAAAGGGTTGGCACATTCTCTTGTCTAATGAGGGTCGCACCAGATCTCTTGAATTGATACTGGAAGTTCCAGCCTGGAACTAAATTGCTGACCACCAGACCAACACATTGTTATCAGCTGAAGCTTCCTGACCCAAGCACACCTCAGAACCAATGCGTTATGTTTGCCACTCTCAGTCGAGTTACTAGGATTTACCTGAGATTCTGACCTTATAACTATCACATTTTGCACCTTCTACAAGCAGATTTGTGCTCGTCATCGCCTAGCACGTGCAAAGACTCCATGTTGCCACTATTCGACAATCTGGGAATTAACAAATGAACTTTGTCAATGACAACATCTTTGACAAACTGATAACATTAAAAACTCAGAAAACAAGCAAGGGATTTAGGCCTCAGTGGAGGGAGGTAGTGTGGGACACACCTCGCGCAGAAGCAGCAACTGGCCTTCACATGGCACCACCATTCGGCCACCCGGTCGGAGAAGGCTGAGCAGCTCAGCAAGGATTTTCTGCAAAAGAAGATTGCGTCACTGTGTGCCACCACCACGTGCCAAACATCGCTTCTACCCGTCAGTGTTGATATCAGTTGTGAAACATGACAAAGCACGACCCTGGCCACCATTTTCATGCGGTCCACAAATATTGTTTCAAAACAATAGTATGCCATGCTCTAGAACTGAACAAACTGGCCAAGGCGCTGCTTTGTCACCTTTGTCACAATAGTGGACATCAATATGTGCCTCCTTACGATGACTACAACCGGGATTCACAATAAGAACAGGTATGCTCTGACACAGGAATTGTGTTCGGATTCAGTGCGAAACCTCAGATTGAAGACTTCAATCAGCACTGACGGTTGCCATAACAGCACTTGGCAGCACTTGATGCATACACACTGCAGAGGGACAAGGGCTCACAGGCAAGTGGATCACCAGGAGGCTCATCATACCAGCATTTCATGCTGCATCGACAACTAGCTCTTTGCTATACCAATATTCTCATACAACCAGCTACGCACTTGCGTGTGAACCAGGGCAGCTGAAGATTCCCACCAATCAGAATTCTACACAATGAGAAAGATATGCAAAGACACAGAAACACACAACAGAAGAGGCCTGCCTGTGTGCTGTTTGACCGTTGTTTGAAAACCACCAAGTGCACAGCTCAGGCTGGCACCATACAATGCCCAGGCAAGTGGATGTCAAACAAAAAACTGCAGAGCAAGGTGACAACTGTGCAAACCCATGCCCAGAAACACTGCTCTTTGACCATCATCAGGGTTGTCTGACAATGCATCACTACAATCACCACCACACTTCCACCACACTTGTGTTATTGCAACTCAGTGTTATATTCGTGTGTACATAAGTGCATCTGAGCCAGACTTGTGTTGCTTCACCCTGGCAGGCGCTGCTACTTGTTCTGTTGCAAATTGCATCCGCAAAGACAAGACCACCCCTGTTTCCACAATAACATTTCAGATCACTACCTTCATAACGCTTCACCCACCCACAAGGGACATAGTGCCATCGAACAACGATGCTTCAAACATGAATGTCACTGCAACACTGCAGCAAGTAGCAGTTGCAATGAGAAACACCCACAAATATCTGATGAACAACAATATTACACCTTTGGGCAGGCACCCTCGATGCTGATCTTGTCAAACCGCTCCACAGACTTGGCAAAGGAAAGGATGGAGTCCGTCTTGAACTTTGGGTCCAATCCTGACATGCCCCTTAGCCCTTTTAGCTGCTCCACCCGGCCTTCAGCAAAGGCACAATGCGCTGCCTCCTCCTGAGAACACGAACATTTCTGTTGGAAGCATATTTTGTGGCCCCACATCGCATCGCAGGTGCAAGGGCTTGTCTTGTCACAGACATTGACAAAGGCAACCATCAAGCATCATCCATTTTTATCACAAAATCAAACAAGTGATATTACACTCTGGAAGCAACATAATACAGAAAACAAAAATTGTAGCCACCACTTGTTCTAACATCCAACCATGCCTCCCATTCCCATTTATTCCATTTTCCTTTGAGAATTCTGGCCTGATTCAGGAACGAGATCGAAGATGCGGAAGTTTTGAAGAGTAACCAGCAAGGGGTTGAGACATGATGCTGCACAAGACTGCATAACATCTGATGAAAAACCCAGGACTGCCAGGAATCAAACCATATTTGCACAACCCATAGTCAACAACAAATTGTCCAACTATCAATTACTCATAAAATACTTCTGAAGTAGAAGCAATCAATGCTGACAATGCTTACCGCGAGTCCCACAGACCGACCGGCATCCCCCACGAGGTAAGCGCCCATGCAGGTCAAAAACCCAGTGCCACACTGCACGTCCAGGAAGCTCTGCCCAGGCTGCAGCTGGAGCACATCCAAAGTGAGGATGTGGATGTGCAGAGGAGGCAGCTCGATGCTGGGGTTGCTGAGGGAGACAGCGTTGCCATCGTATGCTTCATCCACCTGCGCAGATGCACAGCCTTTGGATTCAGGACGATTCTGGAGACAGCACGACAACAGAACCAACAGCAGGTCTGTGGGCTTTGCATCGTCTTGTACTCTGTTGCTAGGTGGCACAAGGCCCACATATGTTGTGGTGGGATTGGGGAGGCACCTGGACACTGACATGTGATGTGATGATTCGGAGATCAAAAAGTACGCCTTTCGAAGTTTTCAATCTGGGCATCCTGTGGCAGTTCGTGTTGGAGATCGACATTGGCATGCACTGTCTTGAAGTGCCCAAAGGCCTGCTTAACAACTATGAACCCAGGCACAACACAACATCTTTTCGATTGATGCAAAACTGGAACAAGGAGTCTGCAACAAGAAAGCTCACCTGATGCAAGGGTTCTTTCGGAATTGTGAAGGCAACACATAGGACACACCACAGAGCACCAAGTGCGCACCTGATGCTCATCCACAAAAGCACCCCTTGGTATAAGCCTCAGCACCTCCTCCGTGCTGCGTGCTGGCCTGACCCCTTCCGCCTCTGTTACCCTCTCCAGCATGATTTGCACCCCCGCCTGCAGGTCCGGGCAACAGTGGCGCCAACCCGTGAGGGAAAAATTGCATTGCTTACATTTGAATGCAGAACGCACACAAAGCCCTTGACAAAACAAGGTCCTTGCATTTGAGAAGGCGATGAGGGGCACAGCAGCAATCAATCAATGTATGTTTCAGTCCATCCAAACATCGATCCAAACTCTGAGGGACACACACTTGCGTGTTTTCGCATTTGCGAACAGCATCCAATATCTTGTTACAGGTAAGGGCAAGGTTCTGTACAGAATGTAGACAAGGCATCAACGAGGGTTTGTGCTACAGTGAATTTTCGTAATGGAGGTGTTGTTTCATGGGGATCAGCAACAGATGCTGTGGGTATTCGTCCGTTTGGGCTGCCACACCAGGATGCAAATCACTGCCCTGCGTTGTCCATGAACACTTCTTTTTTAACAGTGTCACAGGTACAGCGACATTTTCGTTGATGCATTGCCTCAAAGAATATTGTTGATTGATGCATGCGCTGAATGAAGCGCCTAAGTGTGGCACTCACACTGCATAGACTGTCAAGAATTCTGCCACAAACAGTGCAGATGGAGATCGGTCAGTTATCACCTCGGTGACAAAAAGGCAATACATTGTCGATTTCTGGTCAGTGAGCAAATGGCCTGGCCACAACGTCACACTCACTCACTGTAGCAACTCCATTTCTCCTTCCAACAGTTCTATCCACAATTCAACAAAACGATTCAAAAAAACAACAATCCACAGGCACTTGCGCACCTGCAGGTCCCTCTCTGCCTCAACTTCCGCCACCAGGCTCTCCTTGCTGCTCAGCAGGCCAAGGGCCTCCCGGCTCATCTGCGCCACATCCGGGATCTGGGACACCTCCATGTCCAGCAGCACGGGCACAGCGCCCGCTTCCACGATCCTGTGGCGGCTTTTTGAGGACTGCACAAGGTCAACAAGGACAGCAAGGGCCAGGGCCTGTACTTCAGAGCTACCCCTCCAACACCTCCGGATGAGCACAGGGACGCCACCTACAGAGCAGGCAATGAAGGTTTGCCACAGCAGTGACGAATGCATGCAGTTGGATGCAATGACAATTGTGGGTGAAAAGGATGCAGCAATAATGACTCGCTACTCACAAGAATGACATGTCACAGATATCCATAACACTGGAATGGCATATTTGGAATGGGATGTCCCCTTCCCAGCATCAAAGACAGAGGAAAAGAAAGAGAACAGCGGAAACAGTGACATGAACAAAAAGTTGTCCAGGACAGGCAATTGTGCTCATGAACAGCGACTGGCAATGCCTGGCCTGGTGGCAATGGTTTGGGAACTTCACGAATGCAATCAATTAACTCTCCACTGTCACTGCAGTTCCATCCTTCCAAGCGCAGGACATCATCCGCGCACATCGACAGGTACAAGGCAGGCATTCAAGGTGGAAACGTTGCGCAAGAACAGGAATGCCTCTGTGCACAGCACAGCCAGTTGCAGGACAGCTTCCAAGAGGTGTGTGAAGCTGCCCATACTGGGTTGTAAATTATCAATAACAAATCAACCACACGGCTGTCTGCAGGACGCAACCCACCAGTGGCCACGATCTGTGAGTGCACCACAGTGTCCACTCCGCGCAGCAGGAACAGTGTCCTCGCCCCGTGCAGTTGGGTCTGCTCGTTGCCACTGTCCAGTGCGCTCAGGAAGGCCGACAGTTGGCCCTCTGATATGATCGTGTTGGCTGCGTCCTTGTGGGACGCCAGCTTCTCAAGGGCGCGTGCGGCGCCTTCCTGGCCACGGCCAGGGCACTCGCGGAGGACATGTATTAAGGGGAGCACGGCACCTGCGGGAATCATGGACCGGTGAGTCAGCTCCACAGGTGTGAGCGGGTGGAGTGTAGAGCTTCACACAACACTGGGAACCAATAAGCAGTTTTGTAACACAGTGTAATCAAAACTCCAAGCACTGTCCGCCTCCTACCAGCAGAGATGCGTGCCTGGTACAAGACAAGAGCGAAGGCAAACGAAGCAAACCTTTGGAGATCGGCTGTGCGATCGTGATGCCTGCACAAACTCATAAAGAAAGGCTTACCAGTTCAAAGGGGGATCTGGCAGATCAGGAACATACTGGCAACACACAAGTGCCCATTACTGCCGCCCAGGCGTTGGCAATTCCCAGCATTTCATTTGCCAAAAATGCTTGGCAGTTAGCCATTGCACTTGAAGTCAGTGAAGAATGCAGCAACGTAGAACCAGCCTTTGCAGGGCAACTTCAGACACCGTCTTTCATTGTGCAAGTGCACAGTTTCGCACTATCTTAAACATAAGCATTTGTGGTCATGGCACAGTAGACAATTTTTGCGTGACCATATGTCTGACATCGCCTGCTGGTGGGAGGGCAGTCTGGTGTTGTTTTTTGACGACCGGCAATGAGAGCTCACACTGGCTTGCCCTGTGGAGGCAAGAGCAAGTTCATGAAGAGTGCTGCAGAGTCTTCCAGTTGTCAGAAGCCTGGAGTCTCTCTGTTCAGTCAAATTGATCTATTGTTGGATTTGGCTTCCAGGACTTCATTCAAAGATGTCCATGCAGGTTGCGATGCAGAGTTGTTGCCCTCACACAGTATAGCCGTGGTTTTAATGCACATTCATTTGGTTTTTCCGTTGTACCTTGCTGTACATTGGCAACAATCCACAAAACAAGACTCAAGCCCCCAAAACAATGCTGCCACATGAGGCCGTAGCCATGACCTCCCTTCAGGAAGTGGTTCCCCAAGTTGTGGGCCCAAGCGCAGAGATGTGCGAGCGCTGTGGCACAGTGCCTCCTCATGGACTCCAGTACACGAGTTGCACTGAAATGCAGGGCAGAACTCCTCTTACAAAACCAACAAGTGGTGGATGAGTATTCCAGGCTGGGGTACAAAGACAGATGGAGAGGTGCCCACAGGCCAGCCCGGGTTGCCTGCCTGTGTAATAGATTTTGTCCCTGACGCCGATGTCCTCCGCCAGCCGCGCAATCGCCCACGCAGCATAGGCCCTCCCCTCGTCAGACCCCGTCGACAGGAGGTCGATGAGCGAGCTCACCACCTCGGGCTCGGCAAGGTCCCTGGCGGCACACACCCAGCCAAATCAGCCCCACACCACACGCCACCGGCTTCGCTGCCAGCCCACCCCTCTCCGGCACAGCATGGAAAAGAGTCTCGCGTACACTCGCTTCGGAGGGGGTGCCCTCTGCCCGACCTGTTTCTCTCTCTTTGTAACAAATCTTACCCTTCCCCCCCCCCATGCCGACCCAGCGCCTTCTCCATACCGTCCACGCCCCGCTGCGTCCCTGCGCCCCCGCCAAAACCGTCCTCCGCCCGAACGCTGACCACCGCATCCAAAATGCTTCGCCGCTTCGCGCCCAGCGAATCGCAAAACGCAGCCCACGTCCTTGTCGCCATCCTTAGTGCCCGCCTCTCCCCCCACCCATCCCCCGCAGCCTTCTCTTTGCAACAAATCTCACAAGGTTGGCGTACCGCGCGCTAACACACCTCACACCCGGCCCTGTCCTTCGTCCAGCTCCAGTCAGACTCGAGCGTACCCTCACCTAAGGCACGACCGAGGGTGGGCCCCACCCCCCCACCCCCACCCCAACCCCCACCCCCCACCACTACAAGCACACACGGAGCAGTAACGGATCGACATTGATGCGACAAACACAACCAAGCCAGGTCAAGCACACTGGCGAACACACGACAACACATGTGTACACAACGTTGGCGCTGCGGCCCCGCACCTGGACGCCCTGGGGTCCGCGGCGGCCACCTGCTCGATGACCTGCGCGGCCTGCTCCCGCAGCTGCGGGTCGCCCGAGTTGATGATCCCCACCAGCTGCTGGATCTCCCCGTTGCTGATATCGCTGGCCGCGCCGCCCGCCCCGCTGCCCACGATCCGGTCCCTCAGCTCCGGGCCCTTGTCCGAAATCCGCTGGAGCGCCTTGAACGCGTTCTCCTTGGACCGGTTGGACAGCCCGTCGTCGGCCACCCTCACGAGCGCCTCGATCGCCCCGCCGGCGGCCATCTCGCGAGCGCACCACGTCGACCGCGCCAGGACCTTGCACACATCGGCCGCCTCCGCCTGCACGCTGCCGTGAGAGGAGCCGCACAGCGCCACCAGCCGTGGTACGGCGCCGCTGCGCACGATCTCGGCCTGCAGCTCCTCCTTGTCCGCGCCCACGAAGTAGAGGCACACCAGGGCGCGCTTCAGCAAGCCGGGCTCGTTGCTGTCGAGCAGGCCGATCAGATGCGGCAGCCCGCCGGCGTGGACTATCGCGCCGGCCGCGGAATCGTTCCTGGCCAGCCTGCCCAGCGCCCGCACGGCCCCCTTCCTCCCGTCCAGCGTCGTGTCCGGCGCGCCCACCATCGTCAGCAGGGCGCCAATCGCCCCCGCGTCCTCCATCTCCTGCCGGCATCCCTCCACGCTGGTCAGCGAGCTGAGGGTGTACGCCGCGTACAGCTGGCCCTTCGGGCTGCCCGTGGACAGCATTATGACCAGTGGCACCACCGCGCCCGCCACGGAAACCGCCCCGCGCCTCTCGGCGCTCTCAATCACCGCATTGAACAGCATCTCCGCGGCATCCGCCTGCTCGCCCTGCCCCCCGGACCGCAACACCTCAACCAATTCATCCACCGCGGCGTCCCTCAGGGCTGGCCTCGATTGCAGACCCACGCCCAGTGGCCGCCAATTCGGATCATCCGATGCGCCCACACCGCCATCGATGCTCCGAAAAGACGCCTGGGGCTCGTCCACCCTCTCCGGCGTGCTGGGCGACCGCGGTCGCGGCGCCCTGCCCGCCCTGTCGGGCAGCCGATCGTCGAAGAGGCCATGGGGCGCGCCGCCGCGCGTGCCGGGAGGAGACGTCGCCGGCTCCTCCCCGCATGCGCCCGACGTGAAGCAGCCCTTTATGGTGTGGCTCAGCCGCAGCCTGAACATCAATCCCGGCCACTAGGGCCGGGCAACCGAACCCGACCGAGCCTAACCAATCACTCCCGCCAAATCTCCTGCCCTGATGAGCCGATCTTTCACAGGCCCCCGGCCCTGCCCAGACTGCCGCCCTGCCCTTGGGTGGAAGTACTCGCCGCGCGGCCTGCCTGGGGTTGGCCGGTTGCGCGGCAAAGCGGCCGATGGGTTCCGTAGACGTCCCGTATCAAGGGGGTCCGCTGTCGGCGGCGCCACCGGTCCATGGTTGGGGGGGGGCCTTACTGTGGGACGTACTGCGGCCCGGGCATCGGCGCCACATCGGATTAGTCACGCCGTCCGGCGGTGACTCGCGCGGGGTTGTACTGGCGCGAGCGCCCCGCCGATTCGGACGCCTGTGACAGGCCTCTGGGGCATTTATCTCTGTTTTTGAGGCATTTATCTCTTTCTGAGCCATTTATCTCCTTTTGGGGGCGTTCATCTCTTGTTTAGGCGTGTATCCCTTTTTGATGCATTTATTCCTTTTCGCAGCATTCACGTCTTTTTGAGGCATTTACCTCTTTTGTAGTCATTTGTCTCTTTTCGAGGCACATGCTCTATTCATTTTGCAGCGATCGCTTCTTTTGGAGGCATTGTTTCTTTTAGGTACTTATCTCTTTTGAGGGCATTTGTTCTCCTTTGGCCATTCATTTTTTGGGCCTCCAGCGTGCTCATGTCTTTCCACTTCTTTTGGGCAGCACTCCAATATCCTATCCGGGCAGTGGCCCCTGCTGCTCGGGTGGTGCCGCGTGGAGAATTCTTTAATTACCTTTAACTTAAATATATATCCAATCGATGCCCCTTTTTGGGGGCGGTTGCCTTTATCAAGGACGGAGAGGGTTTGCGCCTCGTTTCTCGTGGATTGGGGTTGGGGAGGATTGGGGATGGGGGCCAGGGGGGTGCACTGGACAGTTGGTGCATTATTAGTGCCAGGCTAATGAGAGCGGAGGAGCGCTGTGGAGGCAAGAGGGAATGTGATACGCGATAGGGGTAGTTGTGCGGCCATTGGTTAGAATGCAGGAGCGCTTGCAAAACGAAATCGGGCGTAGCTGGGCAAGCCCCATCGGGACTGCCAGTGGCTTTTGAGATTCGTTTGTGCGAATTTACAATTTGACGTTGGTAATGCCTGAATGATGCATCATCAGTTGCGAGCATTCTTCCACACTGAGCACCGATTTATTTTCCCTTATCGGATCCAATTACTAACCACTATATTTAAAAAGTAGCTGTTATTGTCGCACATTATTCTGACGCAATCATAGGGACAATATGGAGTACAATACAAGCACACAAAAAAAGCAGACGATGGTGCCTTGACTCACAGCACAACGTTCCATCCAATTAGCGCCAGTGCCGTGCCCATGCCCATCAGAATTGATATTGTGACGGCACAGAAATTAGCACACTGCTTTGTTGGAGAATGTGTGAGAAATATGCATATCTTGGTGCCTGGATATTGGTGGGAAGAGAGACGATCAGAAGAGGAACCGGCAGGGGCTGGCTCATGCCACATTGTGTATGCGTGTGTTTCATTCGAAACACATATTATCGATTGATTATTATTATTTATAATATTATTGATTGATTGATTGAATATTATTGATATTCGCTGTGTACAATTTCTGGCTTCCTGCTCCCAAGGAACTGATGTCTGTTACTCACAGTGGCAGAAAATGGCAATGCAGGCAAGCCGTCATGGTGTGCACAATCATGTCGATCGACACAGAGCGCACCCAAAGGGAAGGTTGGGCACTCTGCATTCATCTACTGACTTGTCAGCGCCTTTCAGGCGCTAGTCCAGTGCTTTGTCACGCTTTGACAAGTGCTATCAGTGCTTCAAGTTAAATTCAATAAAAACAGGTGCTGTGCAGGGGGCAATATGTTCCAGGATCGTCATTCAATGTCCAAACTGCAAACATCAACCACAAGTCAAATCGCACACCCCCGCACCCATGACCCAGAATATAGTACAACATCGAGCCAGCAACAATCTGTAGGATGTGAAGTAATATCTTCGAAAAAGAACAAGCAAACACAAGGCTGTAGGACAAGTGGGCTTGTGTTCTGAACTTAAAAACATAGCCTGACTGTAGACTCATCGTTGCAGAGCCAAAACTGTTCAGTGTTGTCCTTGTGCTATTCCTGGGACTCGTAGACCTTTGGCCTCGCTGCACCGGTGCACCTCTTTGCCACTGCAGGAACTGCCAGGGTATCCCACACTACAAGGCTTCCCTTGTCGCCGCCAGCTGCGATGAGGAAGGGGAAATCTGGGCCGCAGAACGTCGCCGCGAATATGGCTCCTGCATTGATGGCCTCGCTGGCCACCAAGCCTGGCTGATTGTTTGACACATCCCACAGCTTGACCTGCACAGGAATGTGCGATTCAACATTCAGCAAATTTAAGATGTGAGAGTGCAGTGTGAAACATTGCATTGCACATTGTATGAGATCTTGCATCAAATACTGCATGAATACTGAATCTGATTCAGCGCACGCTTACCATGGGCCCCCACACCCCAATCCCCCCACCCTCAAAGGGTTTTCATAGCAGAGTTTCTCCTGCGACACTTTATTGCTCAGGACGGCACATTCATGCCGTGGACCTACTCCTGAACAGCAGTTTCTTCTGATGGTCAGAGTTTGGGGGGCCAGGTACACAACCACAAAAGAGAACAAAAGTTCATCAAAAGTACTGCTGCAATGGTCGGATGTCACAGTTCGGCACCCACCTGCTTGTCCACAGATGCCGTCATCAGCAAATTGGGCACCGCTGGGCAAAAACCCAGGCAGGTTGTGGGCTTCTCATGCGCTGCAAGCCGGTAGAGAGGTGATGAGCCTGCACCCCCTCGTGCATCAAGGGCCACCACCATTCCATCCTCTGAGGATGCCACGAAAGCGGTTGGGTTGCCAGCGCTCCAGCAGAGGGCTTCAGAGTCAGCGGACAGCTCCCACCTCAGTGGGTTGCCGTCTGGAACACGCACATCCACCTGATACAGGCAACCTCCCTCAATGCATGGGCATGGGCTTTAGGCTGGGAATGTGTATGGGTGGCGCTGTGTTAGGAGGGCATAGTTTCCAAGAGCAGGACAATAAAAGGGCTTTAGCAGCCACACATCTGCCACAAAATGGCACTAGCATGTGGGATCAGCGTCCAACATCGCACAATGTGCGATAAGGCAACGATCCGTAACACTGCATTGTAAAACATTGCAATGTGATCAATACAGACTTGCCATATCTTGAAGCCAAGTCCGACAGCGTTGCCAACATGCAAGGCAGTGTCTGTCAGGACCATTCTGACAAATGTAATCAAAAGATCTTGCTATTGTCATCCACTACCCAATATTATCATGGAGCTTGATACACAAGCCAAATCCACAACACAACATCTATCGTATGTGGTTTCACACAGAGCGGAAGACATGTCCATACAGTCCAGCCTCACCATGCAAACTGACTTGTCGAAGCTCCCGCTCAGCAGGACCGACCCCTCAACCGGGTTCCATGCTACAGACTGCACCTTTTTCGTGTGGTGCTTCAGTGTGTGCTCGCAGGCCCCGGCCGCGACGTCCCACACACGTACACGCTTGTCTGCCCCTGCGCTTGCCAGCACGTTACGAAAAGATGCATTCCAACTGAGTCCCAAAGTGGCATTGTGGCCCTCTGGCTGGTCTTTTCTCTTCTTCTACTGAGGAAAGCAAAGCACAGAGTGGTTTAGGCCAAACATGGTTCCCCCACTTCTACTGAGGAAAGCAAAGCACCAGGGAGGGGAGGCCAAACAAGGTTACCACAAAGGGGCCAATATTGGCACCGCCATGGCAGTGTGAGACGAGTGAGGGCAGCCCCATTTGGTCATTCTTGTCCCAACACCGTGCAGCATTACTCACCCATAATTGTGATGCAATGTTTGGGAATACAAAACACCATACAAATATCCCTGAACCTGACTTAACATTTGGGAATGCAAGCAAAAACATGGTACAGGCTCAATCGCTTGTTGCTTTCATCGAGCTCATGTAGATTATGTCCCCTTGTTCAACAGCCTTCACTTGGCCCAACCCCTACAATGCTTGCTACTGCGGCAGAGAATGTTGTCATCCTACTACCCTGCTGCCCTGCAATTATCTGGGAACGTGTGTAGGGGACACACATAAAATACAATTACCATCTTGCAGAAAAAGATGGAATGGGAGTTGGCAGAGCTTGGCCCACATCACATTCAATGCAGTGTTTGAAAGGGATTGCCAACTGGGGGAGTTAAACATGATGCAGTGTTTGAAATAGCAAATACTGACACTGACACTGACGCCAACAAAGCCACTAGCAAGGAACCAGTACCCATACAGTAATGACATTAATATCAATACCAACAACAACACTTTCAAACAAGCGGGTACAATTCTTGGTACTTCGATACTTTGGCACTGTACCCATTTTGCCCGCACAATTGTCCTGAGTAAGGGCAACGACTTGTCACATCTAGATGCACATAGTCAATCTAATTTGTACAGCACCATAAACACCTCTACTGGCAGCCAGAAATTCCAGTTCGTCCATGTCTACCCAAAGATCACTAGCCACTGGCCCTGTGCATGTTTCAAGGTGTAGAGGCATCCACTGTCAGACGATGGGCAGCTTTCTGATCAAGGAGGAGTGAATAATGCTCTTTTGGAATAACACGTGCACAAGAAGCAAAGCCGCAAGCACCTAGAAGGGGAAATTAAAGTGCAGAGCTGAACTGGCAAGCACAGCAAAGGACAGTTGCTACGAGCTGTCCCTTGTGCAGCTGATTGGTGTGTGCGGTTTTCACGCCTGTACGGGGCACAAACAGCCATGACTTGGACGCCGCAGTGCGTGTCGCTGACTTTCAGCTGCAAGCACTTCTTTGCCGCACATGTTTGGCAACAAATTTGTAGACAACAAATCAATGGACCCTCAAGAGGGCCAAGGATTCATCCCTGCAATTGTGTCAATCAAACAGTCACTTACCTTCTTTCGCTTCTTCCCTTCCACATCAAGGGTCGCAACAGGCTCCACACTGTCCACCACATCTATATCCCACAGCTCGATGCCCGGTTCCATGCTCCCTACGGCCACAATGTTGGCCTTGTCCTCTCCCCCCATGTTCGGTTTCACATCCATCCAAGCTAAACTCAGTGGGAATGCAGGAAGCATCAGGTCATGGTGTACGTACCTGTGCAAAACATGCAGCTCAATTTTCTGCCTGGTAATTCCATGGATGCCATTGGTCGGAAACAGAAAACTTGTCGCACAGAGTACCTTGCACCTTGCACGCGATCATGGGGACAAAAGCTGCCAACCTTTGTTTGGTAAGCATTCCCAATTCTCTGTTTCCATTTGCACATTTCCTGTTGGCAGGATTGCTCTGCTGACGACGTATGGAGCAACAGGAGTGCTGATGGATACACATTGTACTGGCGCAGGGGGGGATGCAATTTTGGATTGTTTTGAAAGTTTGGGTGTGGGCAAGTGACTTGGGGACAATACAGTCCAGCTACAAGCACTTCATTTCATGGACTTAGGGATGCCTGCATACGATTTTCACAGGTCAACAAGCACAATCTATGCCAATTGTCGCTCGTGTGTTGTGTGCCTGGCTGTGACTTGTAGAAATTGCAATTGATAATCACATTGCAGAAGAAAATGCTGCCCTTATCGCGTTGCAGGTGACTTGAAATTGTTGATGAAGGATTTGCGCACACTGGTACAGAATTCATATAGGGAGAGGTAATGGAGGTGTACTGACAAAGGCACAGGTTCGCGCAGCTATGCACAAGATTTGCACACATACAAGTTCCCTGCATCATCGTCATCAGCCTCTTCGTAGACCCACAGCTCCAGGGAGTAGATCTCCTCCTCCACTTTCGTGGCAGGGATGACTAAGTCGCCAGGCCTAAAGGCCCAGTCGTCTGCATCACTGTCTTCTTCGTCACTGGCATCGCCAAATTCCATGTAAGGGTCCTCATCAGGTGCCATTTCGCCTGTCGACAACTTCCAGGAATCATCAGAGTCCAGCAAAGTTGGCGAAATGTTGGTTTGAGATTGATTCAAACTATCATCTGAACAAGGTGTGGATTGGTTTGAGCAGCAGCAGCAGTCGCTAAAATTCATGCAGAGACTATTGTACGATATTTATCAAGATCGCACATGTTTACAACAGTGATTTGCAGATAGCCACCGGAAATGACCAGTGACCCATGCTCACAAGATTTACAATCATCACTGTCCACACTATCACATTGTGTCAAAGCATTGTCCCAAAGACTACCTTGGTAAGCCCGCTGGCCAACAAGTGATGCACACGTGCAGTGTTGTTTCTGTGCAATTCAGGACCTACAGCTGCATCAGCTGCACCTTGCTGCAAACGACGTAAAAGTAATCCACTGCCTTGCACAGTCAGAGCAGCCCCAATAACAAAAGAAGTCGACAGGCCATCCCAAACTTTGTTTCCTGTTGCATTGCAAACACCATGGTGTCATTCACGTAAACTGCCAACTGCAATGAGCCATTCATGCAGTGTGGCAGTGATTTTCAGATCGATGCGAATGGCATAGGGTACCTCTCTGTCAGCCACTGCAAGGCTTGATGAATCTAAATCGAACAAACATTGTTTCAACATAAACATTTTTGACAAACAGTTGTGAGCTCCATGCACCACGTGTTGTTGGCTTTCCTGTTGCATCTGCATCATCTCTTACAGCACATAAACAAACCTTGTTAACCTTTCTCAGGCTGGGGTGGTCACCCTGTGGCATATTTTTCTGTCATTGCAATGGAACTTCTGGCAACACACTGCGCGCTCTTATGAAGTATGTTCTACGTGTTCTTTTGCCAGCCATTGCGAAGTGCTTGTGTGGCGCTGGTAAAACTGACACTGTTTGATGACCTGAAATCAGTACAGATGGTGTGGCCTGTCTCAGGCTGCTACGATGGATGCATCCCTTCCAACATCTCACCATCTAATCAATACATTGGGCTCCACATCGCCTCACACTTCCTTGCAAGGCGGCACGATGCCCAAATCCCTCCCGTTTCAATGACGGCGCCCCCTGCCCACTTCAAAAGTAATGTGGCCCCACAAAAAGACTCCAAATGACTGAAATGACTGCAAAAATTGGTTAGAAAATGCCTGACATGCGATGCAGAATTCCACGGAACAATGGCAAAAAGACATACTCACCCCCTTGTCTCGACCGCATGATCCTAGCCACCACAGGCTCCTCGTCCCCCGAGCTGTCGTAGTGGTCCATGTCCAGCTCTGCCAGCGGGTCGCCCTCTCCACCCCCCACACCCCGGCCTTCCACATCATCCTTCTACACCATGGAAAGCAGCCTCACACTCAAGTGCTGCAGAACAGGGCGCCCTTTGTATGACACATTTTCTTCGATTTGCAACAGAATTTATAACATTTTCTTTTATTTTGTACAAATCTCCGGACTGCGCCCCACAAGTCCCCACCTCCCATACCATCCTTCCACGCCACAGAACAGAGCCTCATACTCATGCGGTTTAGACTGGGCGCCCTTTGCATGACATATTTTCTTTGCTTGCAACAAGATTTCTGGCACTTCCTTTGGTTCGCAACTTTGATTTCGCCCAATCTCCATCGCCGGCAGACTTCTCATCATCTTTCACAGCATGGAAAAGAATCTCACATGCACTTGCTCAGGAGGGGGTGCCCTTTGTACGGCCCACTCCTTTCCCTCTTTGCAACAAATCTTACCTCCATCGCGGCCGCCGATTTCGCACCCATTTCCGCCGCCACCGCCATCGCACGTGCCAACTCCGCGTCCCTCCCCTCGCCCCCCTCCCGCTCCACCGCCATCCCATCCGATGCGTCCGCGGGCTCATCATCCCCAGATGAATCCCCAGAGGATGCGCCGCCTCGGGGCGGTCGGGAGATTCGATCGCCTTCGCCGGGCGGGGGGCCGGCGACGGCCGGGACGGCCATCATGGTAGCCTTCGGGATCCACCCGAGGCAGGAGATCATGGCGAGGGGGTGCTCAGCGGCGTCAGTTGCCCGGTGGCGAGCCCCTTGCGGGTGGCTTGCGTGCGCAGGCACCTGCACCTTCGTCTGTGGGGCTCCACCCGGCACTGCCCGCTTCTGACGCCAGGAAAAAGGGGCCCATTGTGAACGGTAAATAGTAAAGTACCACACGCAGCACCCATGTACCCCCTGCATGTAGCACAACCGTATGTATTGCATACGGTCGCTGGGGGTTCGTTCGCTTGGCAGGCCGCGCTCTGTTGCACTCGTACCAAGATTGCTGCAACGTCTTCCCAGAGGGGCGTATAACTCTCCCCAAAGGCCCCAAGGTGGTAGCACTCAGCGCTGTGGGCATCCGCCGATGCTTGCTCTCCGTTGCACCGCAGGTGCAGCAGCCAGCGCAGCCCTAGGGGCGTCTCAGACGGCCACTCGATCGCCAGCGAGTCCGGGCGCCGGACGCGCGGCGAGCATCCCAGCCATGGCGCTGCGCACAAAGACGGTTGAGTATCGAGATCCGGGCGGAACGGCGCTTGAAGGATACGGTGAGGACCGACCGACCGCGGCACAGGCGCTGGCATTTTTGGCATGTTTGCCATTTGTGCGTTTTCGGTTTTGCGTGCGTTGGGCGGTGCGTGTTGTTTTCGAGCTGTGACCAAATATAGTAACCAAATGTTGCATCCCATTTCAGAGTCCAGGTGCCTCCTCCGTCCTATTACAAGATACATGTGGCTTGTGCCACCTGGCAAGAGTGTGCAAGCCTATGCAAAGCGCCCAAATAATTCGAATCCGAAAGAATGCTCGATCTCAAGGAAAAGCACTCCGATGGGCAGCTGGCGGTGTCCGCAACCTGGTGACTGCACCATACGCAACATATTCATGTTCCATAATTGTGCGTTTGTACAACACTATGTGTCAATAGATTTTATAGTGACTTTGTCCAGGAAATGGCCCTAGCATTGCTTGGATGTTTGTGGGCCCAGAAATGCCCTTATGGCACCAGTGTTTTGTTCACGTTGCCCTTTTGACAAATGCTGTCCATGGAATTACTGCTGCAGTTGCCTGGGAAGAATGCAAGGGCGCCCGGCTGCCTGGAGTCTTGGTGGCTCACACAGCGATTGGTCCACAGGAAGAATTCATCAGAGACAAGGTGTGAATGGTTGGTTGCGATGGATCTGGTGTCCAATAAATCAAGGAAGCTGCTTGCTTTTCAGTATTCAGTTGTCCCGAACCCAAAACACATTCTGCTAAAGAGGCTGCAGTCCCATCAATGAGCTTAATGTTTGGCAGGAGCCCACAGTGTTGATATGCTATGCATGGATCTTGTTCAACATGTTGCTCAGGGGCAGTGCATGATTTGCAGCACAAGGAGAGGCAGGTCATGAAATGGCATCCACATTCTGAGGACGTAAGGGTTCTGAAGATCTTTTCCATGCTGACAGAGATTGTCATTCAGGACTGTTATGGCTCGCGAAGGTCCAATCGTTTGAATCTTACAGTTACTCTGCTAGAAATTATTGGAATCTTTATGCCAACTTCACCTTGTGGTGCTCAGCTGTACCCCTGCACCTCAAGATCAATAGCTTGCAGCATGCATGGGCAGTGGAACCATTTCTAATCGGACTAGACTGAATTGACAGCTCTTGAAGCTTTTTAATGCTTGCCCAACATAGCCCAATGCTCAAGTCCTCCGTCAATGATTGCCACGTTGGGGTATATTCAAGAGTGCAAGGATCCTTTGCTTATGCTCTGTTTTGACTGCCCTTTGACTGCCTCCACAGGTCCATCGGCTGGCAGCTATGGGTTACGTGGGGTTTGCGCTGGACATGTTTGGTGCTGGCCACTGTGTGTTTGGTGAGGAGAAAGACAGATTTAACGACTATCTGAAAGAAGACAGGATGAGGATAAGGTCAAGAGCCGTGGCAGCATTTGATGCCTTGAAAGCACAGGCAGTGGTCGATGACGCTCAGTGCACTGCCATAGGGTGGGTTCGATGGCATAACTTATTCACTAAGGAAAAAACCATTGATGTAGATATCAGTTTAGGGCAAGTTTGCAATCCGTAGTGCACATCACTGAGACGGTCAATATTGCCTTCAAGAGTGCAGCATTTGATATACGCTTAATACACAATTCATGGATGCACAGATGCAGAGACGCATGCATGAACACTCTCAGACAAAGACAAGGTGAAAAAAGAACCTGTATAGGAGGCATTGTCTGTAGATTCACGTGCCTTGAGCATGGACTTGGTGTGCGATTTCGGTTTCAGTGTGCGCAACATTCGCAGAAAATTGTGGGCTTGTATGGTTCCAAATTCGGTGTGCGAAAGGTTGCAAAGAAGGACACAATCTGGCAACAAGCAGACTGGTTGGCCGAAGACGTGGCCTTCTCAATTGTGCTTTGCAAACAGTGTTGGCAACACAGTTGTTTACAACGTGAATACGAAGAAGCAGCTCACAGAATGAATATGAACAATGTATCAGAAAAAACACATGCTTGAAACACATACAAATGCTATCTGAATGTGTTAGCAGCGTGCTTGTGCTCATGCTTTGTACAATCTAGAACCTGTCAAAGTATGGATAGTTGCAGTTAAGGTTGTTCAGCACTTGCAATGCCGTGAGTTGTATATTTGATGCAATGGCAAAAGCTGTACCAAATTAACTAAAGCTTTGCACAGGATGATTTAACTTGTAGTGAGGTCAGTGATGCCTGAACACACGCCTGCACAGATAATAGCAGCCAATGCGCTCAGAAGCGCTGGTGGGGATGGGAGGGCACATGCATGCTTCAATTGTTTATTTACCAAATGATTAAGCATTGGTATTTTATCATAGCTTCCGATCCTTACTTTATAATAAAGAAAGCTAATGTTGTGAATGGATCGCCTCGTTGAGCCGGTTTTGGCGAACAATACCGCTTCAATTAAGACGCAGATTGCTTTCCCCATTGAAATTCTTTCGCTGCCGGTTGTGCTTCATTCAGCTATTGTTTGGGTGGCAAGGTGGTGCTGGACCTGGCTCGATCAGGGGCGGAGGGACTGAGAGGCGTCGCAAGCTTCCACGGCATTCTGGACTCGCCCACGCTGCAGGACAGCCCTCCCTTGAAAGCCAAAGTCCTCGCCATGCACGGAAACCTCGACCCCTTCGTGACGCCGACCATGCTGCAGGCAAGTGCCTTGCTACCTTAGTTCGGAATACATGATCTTCCAGTGGCTTCATCTGCGTTCAGCACCATCACGCTTTGCTCCTGTGTATGCGTTGCATGCATTGCCCAATGGTGGCGAATTGCAGCCATGCCCTTTCAGCACTGTGGCGGACGCTTTGCTGCTGCCTCCGCCACTTGCCAGAACCATTAAACACTTCACACAAGTTTTAACTGTGCACCAGCCGTGTCGTAACGAAGCCAAGCCGTGTATTTGAATCTTATTCGTTCCACTGCGGATGTGCATCGAGTCATCTTGACCGCTTCTTTGGTGCCCTTCTGCACCAGTGTGTCTCCCTTGTTGAATCTCTGCTGGTTTCGTGGTGCTCGAGGGCCTCGTTGTCTTGTGGCCCCGTGACGCTTCTCACGCCGTGTGGCTGCGAACAGAGCCCAAATGCTTTGGGAACGAAGCAAGTTCATGTTAGCAGAGGCCGCCATTCGCCTGCAGGTGCAAGTGCATGTACTGCACGCTGCTGTACAGCGATAAGCACGCTGCTGTATGGCGGTCAGTGGTATTTTGTTGGTTACTAATCGATGTGCGTTTCTGGAGCAGCTACGGCTGCCGGATGCACGGACGTTGGTGTACTATGGCGTGGCCGGGCTCGCTTTCAACGAAAAGCATGGTGGATACGGCGCAACCAGCATATTGAGCGTATTACCACATCGTGTTATGTATTATTATGGCATGCACCACTGTGTGTTTTGGCATTTTAAGAACTGTAGGAAGTAGTGGAGAAACATTGCAGCAATGAAGATGAGCTGGAAGCACTGCTGTTCACAGCACTCAACACACCAACAGCGTGCCACAGGCGGACTCAACATTTGTTCAAAGCGTCATTATCGTCGTCGCCCTCGTTCTCGAGAGCCCTTTTCCGCATTTCACAAAGGGCAGCTAACGCTGGCTTCTCGCTCAGTGGTCACGGAACTGAAGCGCTGCCTGTCGCCTTCAGGATTTCATTGCAGAGATGGAGGGCAAGGGTGCCGACTACCAGCTGGTGGTGTACGGGGGATGCTACCATGCTTTTACGCGCCCGGACAAGACGTCCCCGCAGGACAGGTCCCTCGGCTTCTTCTATAGCCCGGAGGCGGATCGCCGGTCATGGAGGCTCATGTCAGATTTTCTGGCGGAGGCGTTCGCGCCCACGTGACTGTGCGCCATTGCCGAACTTTGTGCAGGAGTCGTGCTTCCCAGTGTGGGGCAACCTAGCATTGATGCGAGGGCTGGGTTCCGGCGCCAGTGCTTTCTGGACCCTTGGGTCCCCGTGCCCTGTCAATGACTTTTTTCGCGCAATGCTGGTGCGACAAAATAAGTGCAAAGAAAACGTAAAAAAAGAACGAGTGCAAGAATGCCCAAGGTACAAAAAAAGCATCAAAGTGATACTGAATGCCAAGCCTTGTGCTGCTTTGGCAGACAGTGCGCCTGTCTTTCGAGGTGGCAAAAGACCCCGCATCTGGGCCATGGGGACGGGTTGCCCCAGTCGCCGCGATGTTGAACGTCTGTCACGCGATTCCAACATCTGGAATCGACGGAAATTCGCAAGGGTGCAACTGTGCGTCGTGGCCAGTCCTGGTCATGCGGATAGAGGTGGACCCTCGGGACCTTCGTCTGGCAGCTTCTGTCGACTGACCAAGGCAGCTTGAGGGCAAGGTTTCGCCTTGAATTTGGGTCAAATTGGTGTGGTGTAGTGCATGGCTTGCTCAATGTAGGTCTCCATCAATATAGGTCGCTGTCAATATGCGCTTTGAATACTTCTGATGTAAGCATTCGTACTACGTTTGCCGATGTATGGCGAAGGCCGCCGGGTTTCAAGGGATCCATGCGCCTGTCGCTTCACGCGAAATGAAGCGCCTGGCAGCGGTGAGCCCAGCAGCTTGCCCATGAACACTATTGCTGAAAACCTGAGACCAACACGATCGCAGCTGAACTGTCGACCAAGGTAACAATTGCAGCGAGGCTGCCAGGCGATGCCCAGTCCCCATCCCAAGGTTCGCCATCATCCAAACCCCGCGCACTGCAGTCTTCTCTCCCCGCTATTGACCTGCGACGTCCTGGACATCGGCTCAACACATCTGCCCAATGGCGAAGCCACAATCAGGGTCATTTCAACAAGTCATCAACCATGAGAACAAATTGCCCTCCGTCGCTTCAAAGGTGGCCAAACATCGACTGGTCGGTTTGCGACACTCCAGCCAGAGGGGAGCATCGTCGGCGGGCTGGCGCGCATGTCAATCAATCCAAAATTGTCGATCCTGCCAGTCCGCTCCCAGCAAACTGAACCAATTCAGTTGCCAATTCACGTGCCAATTCAGTTGCCGCCACCGCCTTGAACCAGCGAGGGCGGCCTTTGCAACCCTGCGGCAAAGGGAGCTAGTGCAATGGCAGGGCTTGATTCGGCGGGATCTACTGGGGTTCTAGAGTCTAGAACATACCTATAATTCCAGGGGCTAGAATCAGGAATCTAGGATCTCGATGTCTAGATGTCTAGATCATACACAACATCCGGTCCAATGCGTTCAAAATAGGTCCTGTTGGACTCCAAGCCAATGCGCTAATGGGAGAAAACTCCAACCCGCCGTCAGCGGCCTCGAAGCGCAAGGGACATTCCATGGCAGGAATTCCGGGAGCATGAAGGAAAACAACTTGTGCTTGAACTTGAACTAAACCAGAGTGCCTTTTAAGATTCACTCTTGTTTCTTCAACACTGGGGTGAGATCGACGAAGCCCTCTGTGTCCACGACCCCAGGGGGGGCCGTGATCCTGGTCCCGTCCCTTGACACGCCAACGCCGAGCTTCGTAAGCGCGTAGAAATGATTGTACATGTGCTCCACCATGGGCGCCTTCAGGGTGTCCGCCTGCAAACAGCACAGCATCAGTGAGCACGGTCACGAGCAAAGCCCCTCTGGGTCTCTGCGGGTTTCAGCTGGGAGTTGGGTTCTTCGCGTTGCTGTTTTCAGCCTGCTGGCCGCGCCTTGACTCAGATTTTCATTCGGCTCGTGCGTCAAGCAAGCACAGATTTGCACCTTTGCACCTGATGTTCAATGTCGGGTGGCCAGACCCCCGGTTGGCATTCACCCCCAGTCGTCTTGAAGACGATGATGAGAGCAGGACGGAACCGAAGCGTTTAATGTGTCTACAATGATGCAAACAGTTGTTCATCTTTTTTGCCTCTGCTGGCAGCCCGTTTCCGCACAGCAAAAGCGGACATTTGGGGCTGCTATGGCATATTCCTACACACAAATTTACATATTGTTGAAATCTATTTACTGTTGTGATGGCACCGTTGCACTCACCATGAGTTTCCTCACATTGTTAGCATACAACATGGGGTCTTTCTTCTCAGCCTCAGAGGGCATGTAAGGCGGCAGGATGTGCACATCAACAGCATTGTATAACTGGCAAAGAACTCGTAGCTGCAGACAGCACACGCATTGTTATCACCGCTCAGGTGCAAGAGGCAAGTGCCTGGCCTGCCCAGCAAATGCAGTCAAGAGTGATACCAAAATGGACAATAATGGCAACAAATGCTATATAAAACAAATAAATGATACTTTCAAAAACAAATGGCAACGGTGCAAACATAAACGGCAGTAGTGACAACACCGAGAGCAATATCAGTGACATGGGACAATTCCGAGAGAAGCAGCTTTCGCCATGTACGCACGTGCACCCAAAGCCTCACCTGCACATGTACCAAAAGAGCAACGAGGCAGCGCAAATACTCGTGTTGTATTTTCACAGTTGATGGATATGCAAACACAGGTACTTGGAAGGTCAATGTCAATTCATTGGACTACCCCCAGGCGCCAGCGAGGGGATGGATTGCATGTGCAATGCATGAAAGCCGACGCCTCATAACAGCTGAAACAGCAGTGAATCTCCATGCCCTAAGCAATTGTATCCGAGCGATTTGCGGGTTTGTGCAGGAGGCAAGCACTGCTACAGACCAGCGGACTGAAGACGGCCTAAAGGCGCAGAGGCCTGAAAGCTAACATTGAAATTGGAGTTGAGCGCTTGACATCAATAGGTGCTGAGCACTTGTACAGAGAGGATTGCAGAGCAAGGTTTTACTGAAAAAGATGCCACTAAGCATCTCCTCTTTCCATTCTGTTCTTTTCCTGCTTCCTATTTTTTGTTGGGTTGGGTGGGGTGGGGTGGGTGGGTGGGGTGGGGGCTGTGGGCAGACACTGTTCCACGTGCTGGAACTGGTGCTGAGGGTCACTTGTGTACTGTCTAACAGAGTGTCCATTGTACAACGCTTCATCATTTACAGTGGTGTCCACAGCATATTGTGCATTGTGCCACACCTGCCTAGATGTTCACCGTACACAAGCGCCTGTCGTTCGTTGTCAAATGGCATCTCACCCAAGAGATTGGCTGGCAGCAGCTTGTCACATTGTGACCTTTCGCATCTTTACCAATGTCATTGTTGCAGTGCTGTGCTGATGCACACGCTACTGGCAACGCGACGCCTGGCAGGTTAGGCCACATGCATGCGGCCAGGGCTGTACAGGTACAGTGGGGTGGCATCTTTAAGGCAGCCCTGAAAAAGGCCAAACGATCAATAAGGCCGGTCAAAATCGGCCACATCTGGTGGCACGACCTAAAGTACTAGAAAGAAGTGGCCACAGACAGTTTGAGCGTGTGGGGGGCGCCGCGATGCCTCAAAGGCAAGAAATGCAGACTGCCCCCCAACCGCCTCACTACACTATACACAAGTGCTCTGGGCGTGATGGGTACATCCACGGGATCTGTGGAGAAGTCGATCCTGACGGCGATTCAGAAATGGGTCGTGCGTGTAGCCTTTGCTACGATCGGGTTGTTGCACAACCTCGATCCATTGTCGACAAGGGGCAGAGTATAGGCAAGTCTCTGCCACCGTTCGATGCTATGGACTGAATGGATGTGTGCGCTTTTCAAGTGACAAGCAAGCCACAAATTCAGTTTGGTGCACGGCCACTCCAACTGTCTGCGGGTCAGCCCTCCGACCAGTTCACAAGCTCAAGAGAGCTACTGTGCTGGTAAGGAAAACGCTGGTGGAGCCTCTCCCGCCACTTATACAGGTTTGAAGCTCGGCAGAACGAAGCAATGCGAGTGATGGGGGCCGGGGCACGTGAAAACGCCACCTTGGCTCTAGATCTACGAACGAGCGAGTTAATTCTCAACTTTGCCGTGCTGCTTCCCCACTCACGAAGGTTTCTGCAGTCATATTGTAAGGTTGGCTCCCGCGTCCACAACAATCAGAATGTTGGGATGTGAATGCTCAAGCTTGCCAGGCCGTTTCTGCCCCTGGGTGGCAAGACTTTGTGCCTCGGGTACCTCATACACTTGGCACTCGGGCCTTTGGCGCTGTCTTAATGCGGGCGCTGGGGCGTTCACAACCCCATAGCACCGGTCACCCAATTCAAAGCCAGCCTCCTTCGATTGGACGATTGCCTACTGACAATCAATGCTACCAAATGTAGTACTACACTTCTTATTGGGCAATGCATAAAGTATTAACAATATTTTCATATAAGAATACCCTTAAACATAAGCAACATATGCACCATATGATGTTACATGTGCCGTAAATGGCTTCTACAGCCTTAAACGGGCTGCAGACCTCAATAAGGCCAACAGTCAATAAGGCCGGTGAAATGGGGTTGTCACGGGGCGGCCTTAAAGAGGACACCCCACTGTACCCATTTCATATACTGCATGGCATATCCATGCAGTTTACCACACAGCATGTATACAGGTATATATCAAACTACTTGGCACATAGATACTGCTTCTATGGCATATGCAAGCGCTCACCACGTGCATGCCCAGGTCCACGATGCCCCATGCAGGGTTCACCCCGTTGTTGTGGTACTTCAACACCACCGGCAGGACTGGCACGCCAGCAACAAAGGCCCCCGTTCGAAACTTCATGACGGAGCGGCCGTCCCCACACGTCCCCTCTGGAGCCACAGCGAGCATTGGATACCTTGGGTCAGTGACCCTGAGGGACACGCACAATGACAAAGTTGTGAACACATTTGGGAGGAGCAGGCAAGGGACAGCCAGAGTGTTTTCGGTGTTGTTCTGTTTTCCTGATTCCAATGTGTTGAAACATGTTTTAGAAGTAGTGTTTCGGAATCAAAGAAATTTGGGGTTTGTCATCGAGATTATATACAGCATCAACTCTTGACATGCCTGTGATACCCAAGCCTGGACCAAACTGGTACACTGCGCAAGGGCCAGGGGCATGCCAACAATTTGTTGACTCAGCTGTGATGGGTAACAACAGCACTACCTACACAGACACAGCCCCTCTGCATTACAGTGTAACAGATGCAAGTTTGAGACTGGGATTCTTCATATCCAGCATCTTGACAACGGACTTTTCAACCGCGATCACAGGCAGCACATTAAAAACAATTCGGCCACTGCGCCTACTAAGCAATGCAAAGAACTGGTCACGTGTACAAGATCATTGTTTCCATAGTGTATTTAGGTCCGGCTTGCTAGAAAGACTCTTTGGGAGCAGGGGCCTGCCTATCCATCAATCGTACGTGGGCCCTCATCAGCTTAAAAGGAGAACTAGGTCCTTTCACCCTGAGTATTTGGCTTACACGGAATGGACAAACTCTTCTGGGGCTGCTAATAAGCCCACAATTTGTGCCTGGTATTGCCTTGTTGCTCTTTGGCCAAGATGCATCACCACTGCCACAGCGTACTGCAGTTTGCTGGCAAACACACCATGAATTTACATGAATAATACTGCGGGAGCACTGCTGAAGGTGGTAACACTGACATCTGCAGCACTGTGCTGGAAACCTGCAACCAATCGCTTGATCATGCACTCTTGGGGTCTGGGTCACCCATTCCCTGAAACCTGAGGAGCGGGGCGTTGGAAGCATTGGCAGAAAATTGCCAACTGGATGAAATGGCCAACTGGCAATTAAAATCACCTGCGCTGTGGACGCAAGTGCACATTAGGGTATGCATGGGTCGTTTGGCACTATACACAGTGGACACACACATTGCCCTGCATCGCCTGTAACTTGGCAAGGTATGGTTTTAGCAACTTGAAATACTTGGAAATTGTCACCAAAGAGAATACACCTGCCTCAACAGTGTCACACACCTCCATCCCCTGCAGGTGAATGTGCACTGCCTGTCGTGTTCTAGGTGCATGAAAGAGCGGGATTTTAACCATCAGCATGTCCCCAGGCCCACAGCAGGTGCCTTTGGGAATCTGTTCCCGCACCTTTTTGTTATCTGTGTGCTGATGCTCTCCGTTTTGGGCAACTGTGCACCATTTTTCTCCTTTTTGATTTGTCGATTGTCTGGAACGTAAATGTTCTGAAGGGACCGAACACAGCGGCCGATGATGGGGTACTCAGCATTGCTGGCCTTGGACAGGCCTGCAGGGGCAAAGAGTGCCACCATGATGAAGGAGTCCACATATGAGACATGATTGAAGATGCTCAACTGCAATACACCACCAAAGCAATGCTCAGGATCAGGCACATCTTCCGACATGGGATCACATGGGACCCAAATGGGCACATGCCTTATCAGTATTCATGCCACTGACTTGCAAACTCACCGCTGACTGAGTTCTGATGTCGCACTTAATATGTTCATGGCTGCAATGTGGTCTCTTGTGCCACCATGCAAAGTGTGCTGCATTGTTGCATTCAGACACATTTGCTCAAGATCTCACAGCCTGGCAATTAGAGTTACAAAAGCGGTGTTCAGAGTGTGGGGAACAATCGCCTGGCATCATTCCGTTGACAGGCACCCACTCCTCAGGCAGTGGCATGCTGTCAAGCAATGCAATGAAATGCCCAAACCACAGCAAAGCGCCATACTGAAATCGACGTAGAAACTCTAGGTGCTAAGGTCAACCATCATTTACTTGATAGCTTGAGGACAACTGCCACAGTGCTGTATAGTAAACAGTGTCTGTAGGCAGTGTTTATCATCCTCTGCATGGCCCAGCCCACCCGCTGCGGTAGGACAGCACGCGCAATGATTATGCACAATCTTTGCATCTGTTCACCAACATTGCAGCAAGAAAGTGCAAAAAAGAAAGCCTTTTAATGGCCTGAATGCTGCAACCAGTCCCAACACATGTTTGACAACATCCATCAAAGCAACCAAACAAAGAAATGCCGCCAGGCAAAACAAAGTATTCTATGGCTTACAAATAGCCTGTTCTACACACCTCATATACACTGTGTTATACTGTAGAAGTCACTCATGCCTGGCTCTCACGTCATATGTTACAAATACCTTGATGTTCTTCCTTTCTGCCTCTTTAATGTTCTCCCACCCATAATATCGAACCCAGAATCCAAGCAGCCAGATGCAAAACATCGCAAAATGGCGAGATAGCAGCACAATTCGCCTCCGTTCTGGGGGTAGCGGTTTGTCAAGGGGCCTTCACAACAAGCAAGAGTCTGTTGGCTTACGCATAACCCACTCAGTAGGCAACAGTGAAGATAAGGAGAGTGCCAAAAGCAGTGGGTGCGGTTCCCAAGAACTAAATTTCAACACCAGCTCCAAATGTGATCAAAACTCCCACAAACTCCCACAAAGAGCAAAACTCCCACATCGCCAGTAGGACAAGAACACAGCACTGGTGTCCAGCAGAGCAGTGCGCAGCGCAATAACATCACATGTACACACCACTGCCCCTCTTCCCCTTGTATCGTCACCTGCTGAGGTGCAAGGGTTTGTTGCCATGTGCTATTGACAAGTGTTGGCAAGGGAAGTCCACACAGTCCCCACTCAAAAAAGCATCTCAAGGATACACAGGTACTGGCATCACATTCAAGTCCAGAGGCACTATTTTGCCCATAGACGGCAAATGCCTTTCCAAAAGATGCAATCAGATGACCCCCTTCCGAATGTCTGCAAATGCTGGAGTGCCTGCCCTTGTCTAGTTTTTCAATATTGTTCTGCTCTGATAAGCCAAATGCCATCCAAGTGGCTTGAACACCCCTGTCCCCAAAGCAACGCAGTAATGAAGTGTCAGCCCCTGGCTGGGTCCATCAATCGATTCACTCACCAACCTAGAGTTGCCACTGTGCTCATGAGGGCCATGCAGCTGAGGGCGATCAGGCCCAGCAGCGCCCTAGGTATCACTGTCACGATCATTAATGCCATCTTGACCTTCTCCCTGGCAACAAGAGTACTGTCATGCTGTGTATCCATAAACCAGGCAACAGGGTGAACAATGGAGTACATCCTGCTTACAATGCTAATGCCTTGAAAGCTTTTCGGTGTGAAAGGGAGGGCAAATGGTGCTGACAATTGCACAATACCAGGAGGCAGCTGCTGACAAACAATGGGGCTGTTGCACCACCCAACATGTGCTGCAATATACCTTGCAGTAACTTCGAATACAACAAGTCACACCCTAGCAACAGCGGCAGCCAAGTGAACTGTGAGTGTGTACTATTTATCACAATCTGCAGTGGTCAACTTCCACACTTTGGTATATGAATCCTTGGTTGCTCTGTTTTCCTATCACAAGTTCTGAGAAGCAGAAATCCCCACTAAAAAGGCCCGAACAACGTCCAGGCGCACCAAGCTAGTCTCTTTCAAAAGAAAAAGAAGGATGACACACAGTGGGCACCTGTCCTAGGTAAGATCTGTACAGACTGGTTTCCAAATTGATGATCTAGTGTTCAGGTGCAACTGGGAGAGAAAGCAACAGAAGCAGCATGGTGAAAAACGGAGAGGTACCAAGCAATTTGACCAAGCACATGACTCAAGGGGCAGCTGATGAAAAACACACCGTACTATGTTCTTCTCTCAACTTGAGATTCGCGATTGTGGACATTTCTGGAGACTTCCGCAGGATGGAGACATAGGCAGTTGGTGGTACTGATACATCATGCAATCTGGATGACACGCACAGCAGTGCCCACTGGCCCCCCAACCGCTGGCAAAATGTCGCACGCTCTTCCTACACGAGAAAGAAAATCTGACCCAGGTATCTGCTGGAGGTTGGAAGAACACGTTGTTGTCACACTAGGCACATTGGACACCCACACACCCCCTCAGCCCCTTCCTGCCAGACTGTCCTTCAGCCCAACCCAGCAACAAAATGAATGACAGAAAGGGGCTTATGGAAAGGAAGAGAAGCGAGCACAAGCTGAACAAAATGCCGAACTTATGCGTGACGTGGAACGGGCACCGCATCGTCCAAATTTGCGACCCAGGAAACTGCCAATGAACAGAAGAAGTCGGATAATAGTTACCCACACAGCCCACCCTTCACAACGCATATGAAACGCGCTCCCAGGGGAGAAAGACCTCGGATGGTGCACATGCACTGGAACGAAAATCGACAGTTGAGACGAAGGAGAGGCCCCGCGGGGGCGCACGCGCCTCAAACGTCGCGGCGAAGACTAGAAGATCAGTGATCGCCGTCTTCGCTCCAATCGAATCGCAAAATCGGATCGGGCGACGCGCCGGCCCCCGAGCCGAAGGGGCTCGCCCGGCCCCCGCCCCTGCGCGAAAGCGTCACAGGCGTTTCGCCGTGCGATGGCAAGCGCCGGCGATCGGCGTGGCGTGCTCCCCGGCGGACCCCCCGCGTTCACGTGTCGCGAACGGCCGGCCAGCCAACGCAGAGCGAAAGGAGCGGGGCGAATTCAAACTATTCGAACGGGCACACGTCCACCATCGCCCGGCGTCCACATAGGAATACGGACGCCTCTTCTTCGCCTCGGGAAGCCAGGGTGCGCATCAAGGCATGCAATCCAGTCTTTCGTCCGCACAGGCGTGCCAAGGCGCCCAACTACACCGAAAAAAAAACCAGAAGCCCAGCCAGCGCACTCGGGCACCAGATCCTGCAGCAAAAGGCCCCACCCACCACGCCGTGAACGGGCTCTGAAGGTCCAGGAACGGCGAGTTCCGCGTGTCGTAATGCTCCATCAGCGGCTGCACGTACGCCATCTCGATTTCACTCTGCTCGCCCGGCCTCGCCCTTCTGGCGACCCCGGGAATGGCACCGGAGCCGCTGACTGGATCAATGCCCTTTCGAGCTTTTGCACAGCGGATCTTTGCGCGGCTAAGGGGGGGTCGGAGGGGAAATAGGCGGGGGGCCCAGCAAAGGCGGGGGGCCCAGCAAAGGCGGGGGGCCCAGCAAAGGCGGGGGGCCCAGCAAGGGCGGGGGGCCTGGGCGCAGAGAGGCCGGAGAAGGTGCCCTTTGTGCGGGGGATGCCTTCGATGCATCCCATGGATCCGAAGGTGGGGGAGGGGGGCCGCTGTCACACTGTCAAGGCCCAGGGGATTTGTAGCCGCGGTGAGTCACGTGGGGGGGAATATTCCCTCGTGGCGTGTTGATATGACGTATTGATGTGTGAAGCCGATGTGACGCCTGGCGCTGCTGCCTGCTGCCAAACAGGCGAGCACATTCCCAGTGAATGGCTGCGGCATGTCCAGGTTGCGTCTCCGTGACGGGGAATGGAAGGATTGCAAAGTTTCACGAAATTTCCGATTTTCCACAACATTTGAAGTTTATATCAGGCATCCCGCGATGGCATTTAATGGTACCTGGCAACAATATTTAAAATATTATTGTTTAATGGCCATCAAGTGTGACTGCCAAATATGGCTGGTGAGTCACGGCCACGTGTGTGCTTGGATCAAAGTATGTGCCCCCACCCACATCCCAATGCAAAGGGATCTTAGTGACACACAACAACCGATTGCTAATCCAGCTACAAAAGCACAAATCAACTCGAAATGACAAGGATTACTGACTGAGACAGCAATCACTGTTACGAATAGGATGTGGGTGTGGGGTTCCTGCCCTCTTTGAGCCGCGGACCCGCCTCGCCGGGCACCTAGGTCCTTACAGGGCACCTAGGCGGGACCACCCCTCCTACTCCCGTATCCTAATATGGATAAAGGTTACAGTGGGTGAGGAATAGTACGTGCCTTGGGCAGGGCGTCCCCCACACCAAGGGCCATTAGTAGGACGTCTCCCACATCAGGCTGGTGCGCGTAACATTCGTCCCCCTCAGGGAGAGGGGCGTCCTCGTCCCAGTATAAGTGGATACGGGAGCAGAAACATTGTATGTATGTTGGTGGAACTGGCTGTGCGATTTGCCACATGCCCAGTTAACAAAACACAACACACAAAACAGTTTTGGATGAAGAGAAAGAGTGGTTGTTTTACATGACCGTCCCGGCCTTCACAACCCTCATTAAAACTCTTCCTCAGCCAAGTGGCTGGAAATGTTTGACCTCCCGGCCTTTCATCGGCGACCACGATGCCGAGTACCACCAGAAGCCCACGCCGGTACAGATCGGCCCGGTGCGGCACCCCGCCGTCGCCCACGTCCGCGTGCACGCTCAGGCGCACGGGGAAATGGCACGTAGGGGTCGGCGGTCTCCAACCTCTCCCCGTTGAGGATCGCAACGGACATGGCGTTCATGTGTCCAAGCTGCGACCTTGCACGGGGGGCAGTATACCCAGTGTTTTTCTGGGCCCAGCGCAAGAGAACCTGTCAAAAGCATAAGCACACATGAGCATGTTTCAGTATGTACATCCCGTACTTCATGCAGTTTGCATTCGCATCACAGGTGTTCTGCCATTTTCAAATGCTTGAACCAATTCCTGTGCATTTGCAACTGACTTTGCTGATTCCCAGCTGTTATGCTCATGTCCATATCCCAGCCATTTGACAAGGTACTCAACATAGTTTTTGCGTCTCCCACGCTTTTTAATCCTTTTATCAAGGATACGTTCAACTTCATACTCCAGTTCACCTTCGATCTCGATAGGTACTGGGGGTGGCTGTACTCTGCCACTTGCCTTATAAGGCTTAATCTTCGATACATGAAATACTGGATGTATCCTATGCATGCTTTCCGGGAGTTCTAGTCGATATGCGACAGAACCTATCCGGTCGAGGATGGTGAAGGGCCCAATCCACCTCGGTAATAGTTTTCGAGTTCCAGGGTGTTTGAGAGTAATATGCTGTGTCGAAAGGAGGACGCCATCTCCTTTACTAAACGACACCTCTCTCCGATGGCGGTCAGCATGCTTTGACTGCCTATCTCGTGCTTTCTCTAAGCACGCCCTGGCCTCTTTCAGCGCTGATTGGACACGGTGATCAAATCGTGTCACTGCTGGTAATCCCTCCACGAGGGGCGTACCAGACTGCCTCAAATAAGGCTGCTGCGCCCTTTCAATGGCCACTGCCAAGCCGCGGGCATTCGGATTGTCATAGCCCTTTAATGGCTTCCGAATTTGCACACCAAGAGCTAAGGGACTCTTTGGGTGCCTCCCGTAATTCAGATAGAACGGGGTTTCTTGGGTGGAACTGTTTTTCGAGTTGTTCATTGCAAACTCGGCCATGGCTAACAGTTCATCCCACGCGTCATGGTCAGAACGCGTATAACTGCGTAAGTAATCCTCCAGAACCCGATTCATGACTTCGGTCTGGCCATCCGTCTGTGGATGGTACGCAGTGCTCATGTTGAGCTGAATCTTCCACCTCTCGGCCAGGTACCGGTAAAACCTGGAAGTGAACCGAACGTCTCTGTCGGACACTATCTGAGAGGGGAGGCCGTGGTGCTTTATCACATTCTGCACCAACAGGTCAGCTGCTCCTTCTGCGGAGAGCTCGGTGGTCGTAGCTGTGAGGCGGACCATTTTGGTCAGTCTATCGACGAACACGACGATATCATCATGACCTCCCTTAGTTTTTGGCAGTTGTGTAATGAAGTCCATGGACAACTCTGTCCATGGCTCCTCAGGAATGCCCAGTGGCTGTAATAAGCCTGGGGTCTTATGACGCGGGTACTTAGCCTGTTGACAAACCAGGCAAGTATCGACGTACTGGTGTACTTCTCGTCGCATTCCTGGCCACCAGTAATGCCGCTGGACCAAGTCCAGGGTCTTAGCTTGACCAAAGTGCCCAGCACTTGGATGGTCATGAGCCAACTGGCAGATCTCAGTCCGCAGACTGGGAGACTTAGGGATATACACCTGAGTGCCTCGCAGCCACAACCCGTCTGTACAGCGCATATCTTGCTGCTGTCTAACAGACGCAAGCTGGGGATCCTCGCCATAGGCCTGACGGATCCTGGAGGCTAGATCTTTGGCCTCTACCGTTTTAGTTGCCTTTTTTTGGCTGCCCCGCTTATGCTTTACTCTTAAGCCACATACAACTAGTTGACTTTTCCTCTTAGCCTCCTGCTCATTGGGCGATGGAGGAATGCGAGAGAGTGGATCAGCCACATTCTTTCGCCCTGGGCGGTATTCCCAGTCAAAGTCAAACTGTTGTAAGATTTCTAACCACCTGGCCTGTCTGCGGCTCAGTTGTGGTTGTGACTTAAGGTAGGTCAACGGACAGTGGTCCGTTACCAGTTTGAAGCATGTTCCTTCAAGGTAACATCTCCACAACTGGACAGCATGGACCGAAGCTAAAGCTTCCTGGTCTGTCACGCTGTAGTTCAACTCCGCTGGGAGGAACTTTCGACTCGCATAACAAATAGGGTGATTGTCCTGCATGAGGACCGCCCCCACAGCAGTTTGTGAGGCATCGGCGATGACCTCAAATGGTCTCTCAGGATCTGGCATTTTGAGCAAAGGAGCCGTGGTCAAACACTCCTTGATGTGCTCAAATGTTGACTGACATTTCGACGTCCACTCCCACTTGCCATTCTGTTTGGTCAAGTCTGTCAAGGGAGTCGCCATTTTCGAATAGCCCTGAATGAGCTTTCGAAAGTAATTTGCCAGTCCGAGGAACTGCTGTACGTGCTTCACGCACTGAGGTACAGGCCAGTTCTTCACCTTTTCAATCCCTTCGGGATCTGGGCGAATTCCTTCTTGAGACACGATATGTCCCAGGTAGGAGATCTCCTCCTTATTGAACTGGCACTTGTGCATTCGACAGTATAACTTTTGCTGTCGTAACACTTCTAACACCTGCCGAAGGTGTTGTATGTGTTCTTCAGCAGTTTGGCTAAACACCAAGATATCGTCCAAGTAAACTAGGGCGTGTTTGCCAAGTTGATCACCAAATATATGGTGCATCGTCTGCTGGAATATCGCAGGGGCATTCGCAAGTCCAAAGGGGAGTACTTTGAACTCGTACAAGCCCAATGGCGTAACAAACGCCGTTTTGGCACAATCTGCCTTATCGATCCGTAATTGGTAGTACCCTTGCTGCAAGTCAATAGCCGAGAACACCTTGGCTCCTTGCAATTGATCCAATAGGGTATCTATTCTCGGGATCGGCCACTTATTCTTGATAGTGGCTTTGTTCAATGCCCGGTAATCAATACACATTCGGAGGCTGCCATCTGGCTTAGGAACGAAAAGTACAGGGGCCCAAAAGGGACTACTGCTTTCCGTAATCAGACCTTTCCTCAACAGGTAATCCACCTGTGATCGGATCTCCTCCATTTCCTTCGGGCTGTACCGGAAAGCTGGTCGCTTAACCGGTTTGGTTCCTTCCTCCAATGGGATAGTTAATGACACTCCTCTGTCTGGAGGTAATCCCTCAAGGAGTTCATCAGGGAACAGATCTTTATACTCCTCCAAGAGGGCTGTGATCTGTGCTGGTGGAACAGCATAAGTTGTGGTCTCCCGACCTGATGTGGCCACAGGGCCTGGTGCGTCCCCCTCAGGGAGGTCACCGACCCGGCGAACCAAAACCAAGCGCAATGGAGAACCACGCTGGTAGGCTCGACGAGCAAAACCCAGCGAACACAAATGACCCAACCGGCGGGCCGGTAAGGAAGGAGAAACAGTGGAGCGGGGAGTACTACGAAGAGTAATCTCACGTCCACGAGAAACGACACGGATTTGACCACGACGATAATCAATGACACCGGCATGCTCATAGAGCCAATTATCGCCGAGGATAATGTCATAGTCGTCAGAAAGGTCAATGACCAGGCAACGGACTGTGTCCTTGTAGCCTTGAATGGTCAAG